CTAAAATATGTCCTCATTCATGCATAACTCACAGGCAGTCCATAAAAGTATGTCTATGTGGCCGTTAAAGACTGGCTAGGCATGTTAAGGTGTTTATATTCTCTGTATAAACAATGAGGCTTCACAGTTTGGACACATGAACCAGCAGTCACAGTTCACCTCCTTCCTCTGACCTTTGGAGTCTCTCTCTCCCTCCCTCTCCCCCTTTCTCCCCTTTCTCCCCTTTCTCTCTCGCTCAATGATGTAGAGTTGAAGTCATCCACAGAAATGCTTACAAGATGTGTGACAGGGTTGTTACGGTGACCACTGCAGTAAAATCAGTGGAGCAGGAGGCTGGGGTTGGCCTCTAAGGACACATCCAAATACCTTCGACATGACTTTTTACAACAGATGTCTTTTTTCACGCAGGCTTGTTAATGGCCGGTACTACTTTGTGCCTTTAGTAATGTGATCCAACCTTTTGTTCAGCTACAATGTACCTCAGGATCTTGTTCTTGTAAAGGAAAGATTGCACAGATCTGGAGATTTCTCTTAATTCCCCATGATGAGACAATCAGACCATTCTGAAATGTTTCACTGTTGAGGTTCCAGCTACAAATTTGCTAAAGACTGCTTCTTTTTCTGTTTGCAATGAGCTGAAACGATTTGATTTAGCAAGAAAAGCATGTTGTCTTGTATACATAAATGCCACAAATATCTTTATCAGAGTTGAACTAAGGAAAAATCTAACTAGGAAATAAAGTCTTAATTAACAATTTCCTCAAAATGCAACTCACATGCTGAACATGCCTTCTAAACAGTAAGGAAATGTTATCAAGGCAACTCAAGACTAAATGATTCTATTCTTTTAACTTTCTTCAGTTGACGTAGCCACAAAACCCATGTTTCAGACATTCATTTCATTCACCACTCTCTGTGCTAGTGGTTTTATGACTAATAGTTGTAACCACAGCAGAGATAATACTACAGGATGCTTATTTGTCAAAACTCAGTACTCATTTCTGCAAAGAAATTAAGATATCTTACGAGGACAAGAATAACTTGTGATAAAGGTGGGTGAGGCTGGACAAAGTAATTATCTCTTGATCTTTGCATTATCCTGATTACAAACAGAAGAAATAGCAGTGAATGTAGCAGTGTGCTAAAAATTTCTTCAAATGTCTTGGTTAAGGTTCAAGTATTGTGCAAGAAGTGAATAGACCATAAAGCAACAAATGTGCAGAAATATTTTCTTGCTAGAAAGAGTCCACAGCGAGGATACTTTTAATTGTGGTGTAAACAATTGTTTTCCACAGTAATGCAATTTGAGCAAAGATATGGATTAATATTGCATTATATTAGAGGATAAAGTCTATTTACCTAAAAAATGTGTCATACATAGCGCTGCAGTGGGTTGAATGCTCTCTGTCTCATTTAAACTGTGCATATTACCATGAGCGACACTTAGCCAACATAGACCACTGCAGTCACAGCATATGGCTGGTCATGAAGAATCATGTTATTGTTTTTTGACAGTGAGTAGCATGTTTTGACAAAAAAACATTTTTTTTACTATACTAATTTTAAAGTAACGTTACTTTTAATTCAATGCAGATACTTCCCTCCGTTGCTTAACGTTATAATGTATTGTTTGCAGAGGCCAGGCTGTAACCCTATCTCACAGCCACAGATTAAACAAACGACTTGTAATAATGTTTCTGTTTATTTACTGTCCCCTCTGCGTTTCATCTTTCGTTCTAAATCTTTGTTCTCGTCTGGAAGTGCAGAAGTTTTAATTGTTCAGCTGTGAGGAGGCCATAAAAATAGATGAAGCGATGCTCTATGTCTGCAGACAGTGATCTCCCCTGCTGATGTCTCCTCTGTCCCACCCGCCCGGCCGCACACGTACCACTGCACACAACACAAACAGTTCAAGCGCCCACCGTCTATCACACATCCTGAGCCCAAAGTCACTGAGTAATACTCCCGCTGATGGCACCAACCCAAAGGAATTTCCCCAGTTTCTTTTTAGAGGAAAGCCACAAACGTGCTTTTTCATGTGCACGTGTCTTATCTGAGTCCAGAGGAGTTACACAGCTAGTTCCCACCACTGGGTTCAATACAATATGAAAACAAATATCATGAAAGTGCATTTGGGTGCATGGATGTTTACTTTGTAACTTAGCAACTCAAATTCAATGGACAGTGTAATGTGCTTCTCGGTATAATGTTGGAACAGTGGTTACAATACCAGTCTTCTATGGTCTGAGCAATTAATTAATTAATTTTATTTATTTTGCACATCTTTGAGCAAAATGGCCTATTAAAAATATTAACAAAATATTCACCTGACATGTTAGTGTGGCACATTGTCAGGATGGTTGCAGTGACATAAATATTTTCAAGCACTGCTGGAGAACTGGAGTTATGTAAGATTACTTCTGGAGTGAAAAAGTTCTGCCAATACTAATACTGTATAATGATGTGATAACACTGATGTCCCTCTCCATCCCTGATTCTTTTCACTAATGAATTGTGGTGTTTGTTTGCAGGTCAGTGCAACAGTGCAGAGTTCTGGAACTCAGATTTGGACGTGTGTGTCCCGTGTTCATCGTGCAAACAGTACCCCAAGACTCCGTCCTGCAACACATGTACGCCACCCACTTTCACCTCAATATCATCAAAGATTTTGAGCACAGAGTTGATCATGTTTTGTGTTTTTGACAGGCAAGTCCATAGATGACACTCCAGATGTGTGGAAGTTGGCCGCAATCACCAGTTTCTCCGTGTTAGCAGTGGTCCTTGTAGGAGCCGCACTCATTATTGGGGTTATGGTGCACCGACGCAAATCCCACAAGAGGCCTTTACGTGGTGAGACTGCATCATCAACATAATAACACAGAGGACATGATTAGCTCCTTTTCCAAATAAAGATAATGAACATTATATTTGAAAATATGGACCCCAATAACAGTGTTGAAAGATTGTCATTGAGAGCAAAAATAATAACTAACTAATAGTAACTAATAATAACTTAAGAGGGTCTTTAGTGAAGGTTCCTTTATTTTTGTTACAGAACCTATTGAAGAAACTGCAGGACCACTTTATCAAGCTTAACATTAAAGTAAGTAAGTGTTTTAATATTTGTGTGACACTTCTCCATAAGTAGTCTAATAACATTTATATGTGATGCTTATATGCATACTAAACTACTTTTCTCTGTCTCTTCAGCCTCATGATGGTTGATGTGACCACCCTCACAATGAGGTCCGCCTCTGTTAAACTGTGACTGTAGGGTATATTCTCCATGGACCTTTGGACATTACACCGTGTCTCCTCCTCAGTGCAGGTCCAGTAGTGGAAACCCAAACACCTCCATAGCAACAGTGGACAAGTGACTTTTTCTGTTTCAATCCAGATGTTTTCTTCTGTTGGTGAACTTGTCAAACAACTTGTCTCACCTTCTTTGGAAGACATAGTGATTCCATATTTGTTTGATATAAGCTGTGCCTCCTCCCATATTATTCCCAGCTTGGGACAGGCTTGAAGGGTACACTGACATATCACCCCAGCTATAATAGTTCTTTAATTGTTTGATTGGTCAGAGGTAATGACCTAGTAGTTTCTGTAGAGAAAAATACAAATTGGTGCTCAGGAAATTAATCCACAAAACAATATAATTTGTTCCAGTTGGTTGAATGTAAGATCCCATAAACTTCATACCTGGCACATCAAGGCCATTTGAATGTAGCTACTTTTAGATGAATCACATCTAACTCTGCCAGTACTTCATAGTTATTAAAGCAATCAGATGAAGGGAAGAAACTGTTTTTATGCACTGTTCATGGGTCCAAAACTTTTTAAACTTCTTTAACTGTTAAGTTTGACATTACCACCCAATGTTTTACATTAAGTCGTAAGGAAACACTAACATGGAACAAGGAATGTACAAGTAATGGAAACAGCACCTCCACTTATTGAAGGTGGAGCCACGCAATTTAAACGCTGCCAAAACATTTTATATTTACGGCTGGAGTGAAAAAAAAAAAACAGTGGAAGTCTGGTTTGAATTTCCTGGATCTAAACAAGTGCGTTGCTGTTTCCTGCTTTTTATTCCATTCACAAAATCGACAGAGTATTTGTAGCAACATACAAACTCATTCTTTGTTTTTAGTTTTCTAGATGTTTATATTATTTATTTGTACAAATCTTACAGTGTTGTCAATCTGTAAGGTACAAGCACATGATTTTTAAGGGACTCCGGTGAAGATTCTTCGAAGGCCAGCTTTCAATGTTACTGAGCTAAAACTTCCTGCCTTTATTCGCTTTGTATAGATTCTTGTAAATATTGTACATGCACTGGCTTCTTTTTAGGCAACCTTATAAACAGTTTTATGTACCAAATGTATTTTCACAATAAAACTGACCAGTTGTTTTGTATGTGGTTTCAGTTCTTGTTTTTCTAGTCTCCCCACCTTGTTTTTTTGTCAAGATACATTATATTCCTTACTATGGACTTATTTAAAATATTTTACATATCAATTCAATATCAAATGGGAATATCATTGAAAGGTGTATTAATTTCAGTAGGCCAAAGGTGAAGTTAAGTTAATATACATTAAGCATATTATAGCATATTAATACATAAAGCATATTATAATGTATGTATGTTAACATTAGACCTATATGATGTTAGCAATGTGGATGTATTTTGTATTGAATAGAATTGAACTGTCTCAGTTAACACTAACATTATTGAGTAAGTCTGAACTGGCTGACCTGTTCAAAGGATTTGTGCAATCCAAAATGTAGCTTATTGTACAATAACCCTCAAAGACAGGTAAATATTGAGAGGTCAGCTAGTGAGGAATTCTGGGAAAAATCTGTACAAAAAGTCTTAACAGGCATTGTTTGAGACTTCCTGTATACTTTACTAGGCAAATAAAGGAAATGTACCAATATTACCTTGGGTATTTTTCAGCCTCAATGTATAAATATGACTAGGTTACTTAAATATTCCTTATGTAGTAACAGAAGATTGTATGGCAAGTAACAGTTTATTTTAAAATGACAGTGATTTACATTTTATCACAGTATCTTAATGATAAGCAATATAGGCACACGTAGTAAAATGTTAATGCCAAGCAGGAAATTCAGTCAATACTTAATAAGAAAATGGTATATACAGAATAGATGCTTACATGCCAGGTCTGTTTCCGTGCTATCACAGATCAGTCATTTTTTAAGAAAAACAAGTGTTAAGAAATACGAGGTGATATGATTTGAGGCTAGTATATAAAGTTGCATATATAGATTTTTCTACAGTACAAAACCATTTAAAGTGTTTTATCTTGTTTTGTCACTGACATTTGGACACACCCAGAGGTATTTCACTAAAAATAACAAGCCTGCCCCATGTGAAGGCCCAGAGGAAGTGACCACTGATAACGAAGCAAACAAAAGGATTCAGAAATGCAGATAAGCAGCTACAGACTTCCCAGAACTCAATTATAACATGTTAAAGTTTAAAGATGTTATTATTTACATTTTAACAGCCAACTGACAACACTAAAATCTGGTATTGTAACAAGTTTCTGCATAACCAAATATCCTACTTTCTTAAAAAAAAAAAAAAATTGAACCATTGTAACAAAAATGTGTATGAGTCATGTGTCAGGATAGGTAAGAAATGTAGACACTAATATATTCAGGCTATAATCAAAATGGAAGCTATACAGACTAAAGAGATATTAGCTTGAAGAGGTAACCCTGTTGTCTATAGTAAAAATATATAATTATACAGTCAGGTTCTTTACAATTACTGATACAGCCCTCAACTCCCTATGCTGTTTTTACTCAAATATATGCATTGATATCCAGGTCCAGAAAATCATTAGAGTCCATGCTGTTCTGGTGGCTCTTCTGGTGATGTCTCAGGTTGGACTTACTCGAGAAGCTCTTATCACAGACTGAACATGCGAATGGTCTTTCCCTGGTGTGAATCCTCCTGTGGCATATGAGCTGACTGGACACTCGAAAGGCCTTCCCACACTCTAGGCACTGGTACCTCTTTGGCTCTGTGTGAATGCGCCTGTGGTTTTTCAGAGCCATGAGGTTGGTGAACTCTTTGTGGCAAACGGAGCAAAGAAAACATCCAGTTTTGTGGCTGTTTTTGTGGTTGAGTAGAGAGCCTGCGTGACGATATGTGCGACCACAGTGTTCACAGATATGGATCTTATCTTCTGAGTCTGTTTTCTGCTGGGTTAAAGGCGCTGGGTCATCTGTTAACACGTTTTGGTCGGGGGCACCCAAGATGTCGTTTTCCACATTGTTCTGGTGTATCTTTTGGTCTTTGCTATGCACCTCCATGTGGCTCTGCATGTGGGACAGCAGGCAGAAGGTCTTTCCGCACTCAGGGCAGCTGTGGCGGTTGATTTGGGAGTGTGCGTGTAGGGCGAGTGAATCGGGAAATGTCTGAAGGCACAGGGAGCAGTGGTGGAGGTTCTCTGAGTGAGTTTTCTTGTGGTTGAGGAGAGAGCCGGCGTGGCGGTACGAGCGGCCACACAGGTCACATCTAAAACAGGAAGTAGTACATGTCTGGTCAGCACATTTGACATATGTTTAGAGCTATTCTAAAACCCATTGCTTTAGTATTTTAATCAAGTTTGATTCTAATTCATTTGTCATCTATGTAAAAAGTAACCTCTGATATTGTTTGATAGAGACATTATGCATTTCCCCTACACACAAAAAATAAGAAATTCTAGTCTGGGCGCTAATACACTTTCTTAAACATTACAGTATAAAAGATGGTGGTCAGTGGTTCCTGGGTTTATCCTTTGAATAGGAGACCATGTGCATTTTTTGGACATTTTGACTGATGGTTTTGTTACTGTTAAAGTTCCTCATTTAAGTAGACTGAAACTAGTGTTATCGTAGTATTTTGCATTTGTTTAAAGGAAGCTTAGTTGGTTCACTTTTATTTAAATCAGCAGATTCAGCACCAGATGTTCCTGATGAACTGATGATATTGAGTGATGTTTACTAGTCACTTTACATGGAGGAACTTCAACCAAAACTACTGTAGAATCCAAAGTATCAGGTGTCATGCAACTTAGTACTTTTTAATGTAAACATGTTTTGCCAATGTGAGCAAAAAACTAGCAACCACATGGTATCCCCAAACTACCCTTATATATTGTTGAATCTCAATTTGAGATAGGCTGATAAATATGTTGGCCAATGTACTAGGCTGATACGTGCACCTTTTAGCATATCTATTACATGTCGTTATGTTTAGCATATATGTTGTTTTGGTTGACTAAAAGGAAAGACCTTTAGCTTAATTTGAACAGTTAAATGGGAATAGGGCACAATGTGACTACAGTGCTCTTTGATAATCACATAAAAGAATAGAATACATAATAGGTAGACATGAATAACTGCCCCTATACATCAACTCAGCTCATACATCATTTTCTAAAAAAAAATGGGTAGCTGCATCAGCCATGAAACAATTCATATTGGTCGATCTCTAACTTGAATACAAATCAGGTTAATTATGTCTTATGTATAATTCATGCTGAATTGTTAACATAACTCACTTGAAGCACTTGTCTCTGTCTGAGTGCTGCTCCGCTGTGCCACTCTGCTGACCTTGGGTGCACTGGTGTCTCTGCAGTCCGGTTCGCCCCCTAAAGCCCCTTCCACAGTCAGGACAACTGAGGCGACTGGCCCCGCGACTGTGGATCTTCTGATGGTTGTACAAGACACTAGCCACTCGAAAGGCCTTCCCACATGTTAGACAGGCATATTTCTTCTTCTGTGTGTGGATGCGTGTGTGGTTGCGCAATGCCAAAAGGTTTGAAAAAGGCTTGGAGCAGAACGTACAGTTATATTGTCCAGTCTTATGGGTGTTTTTGTGGTTGAGGAGGCTGCCAGCATGCTGATAGCTGCGATTGCATATATTACATGTATAGAAGTGGAGCGCTTCTTTTTTAGTTGGCGGTTCAATAGTTTGACCACCACTCGCTGACGTTTTGGCACATTTGGATCTAATACCTCTCCTACCTCTCTTGAGATTTGTGCAAACATGGACTAAAAGCTGCTTCCTTGACCGCAATCTTTTCCCACACTTCAGGCAAGAATGTCTTTTAAATGCAAAGTGGATGCGCAAGTGGTTCTTCAAGGCGAGCTGATTAGAATAAGAGTTGTTACATATGGAGCACAAGTATTCACCTGTTTTGTGGGAGTTTTTGTGGTTGACCAGACTTCCTGCATGTCGATAGGTGCGACCACACAGGTCGCAGGCAAAGGATCGCTTGTCACTGTTGTCCTCAGATTTGATTGGAGATTCGTATTCTTGAAGCTCTTTTTTGTTATTCTCGGAGGGGGAATCATGACTGGCATTAGGACTCAAGGGCAGCTCTTCTCCTTCAGACCTGCTCTGCTGTTCTGTTCTGTTCTGTACCTCAGATTTAAATAGTTTTTCTTTTTTGTGTCTCCTCATGTGGTTCAGCAGTTGCTTCTGGGTTTTGTAGGCTTTTCCGCACTCACCACAACTATATCTGAAGGAGATATGAAAAAATAAATGCATTATTATTATTTTCATAATTGTATTCTTTTTACTTTTATTTTAAAACATGTTTTTTTTTTTTTTTTAAGGAATAGGCTGAAGCCATGCTTATATGTTGCCTATTAAATATTAAATCTAATTCTTTTACACAATACTGGAATAACTTTACAATAACAAATTCACAAGCCAGCAAGATACAATAGTATAATCACTGATAATTTTATCTCTAAAACATAAGAGAAAATACAGAGAATTTTTTTGTTTGTTTAATAGTTTAAAATGTTTTTAGACCATTTTTATCATACCAAAATATTTATTTTAAATTTAGAATTCAATTTGTGATGAAATTTTAGAAAAAAAATACTTCTATAGTCTACAATAATCTAATTTATCATTTATTGATATGCAGAAGTTGAGGAGGAGAAACAAACCTTTTAATATCAAAGTGGGACCTCTGGTGGGTTTTCAGAGCCAGCAGATTGTAGAAGTTCTTCTGGCACAAATGACAGCGGAACAGCCCTGTTTTGTGGGACTTCTTGTGGTTCAGCAGGGAGCCAGAGTGTCTATACGAGCGGCCGCAATGTTCACACTTAAACTGCCGCTCCTCTTTGTCTAAACTCGTGTCTGCATTATCATTTGGTTCCCTTATTTCTTCTTCATTCTCTGCTGCTGACTGATTAGTATCAACATTACATCCATGGCTTTCAAGATGACTGTAGCTGGTACAGAAGATGCCGCAGTTGCCACAAATGAGATTCTTCTCCTCATTCACTTCATCATTCACTTCAAACTTATTATCTAAGGTTTTAACATTGTCTACTTGATCAGTGTTGTGTAGAAGCTGATGATTGACAAGGTCTTGACTATTTGAAAAACTTTCTCCACATAAACAGCAAATTACAACATTGCCCAATTCTTCTTCTTTGACTTGTTTAGTTGACGATGTTGGGACTGAACTGGTAGCAATGCTCTGTGACTGTATGTGGCCTCGCATGTGGTTCCTGAGGGCCCCAATGCTGTTGTAGCGGTTTCCACAAAATGAGCACTGATAAAAGTCACGGTCATCTTCGTCCTGTTCATCAGCTGCGTAAGAATCATCATCAATACTCACACGCTCGGGAAAATTGTTCTCTTCAATGTCATTTCCATTTATTCCATCAAAATGAATATGATTGCCTTGATTTTCAGCACTGTCTTGGAGATGTTCATCATTGTTATTAGAATTACAACTTATACTGCATGGCTGTTGATCATATTTCTCCAATTTAGTTACACCATAATTCGATGTTTGACCACAGTCCTCGTTTAGGTATCCATTTAACAAAGATTCATCTCTGGGTTCAATACCAACATCAGTGCCATCTTCTGAGGTTTCTTGTTGGTCTTCCATGGTTTGAAGCTGCCTCCTACAGTGAGAAGAAGCTTCTTTATGTGTGCGAAGGTGACTTTTGAATGATGCCAAATGTGGACAGCTCTTTCCACAGATAGAGCACTGATAGTCCCCAACCTGGTGTGACCTTTTGTGGTTGACGAGGCTACCATAGTGACGGTAAGTTTTAAAGCAAATGTCACATTTAAAAGGCCGCTCCTCTGAACCTACAGCTGAGGACACAACTGTAGCATGGTTTGTTACACTTGTGGAAGGTTGCATTTGAATACTGTTCAAAGGTGAAGATTCTACATCTGAACAGTGGTAAAAAAGACCATTGTCATTTGTCATTTGCTCATTGGGCAAATCAAATGACCCACTGTGACTCTGCGAAGATGCAGGAGAGTCATGTTTAACAGGAGGATGATAAAAAGGGGACTCAGAAAAACAAGTGGCAGTTTCATAAAATGTACTTTCATTCTGGTTTAATAAAAGTGAAGAATTATGCATTTGGATGTGATCCTGAAACTCCTCTTCACTTGAGAATAATATCTGACACAAGTGGCAGAAATTTACTGGCACATCCTGATTCTGTGGTGAAAACTGGTCTGAAGATGCAAGGGTGTAGGGGCCACAGAGAGAATCCACTGGACCTTTAGATTTATGACTTTTCTGATGGTTAAAAAGAGCATCCATATCGTTGAACAGTTTGAAACATACAGAGCACTCAAACATTTCAGTTTGGTGCGTCTTTGTATGATGTGACAGGCTTCCCTGATCAGTGTATGAGTTGTCGCTTAAATCACTTTTAAAGGGTTCATCCACAAAGTCACTGCTCTCAGTCTGTGTGTTACAAGCTACATCTGTTATATTCTCAGATAGGCTGTTTAGTGTTGAAATACCAGATGAGAGAAAACAATCTGTGTGTCCATTTTGATCTTCATGTGTGACAAACCCCATATCTACTTCCATGGGAGGCTGTTCTTTTGGTTGCCTTGATTCATGCACTCTTTCATGTGTAACTAGTTGTGATGGCCTATAAAAAGTTTTCCCACATTCCAAACAAGGATACTTTTTCTGTGAAGTGTGGCTCCGGAGGTGGTTCTTAAGTGCCAGAGCATTGGAATTTTCTTTTCCACAAATATTGCACTGAAAAGAACCTACTTCATGAGTCTTTTTGTGATTAGACAGGCTGCCAGCATGCCTGTAGGCACGTCCACATTCATCACATTTAAACTTGCGTTCCTCTTCTGGTTGCAGGAGAGCATCCATGTCCATTGGCAAAAAGGCTTATTGATATGTACCATTCCAAAAAAAAAAAAAAAAAAATCTGGTTATAGAGTTTTTCCAAGTACTTTAACCTTTAATAGGCATGGCATATATTTCATATAAAATGAGGTGATGGTGGGGATGGAAGCATCAAATGCTGTTGAAAGAAAAAAAAGAGAGTAAGTGTCTGTATTCACAAGTATTCAGCAGTACAGACAGAAACATAACGTGATAATAACACACATTACAATACATAGACATAACGATAGCCAAAAATTTATCATGTTTAGGGTAACCAGACATCCCTATTTTTACTCGGGGCAGTCCCAGTTTTGAGCCCTGTCCCAGCAGATTTATCCAAAACCAGTGATTTGTCCCAGTTTCATACAAGAAATGTCCCAGATGTCCCTATCTTTCACCAATCTGATCCGTGCCAACAGTAAAGAGAGGCATACATGTCATTGGTTTAGGTAAAATACAGAAAAGCGGCATAAAACACAAAGAAAATGTGACTACTGGCTCACATTAGTGCCGAGTGCATAACAATTTTCCTTAATTACGCACTCGTTTCACAATTTTATTATTGCCAACCCAAACCAGAGATGTCCCAGATTTTTATTTTGAAACACTTGTGACCCTAATCATGTTCTTCAATTTTATATCCAACGTTATCGGTAACCCTTCAATAACAACACTAGCATCAGTTAGCATATAGCTAGCTAAACAAACAGAAGAACTCTACTGTTAATTGCATAGTAAATCTACAAATGTTCTAATTTAAGTACCTGTTGCGACACTGGAATTGAGGTACACATTCTGAACACGGTCAGTGCCCTTCTCATTCACAAAAATATAATTTCTGTGCTCTTTTCTCCACCTTCCCATACCGTTCTGGTTGCTGGGAAACAGGAAATGTGCAGCAGAGAAATAGATCCCCCTCGACACGAAGGAGCAGAGATGAGATAATTTAAAAAGAAAACACTATTTGCCAAAATGCTGGACTGATATTGGGATGTACCTTCCACTGTCGAGAAAAGGGTGAATTAGAATAATAGCAGATTCGGTGCTTTTGCTTAATAAGTCATGAAAACGTTTAGGCGGAACCAAGTGTAGGGTAGCTAGGTAGCTATTATGTAGCTTTAGTTGTGTGGCACTATTGTTGTAAGCTATACTGATTTAAATAAAATCACCTGCCATCCCTTAACATTTTCTTTAGTAATTGTTTAATGTAAAATATCTTATTGCACATTACACAAATGAAACAGCCGAAAGGTTTCGTCATCATGGTCCTAGAGCCGTCAACTTCCTGCAGACACTGCTCAACGCGAACCATCACCTTACTGTAAATGCGACGTGTCTGTGTCTCGATTCAGGTAAGAAAGACATTCAAATCTACATAATGTGCGAGCTCGTTTAAAGTTATCATCTTTTTGATCACAGTGTCAATTGCAATGCATCAACTATGGTCCTATAGCCAGCCATTTTGAGTGGAATAAAATGCTAGCAAACTAGCTTGTATAAAAATCGTTGTGGTTTCATGCAAATGTGTAATTTCCAGATGCTGATGCTTTCTCACGGTCCTCTCTTGTAAACAGCTCGGAGGTTGACACCTCAGTGCTGTCTGTCACTGGACCTGCTTCCCATGGCTTCAGAGAGCCCTAGCTTATTGTCCCTGAGGTCCTAATGCCAGCCATTTTGGCCCTAATTTTAACGCATATGAATCATAGATGATTCGACATGACTTATCGATTTACATGCCATACAAGTGAATTTCCAAGCTTTCGGTTATTTATTGTTTGTATTTTCTCACTTTTTTACACTGTAGATGTGAATATGGATTCTCTCCAGCCTGGCAGCCCACGTCTAGCGGACCAAATACCTCCTTCTGCTCAAGATGACATGAAACCACAAGAGAGAGATATGCCAGCAAAAAAACGAGGGAGAGGCAGGCCACCAAAGGCCAAATCGCCCTTTAAATGCTCTGCATGTACGGAGGTCTTCAGAAATATCTCAGCTCTATCAAGCCACAAATTGTCTGCACACTCAAAAGAACGCCCGCAACCACTCTCTTGTTCTCAGTGTGATAAAACATTTCCTAACAAGGCTCAGCTCTCTAAGCATGAGCGCAGCCACTCAGCTCAGAGGCCCTTTCAGTGTCCCGACTGTCACAAAGCCTACAAGACTCCCACTGAGCTCCGCAACCACAGCCGCTCTCACACAGGTGAAAAGCCCTTTGTCTGCAATGAGTGTGGGAAGGCCTTCATGCAGGCTATATGTCTGAGAATCCATATGACACAACACAATGGAGAGCGCCCATACTCTTGTCGCCAGTGCTCCAAAAGTTACCCCACCTTATCCAAACTGAAGGTGCATATGCGCTCCCACACAGGCGAGAAGCCCTATTTTTGTGCAGAGTGTGGGAAGAGTTTTGCTGACCCCTCTGTTTTCAGGAAGCACCGGAGGAATCACCAGGGCCATCGGCCTTATGCCTGTGAAGAGTGTGGTAAAACTTACACAGAACTGAAGGATCTGAAGAACCATGAGCGCTCTCATACTGGTGAAAAGCCCTATCTGTGCTCAGACTGTGGGAAAGCCTTCTCCCGCTCCTCATCACTGGCGTGTCACCAGCGCATCCACTCCCAGAACAAACCCTACCAGTGTGAACAGTGTGGCAAAGGGTTCACCCAGCTGTCCTCTTACCAGTCTCACCTCCGCACCCACTCTGGAGAGAAGCCCTTCCTCTGTCCACAGTGTGGCAAGATGTTCTCCGACCCCTCTAGCTTCAGACGACACCAGCGTGCACACCTGGGTTTTAAACCTTATCCTTGTGACAAATGCTCCAAGAGATTTAGACAGCCGGCTGATTTGGCTGTGCATGAGCGAGTGCACTCTGGAGAGCGGCCCTTCAAATGCATGAGCTGTGACAAAGCCTTTGTAGCATCATGGGATTTGAGACGCCACATGCTTGTTCACACAGGACTCAGACCTTTCTCCTGTACTGAGTGTGACAAGTCATTTGCTGAGCGCTGCAGCCTCAACAAGCACCGGCGTGTGCACTCAGGAGAGCGCCCTTTTAAATGTGGAGAGTGCCTAAAGTCTTTTGTGGTGTCTTCCAGTCTGCGTAAACATGAAAGAACCCATCTGATAGAGCAGACAGTGCAGCAACAGGCACAAGAAACTGACACTGGGTCAGCCTGTGAGGTTAATGCCAACACAAATCTCCCTCAGCTCTCATCTACCCACATTGATGCCACCTTTGGGACATGGGATGAAGTACAGGCCCCCGAGAGCCTTCACACTGTGGACTCAACCAGTGCAGCTGTGACCAAAGTGAGTGTACATGTCTGTGAGACCTGTCAGGCAGAGTTCACTCAGCTGACTGAACTTCAGGAGCATGAGAGCAGCACCCTAAGCCCCGGCCCCATGTGTGCGACAACTGTGGTAAAGCGTTTCACAACAAATCAGGGCTGCGCAAACACCAGAAGATCCACTCCAACAGCAAGCCCCATAGCTGTTCCCAATGTGGCAAAACATTTCTGTTTGCTGCATACCTTCGCAAGCATTTACGAACTCACGCAGCATCTACCACAGCCACTGATTTGAACACTGTCCACACAGACCGCTTTCCATCTGCTCCCAGCCCTACAGAGGCTCCACCCAGCACAGTGGAGACCAGCGCTATTGCCCTAACTGTCCCTGTCACTGCCTTTCAGACTCTCCCAGAGTACTTGGTCAAACAAGAGGAACTTTCCTCTGTCTAGTATTTTACCTGTGGGCAACAATAATGAGATCTTCTTTAATGAAAATTAAGTTTTATCCATGTTTGATTCTTCTCAAAATATATGTTGAAAATATGTAAAAGTTGAAACTGTCATGAAAAGTCTCCTAACATTCAGTAACTGTTTCATTACCATTTGTATTCATTTCAGTTGTTTGTTATCTTAGTTTATCATGCAAAAAATATTGTAAATACTCAAACAGTCATTTTGGCATAAAATGAACATATTTCTTCCCTTGTTATCTGTTAGTATTATTGAAAGCTCAATCAACCATATGTCATATGTTTGGTCAAGAACACATACATTAATTACTCAAAAATCAAATGCAATATGATGAGGCATTTTAATTAAAGTATTAGCTATTGCCCAAGTAATAAATGCACATTCATAGACACATACACCTCAACAAATCTATATTTACTTTTAACTTTTGCAATTACCCCTATATCATATAATACTAGAAGAATTAAAGAAGTTTTAAAAATACACTGCAGTATATGGATTTCTGTGCCTTTTATTTTCCTTGATCAATAAATGATTATATAAGAAATGTGTAGAAACATCTTCCAAAAATCTGCAAATTACAGAACCAGGGGAGGCAGCTGAGCTTTTTTTTTTTTTTTTTTTACAGATTTACTGATTGTGCCACTTTCTTGAAATAGCATACAATGTTCACATTATTTTTAAAAAAGTGACTGGACACAGGCACAATACAATATTTGTGGTGACAGTAGTATATTATTTCAAACTTTACAATAGTCCTAAAGTACTGACCATCTATCATACCTATCATGTCTGCCTTTCAGCTGCAGTCCAGTATATACACAACATAATACTTGTCCTACAGGCTTGAGTCTGATCCAAGGAGGTGAAAGGCTGTCTATGTTTGTTCTTCAGTGAATATGGATGGACTTCCTGTTACTGTGCTTCATAGTGTAGAGCAGTGCAGCACCAGCATCAGTAAGAGACTGCAGACAAAATAATGTATGAAAAACACAAAATATTTTATTTATTTATTTTTGTTTTTTAGTTTTTTACCTGTGAATCTGAAGTGACAGATTTTTTCTGCAAAACAGAGAAATGTATCCATTATGAATTTAATCAACAACATCCAAAATAACAACTTACCCTTGTGAAGTTGTTAAAGCTATTGTGGATTGCCTCCATGGTTTTAACCCATTCTTGATACATATCTTTGTCTTCTATGCTGCCATTAAGAGCACTAGAAGAGATGGTTCTGTGTGAAAAAATGGTCACAGAGCAGTCTTATACCCAGCCCCAAGCCCATATAAATACTTAAAATGGGCATTCAGTAAGTTTGCAATAAGTTTTCCAACATTTAATCCACTCTCTGCCACTGTTCCCAGAACGATTTAGTTATTTAAAATGCCTGCATACATTGCCCTCTCTATGAGCCTCTTCTGCTGCTCTCCCTCTTTAACAGCATCCACAAAGCGTCCCCGCACGGCCAGAGCAGCAGTGGCTTGAGATGAGTTGAGCTCAATGATAGGCAAAGACAGGGAGGACAGCGCTGATGGGCTGAGAACAAGAAGCAAGAGACACATTTTTTAGCATTTCCGAATCAATCAAACATCTCCACGACTGCAGCGGTATAAATACATAGGCTATAGTGTGGCCTTCATTGAGTGAATAGACAGAGCACTTGGTTTTATGTGGATAAATTCTACAATCTGTGGAATATACTTTTACTACTTTTAGGATGGCCTATACATTTATAAGACTGTAAATTGAGATTACCTATCATTAGTGACCTCCCTGGGAGCAGTTATCACTCGCAGCCTTTTCTGTCCATTTCTTTTTCTGTATCTGACTTGGAGCTGTACATAAACTGTGGTGCCTGAAGCTGGAGGAGGAACTGAAAGAGCATGAGAAAAATATTAAAATATTAAAATATTAATATCTTGAATAAATCTTTACTATTATAGACACTCAGCACCTAAAAAAAGACACCAGCTGGATGATTTTTTCAGAATGATGAAAATGTAGAACCATTGCCATAGCGATTAACAATTTAAAACAAACAAAACCAGACTGTACATTGAGTAATCCACCTATAGTAACCATATGCAATACTGTAACTTACTGTAATTTAAATTATTCTGGCACAATTCTCTGAAGTCATTTTACATTCTATTTCTTTTTCATTCTGTCCATATGGCATACTGTAAATATCCACTAGTAGTACTGTAGCCTTTTTTTCTTTTTACTATATTTGAACAGCCGCAAAGCATATTTGATCAGAAAAAATTGACAAAATTTAATTTCTCCTATACGATGGATCCTACCTAAATGACTGAGGCATTACACGAACATCTATTTGAACAGTCTATTAAGTCTATTTAAAATATATATATTTTTACCTTTATTTTGATTCTTGATTGCATATTTATCTTCTCCTTTTATCTTTTATCCTGTATTATCTTTTACTATCTTATACTATTTTTTTTATGGAAAATGTCCTGAAAATGTTGCCTAAAAATATGGTGAAAACCATGAATAAAGCCATAGAGAGAGCCAGATAGAAATTGTTTGGACTTCTACACGATGACTATTTCGGTGATGTTTATTGTTTCCTGCAGTAATCTTCCTGTTTTTAATGGCAGCATTGCTCAGCTACAAACACATCTGATGACAAGACTTGTTGACTCACATTTTGTGCAATTTCCAACAAACCAAATTCATAAATATTTGAATTATTTTATTTTTACCTTGTGCTCCATGATCATTAACTCCAAATTGAAAAGTGATCTCTTTTTCTGGGTCAATGTTCCCCACCTCTCGGATTCCTTTGTGACTTGCTTCTCTTTCTCCTTTCACTCGTCTAGATAAAAACATACATATCAAAAACAGTTGAGCTTATTGGTGACTACAACAAACTCTTGGGAAGGGATCTTACAAGGAATTTGGCAGCAGAAATGACACTGTGCAATGTGTGGCTATTGTCCTATTCTCAATAATCTCTTCAAACTCCTGATGCAACCTCTCAGGACTTGCAATGACAACCTTAAAGATACAACTGGATGAGTAAAACATAAAAAAAGCAAAATAAGCAAATTTGAAAGTAAAATTTGAGATGGCTTACTTTGCCTCCCGTTCGATCTGCTAGTCTCCCAAGTTCATCCAACCTGCAGTCTGTTCCCTCAATCGATAATACTGACACTGTCACACTAAAGAGGAGATATTAAATATGAGTCAAGTCTGCAACTGTCAATTCGTTAGCACTGGTACCCCTGACTGGCTGCGTATTCCCCCAGGTCCTGGTAGAAGATGGTGGAGGAGAGAAGGGTGCGAGCATCGATGTCTTCCTCCTCTAGGTTTCCCAGTTCAGTGTTGGCCTTTCCGTCAGTGCAAATTATTACCTTTCGAAAACATAACTGGAGTTTTCATTTGGAACAGAATTTGACAGCAAGCCTTGTTACTAAGATTATATCCTGCCTAAGGTCGACACTCTCTGATAATGATTTCACTGGCCAGCCAGGCAATAGCCAAAATATATAGAAAAAAATAAGCAACAGATGATGTCACTACATGATATATGATATATATGTGTTATTAGGTATAGTTTTAAACACATATTAATAACTATTGTTCCCTCACTGAATAGAAAAGTTAGTGTACTCTCCAGCAAATTATCTGCCAGTGTATATGAAACAATGTAGTTGGATGTTGCAGTATTTGTCCAGTAGGTGGCACTATGTAAGATAATGCCCAACATCAATGAACCTTAAGATAAAATATAAAACCATAAAACCAATAGTAGTAATTGTTACATGTGTCTACATGTGTCTTTCAGCCCACCTTTGACCCTGGGTGTCTGGATGCCATTGCAATGGTAAGTAGAGCAGCTGGACCTAAAGCTGTAGTCCCACTTTCCTTTAACCTTTTAACAAATGCAAACTTGTCAAATAACTTTGCATTAACTTTCTTTGAAGTGTACTAGTATGTCATATGTCTTACCCCATTACTTGTTTCTGTAAGTAGTCCTTATTCTTGTAAACAGGAGGTGGACTGGGGAAAGAGGCGGCTGAATTTTTCAGATACTCAGTGTCAATCAACTCGTCACTGCTGAGGTAATGCGTTGGGTAATTCTCATATCCATGCAGAATTACCTAGGGAGACAAACATTATTTCAGTATATTTATTAATTAAGCCTATGTGCAGAAATAAGTATTAGTAAGTATCATTAGTAACTTACTTTGTAGTTAAACGTTATAAGCCCCACTCTTGTATTTGGTTGTTGTTCACTCAATCTTTGTACACAGTGCAATACAGCCTTTTGAACAAACTTGTAGAATAGACATTCATGAATATTGCAAGCCATAACTTTATTTATATGGTTTGTGGATTTAAAAGTACCTCAAGTCGAGATCTGTGGACTATTTTACCTTGCTCAATGACCTAAAACACCAGAAATATTAAGATCATTAAAGATGAAGGATGCCTGCATACTGGTAATTAGATTATGGATTACCTGTGAGGTGATGGTCATGGAGCCAGAAGTGTCGATGCAGAAGAGGAGGAGGGGATCTGGAGGCTGTGGGCTGTTCAGGTCAGGGCTGAGTGAATACAGGACATCCTGAGGTTGCTCTGGGACACTTATAGGGACAGTCGTCTGCTTGTCTTTACAGAAGTAGCACACTTCCACCTATGGGGCAATGTATATGCACAAGGGAGTGAAAGAGACAGGGACAATTGCAATTGCGATCTCTCAGCACTAGAAATAACACCACTTGCTTGTAATTACTGAAATTATCTATTAACTATCACATTTTCTCTTTTTCAACATATGGGTCAAATCAATAGCGTATTTACCACATTTGCATAAATGGAGTCCAGCACGGAGCCACATTTGGAGCAAGATACAGGCTCTCCTTGTATAAGCTGCACTAAAACATACATAAGTGATTAATTATTTTATTCACCCATGTTCAGATTAAAGAGATTATGACATGTAATTATGGACACATGCAGCTAACCTCTTTCTTCATACAGCATCTTTCCCAAACTGACAAGAACTACATTAGGGTTTCCTGGAAGTGGTCCATTGTCAAACTCTACAGAAATAATAGTTTGTCGGTCAATGCAAACATATTACACGTATTGCATTGTAAAAGTGAAACAAAACATACTTTTGGAAGTATTTTCAACAGGCTGAAGAGCTGATTTTGTTGTAGAGGGTACTGATGGTAGAATCATCAAATACTCAGGCATTGACTGCATATTGGCCGGTCGAGGAGGGAGAGTTGGAACTATGGCAAAAACATTATGAGCTATATACTAGTACTTGTGTTAAATTTAAAGGTACTAAATGTAGGAAAGACAATGCCTACTCGTGTTCTTTCTGCCTGGTAGCCGTGTCTCATACACACTATCAGAGCTCTCAAAGCTCTCAGGGATGCGGTATGTGTAGTTTGGGTCCCAGGGCTGGCTGTTTAAATCAGGCTCACAGGGGGGGACTTCATACTGACTGTCAGGTCTCCAGGGTTCACTGTACGAAGCAGAGCGAGGCTTAGCAAGAGAAGGGGCGACGCGCATGTGTGGGGGCAAAAGAGCTGTAAAAAGACATAAGAACTTATAGGTCAGTATTTTATAAACTAAATAATTATTAAAGTATTAAATACAAGTTAAAATAATTAGAATGCCATTGAAAATATGTATTTTCTAAAAAACAATATATGTGCTTTTTTTTCAGAAATTCCCTTGGATGAAATTATAGTGAAATATTTGATCTGAGATTACCCTGTTGAACTAAACACTGATAAAACTATACTACACACACTCATATTTTACTGTGTAATTTCAAGGGTCACTTTACCTGTTTTTTTAGCTGAATTCTGAGTAGATTGCATGCTGACAGGTAAGACACTGTTTCTTAATGTGGGGTTTTCATAGAAAACTGTGGTCATTAATTCCTTCTTCACTTCATTGGTTGGGAGCTGCTCGATGATCGTGGAGGAAGAGGTCACCTGTCTGGTGGATGTTGGTGGAGGTGGAGGAGGCACCCGAGGACGGATGCACTTCTGTGGAGGCAGCAGAGCTGGTGGCAACACATGAACATATGACAGTCATATTTTCTGGTAGAATGTTTCTATTTGTTGTGTGTGAGAAGTCCAACATACTTTTAAACCAGTGACATTCCCTTCACATAAACATTTAAATAAAATAATGTTTAATACCTAAAAAATGTCACCCCCAAAGGAACAGTGATGTGGTAATATAATTACATGACCTTTGTGTTTCTATGAACAAAGAAACAGCCTATAGACTGCTACAGTATGCACAAGGTTGCTCCCTGTAAGAAAAACATGTTGCTATGGCCATGATAATAACATCTGACTAGATGAACAAAAGAATATTGACTACATTAAAACACACGTGTACATTAAACTCCTTAAAATTATTGCAAAGATGTAAAATACAAATTTTTACCTGATCGTTTAAAGGCATTTTGTGTAGGAGGCACATAAACAAATCCACAAGCAAATTCCATTGATGGTCCTTCCTGCCACATAATTAACAAACACAAAGTCAGTGCCGTTGTATTACAGTAATCAGTGTAATTACTACTACTAGAGCAATCACATCTGCCTTTAGAAGGCTACAGCAAACAGTGCAACTTTATCCCACAGCTTATATAATATAAAATCTAATGAAAAGCTTTACTTACATGAAGAGTAGTTACTGTAAAGCTGATACTTCTGCTGTGTCACAACAGCTGAAGTTAGTCATGTTGTCCAACAGGTTCCACTTTCATGACAGCAGTACAGCTGGTTTGCTGGTTAGTCACAGTTTTATCTCACTATGCACTTGTGGTTAAACATTAGCTGTAAATGGGTGTCACCTCTAAGAAGTACTGATTTGTTCAATCCTGAACTCCATCTGCACCAGGATTTATTGCTCATAATACTTTATAACCACCTGCAATCAAAGTCCATAAAATCAGGCAGGCAGAGACAGCATAAATAATACTTAATACTAAGTCATTAGCAATGCTGTCATAGATTGTATATAAAAATGTACTTAATGCACATATCTGTTATTAAATGTATGAAAATGTACTTTATTACTAGCTTCTGGGGGTCAGTTATCATTGCTTTGGCAGTTTAGATTGAGTGAGATTTGATATTCAGTACTACTGTGAGAACATATCTGCTGAAAGTGAAAATCCTCTGAATTAAAATGCTTTAGGTATTTAGGATTTTGTTCACACAATACATTGTTGCAGAGGGAAGAACATGTAATATTACATCATAATAATTATATTACATTTGCACTAAAAACATAACAACAATATTGTATAGTCATACAATAACAAACAAACTTTTATTTTGAAAATATGTCCCTTTAAAAAGAATCATCTTGTTACATTCAGTAAACAATAACTGGATTGCACACACATTGTAAACCTGGTCTTGATAAACACTTCTCTTTAGGCCATTTAGTTTTCAGGTAAATAAATAAATTCATGATTTCATTTCCCAGAATTTGCTCACATGCAAACACTTATCACAAATACAGTACATTTTATACACACAGCCCGACATTCTTGATAAGTTAATTATATTTAGAAATATTGCAGAAGTGCCCATAGATACAAATATTAAGGCTTCTGGTGTTATATTGTTACAGTCTCCGGGACAAAGTGGTAGACTTCATTCTTCAAATGTAGTGAAAAAGGAGTGTTTTTGACAAAAAGATGTCACTCCACAACTTCTACATAATTGGCTGGATAGAAGCCCTCTTTCCCTCCACTGAGCACGCCTCGACACCAGCCCTGGTCATCCTCTTCCTCCACCTTCAGGAACACTTCACCTACATTAAAAAATAATACACATATGTTGCTTCTACTTTATGTTTGAATTTTTAAATAATTATGTACAAAGATACCAGTCAGGAAAAACTGGACACTACAGACTAACTAAACTATCATCAATGAAATACAACTCTTAGGGCCTGGCTCCACTGCACTCATATTTCGTCCTGCGTGACCGTAAAAACTGCAACTTTTGGACGCGTAACTTTTAGAATGCATTGGAAGTGAATGAGGGCGGCTCCACTGCACGCACTAGACGCACATATGAAGCAGTGCATCCTGCGTGTCGTAGATTTCAGAAAATAGTAAGCCAATGATATGGGAACAGAGTTAAAAGCTTGAAAGAAGATTTTACATTATAATGTTTTCAAGGGCAAAAACTGGCAACCCAAATGAGAGACTTGTGTCAGGCTAATTTCTCATGATTTCTGATTGGATAATCAACTTGAGAACCAAAAGACCAAATTATAACACAAACAATTTGTCCATCATGTCCATTTCACAACCCCTTTGTGTAGTCATGGCAGTCAGGTTTCATCAAGTGAAACAATCCTTCTTGGCCATATGACACATAAATACTATGCTATTAATATCATAAGATTTGCTTTATGATAAACATTCATATTGTAGTCTAAATAAATGATTCATCACCTGCTTTAAAGGAAAGCTCATCGCCCTCCTCTCCTGTGTAGTCATACAATGCTCGCACCTTCACTCCTCCAATCATCACCCTGACACACACACAGTAAATATTTTTCAGTGTAGAACAATAAGGTCTTTATTGGAGCTGGTTTGGGACTGGGATCACTTACGGACGGGAGTCTTTTCTTTTCTGGTCTCTTTTTTTTCGCTTCAACTTTTTAACTGGTGGAACCCATTCCTGTTACAAACACAAGTACCATATGCAAGCTTTCATTCCTCATGTTTTCAATGCATATGTCTTAAATATTCCTTTGTACATCTCTAGCATACCTGGATCTTTGGCCAGTCTGTGGGCATGCCTGGGCCATGATTGTTCTTCCACCATTTGAGGTCGTCCTGATCGCTGATGGCCATGAGAGTGTCATGCAGCTCACTGTACACTGCCTTCACACTGAAACAAGGACATATGGATTCATTCACTGTTAATTGTACTTTTCCACAGCACACAATCTGAGTTAAATTACTCGCACATTCATTTACAGAGGTCTCTCCTAACTCAATGATGTCCACATCTACTGGCTTATTCTGCCTTATTTCTCTTACATATCATCTTAGCATTATAATTAAAAACTAATGATATAACAATGAGCCATTATCCATTAACTGTAATCTAAACTAAATACCTTATGATCCCAGTAACCCTTTACCTCTCATTGTTGGTGATGTCCAGATGTCTGTGAATGGAAAGGAAGGCCTGTTTTAAAAAGCTGATCCTCTTCCTCTCCTCCTCCTGTGACTGCTCAAATATGGCCTCCATCTCCTCCATGTAGCGGGGGGTGTAGCTGGTAACATCCTCAAGCACTTTTTCATAGTGTTCCCTCATCTGTATGACAAGGGGGTCTTATTTTGAAAAGCCTCAGGAAGTTCTTATTATGTGTTCACAAGTGCAGCCGTCCTATAGCATGTATAAATCTTTGCCTTCACTGTTCCCATGGCGGACTCCATAAACACAGAATGGTTTAACAATAACACTGCTCCATACAAGGGAATGTCTGGTGCAAAAACGAGAGGCTGGGGGTCATGTTTAGAGTCGGATAAATAAATATTACCACATGGATCAGGCTAATGAAACACATGTTGTTAGGGGAAACGCAGTATTTTAGCAGCGAGGGCTTATAGTATCCAGTGGTTGTGAGTAAGTGTTGTTGAAGAGTTGCTACAATGTGCAGGTCTGTCCTCACCTTTTCTTTCTCCTCTGTCAGCTTGACTTTGGTGTCGGTGAACTTCTGCTTCTTCTCCGGACTCAGCTCAGGGTTGTCGTTGGCCTGCTTCTCTTTGTCTATGGCAGCTTGTTCCCTCTGACAGACCTTGTGGTACGCCTCTCGGGCCTTCTCCAGCTGCAGGCACATTCACACACATGTATGCTTTTTATTAAGTTAACTTACATGGAATGAAGATGAAAAACAAGTTCTTTCCATGTCCATTCACAGATTTAACTAGGAATGCAATCCTTAGTATGAGGCATTATGTTGCATATTGTAGGCTATATATTTTTGATAAGTCTTTGATGAGCTTGATTTGCTGTTATTTCTATGCAACCTGATAGGCCCTTGTAATTCATTGTGCTGTGCCTGTGCTGGCTGCAACTACAGTTGGAGAAAAATCTACAATCCAATTTATTCTGATTTCTGTGATTAGATTTACGATAAATGTTTAAAAGTAACATTTGTTTCAGAGTAAACAACTCCAGGAGCATTACCTTTGTTATTTGTGAAATGACTGAAATGTAAACTATAAACTAATATAAGAATCTCATACATTTCAGAACATGTCTAAACCACAGGTAAAACAAAACATGTTCTATAAAAAGGATATTTTAGCTATTTGATCATCTAAATAATTGCAGCTTTTGCAATTTGATGATTGTCCCAATTCAAATTGAGATTTCGGTTCGATAGCAATATAATGAACAGCTGTAGATGGCCTTTTATTGTGATTGTTGAGATAATTATTCAAAGCGGTATGAGTCTGGGTGCCTGGCTACATACTGTAAATGTATTTGTCAAGAGATCAGGCCATGCAGTTTTGCTGTCCATCATTCTTTCATCAGAAAACATTTTTTTCTTTTTTATAGTAGCCTATTCAAAGGTAATACTTATGTGTTATGTGCACCTTGACAAGCTTTTTGGTCCAGGGTTTCTGTGCACGTGAAAAGCTAGATTTGTTCTCATGGCTCTCCTTGAAGCCACAGAAGATCTTTTTGGGGAAGGTCTCTTTCTGCCAAGTCTTGATCCGCTCCCCCTCCTCAGACACAAGGGACTGTGAGATGGACGAGTGCAGGGCAGACAGGCGCTCAGTGGAGGTGAAGAAACTCTGCCACGCCTTCATCAGCGAACCGTACAGCGGCCCTGGGGACACAGAGCAAAGAACCAGGCCATGAAATAAAACACACAGAGAAGGAGGGGGGCGATGTTGAGTCATGGAACCAATAAAGACGTAATGACCTCCATTTGTCCAAACAAGTCCAGATGCACTCATTTAATAACAATCAACAGTTCATGTGGACCTGATGAAAGGCAAATGTGCAAACGGTTCTGGAACATGCAGAGCTTTTATTGATGATAGGGCTGGGCACTCTTAATTATTGCTACTTCTTACTTTTTAAACCAAGGCTTACAATGTACTCATCATGTTCTTTTGTCATCAAAACAAATGTCATTTTATAAGTAGGGCTGCTTGATTATGTCAAAATTCATAATCATGATAACTTGGCTCACAATTGAAATCATGATAATTTCAAACAATTACTCCTATACTGTCAAAAATGTATAATGTAGAGTAGATCCAGGTTTTGATGGACAGAATATGTAATACAGATAGTACAGAAGCGAGAAGAGAATAGAGTAATAATAATAATTGCTATCACAAGTTAAACTTTGAATAATTACACACTCAGAATTTTGCAGTTACATACATATGTGGTTGCCGTGTGTCTTTTGTATATGTCCTTTCTTTGTTTCTGTTCCCCCTATGTCTACATTCTGGCCTATTAAGGGTGTACCCTGCCAAAGACCCATAGTTGCTATTAGTAGACTTCTAATAGAAATTATTAGAGAACTAGTAATTACATGGTCTTGTAATAATTAAGAGGGCCATGAAGAGAGATTGATAGTTGCTGTCAGTTCCAAACAGTTCAGTTTCATAACTATAGAAATAGAAAACTATTTGCAAATATGTGAACAAAGCACTGAACAGCTGAATCACTTACTAGAGTCTACTATTGTCTTCCACTTGGTGCTCCACTGGCTCAGCTGCTGTGCATACTGTCTCTCCACTTTAGCTCTTTCAAGAAAGCAGGCCACTAGATCATTAGAGGCCTGGAAGGACTGGTCAGTTCTGTGCACGGTCCGAACATAATTTCCAGGCTGAAAAAGCAAGAAATTGCTAAGATTTAGGATCTTATTATAGATTTAATGTAAAGTCTATTTCTCACCATCCAAAAGCTTAGTTTCTTGGGGTCCTCTGGAGGCTCCTTGGGGAGGCTGGCCATTGTTGAAAGATGTCTGTCATGCAGAGGCAGAGAGAGCTGTTGTCATTCAGCAGAGTAGTTAGACTGGTTAAGATGCACACAATACACAGGGGAAGCAGCTTTTATTGACAAACAGGTAGCAATGATTATCATGCCGCAGGTTGGACGTCTTGACTGTGAAATGTGCTGTTGGTGCTATGTGACAGTGGTATCTGAGAAGAAGTCATCGGCACCTGACTCTTAAGTGCATTTGTTTGGTTTAAGCGTATTACCATAACAACATCTCAGCCTCATGCCGAGTGCATGAGTAAGGGGAGTGCTCCAGTGGCAGACTGGAATTCACAGGGTGGGATCTGACAGCAGGAATAGAGCAGCTGCTCCGGCATTCTTCCTGTTGCCTTCCCAAAATAAACAGCGACGAAAGGTCATCTTTCACCAAGGCTCTGACTAATACAAGCTGTGTTATAAGCAATGCGCTCTATTGGAAATCTATATAATAGTGCAATGTAGTGTTTTTAGAGTGACCAAACACCAAACAAAAGGAAGGACAAGCAAACAAGCAGATAATGCAGCTACATTCAGGCCTGTTGGGGAGTGCTGACACATGGCTGACTAATATGAAGTGACTAACCACACCTCATCATAGACAGAGCATGGCACAGAGGCTGCTGCTAACTACAGCCAAAGTCTTTTCTATTGGTGCCTCATAGATTAACACACTTTATTTCCCGTGGTAACACTGAAAGAGCAGCTCAGGCTTCTGTCATGTCAAAGTGTCCAGTACACACGCCAAGAAGAAGATCACAGCACACAAAGCAGCAGCAGAGTAGGCACACCAGGCACAAAGCAGCACTTACATGTCTCCCTGAATCACCACTGATTACTCAAGTGCTCACTTGTTACTGGTAGGGCCGCTTTGAGGGTCTCCTACTCCATTTGTGAGTCCATCTCCCCTATCCCATCCCCGTGCCTCTCTCCTCCTCTAACACAAGCTCTTCCCTCTCTCACTGACCCAATTTCTCCCCCTTGGCCCTTAAAGTTACACTCGCACTATGTTGATTCAAAAGTGGGTGTGGAAATAAAAACACACGCCTGGTGATCTCTTTGCTGTCATTTGGCTTTAGGGCAAACAGTTAAAAGAGGAGGGAACTTACCTTTGTAGCTCTGCTCCACAGTCCCACAAATGATAGAATTTCAGCTTTCCTTAGTCAAAGTCCATGTTGGTTAACCAGTGTTTAACATTGACAGTCCACTCTGCTAGTATTAAAACAGCTGGCAGAGTCCCCCTCCTACCCTTCTCTGCCCGTCCCTCCCTCGGCCTGTCTCAATATGGTGCTAATGAGACAGGGGTCCTTCATTTTGACCTGGCAGTGTTCACAGAATCATGTCACTGTGGCACAAAGTCATGTGAGCTTATTAGTGACAGTGTGTTAGAGCAGGGGCTGTCCCATGAAGCTATGTGCAACATTTAGTCCTCTATGTGGGCTCCCTTTGTGACCTGCCAACTCTGGTCGGGCCTAGAAACACTGAATTGTAATAGTAGTGTGTACAGTGTGTATTTACCTCCGTGTTGGGGTGGTGTTCTCTTTGGGACAAAAGCCAAGGGAACACTACAGTCATCCAAACCGGTGATGCACCTCTGGCACCAACATGTGGTTTACATTGACATTCTCCTTTCAGATCAAGGTTGTATATACTGTGTTCAAAACAAGAACTAATAGTTAACAGATTGTCAAAGAAAATGTGCAAATCATATAGACAGGCACTTTTAACACACTTTTAAACTTAAGTGTAAACCACAATTGTATGGTACTTACTAGCTCAAACTCATTTAACCATGGAATAATTAGGAAAAGAAATTGAGTAACACTTTATAATAATATGCATAACTAGCCTTAACAGAGCACAAAGAAAGACCATAATGAATAAATAATACTACATCTATTTAGTTCATTAAGAATGATTCACTCTTAGTAACTACTTGATTAATACCTTAGTAAGCCTGAATCATTCTTAATAAACTATTTGTACATTAAGTCTTTTTTTAATTAAGGCTAAGGTGTAGGTCACTCTTATAATGTATAACCAGAAATATTTATACAAGTGTAAGTTAAATTGGCATTGCATTTTCTTACACATAAGACAAAACACTGAATTTCACTGCCAAGACCGAAAAACATTATAATAACTTGGAAATTCCAGTGTGAGTAAGTGTCTTTCTTGCATCACAAAGTAGGCTCCCATATTTTCCTTAGTCACTATGATAGTTACCTCATACATTAGCCTATTTTATTTTCTGAAATGTGTTTTTACAGTGTCAAAAACTGTTCACTGTTAAAGTTAGCAAAAACATACAAAGTATTGCTATGTTAAGACTTGGCTATGTTTCTATGGTGCTATGGCTTAATGGCAGAGGTGGGTTCACTCAGAAAAACAACCTCTGACATGTGTAATGTTGCTAATCGCTAACAGACTGTGCCTGAGGGTAAAACCTGGGCAACATGGACCTTACAAAGCCCTTATATTTACAGTAGATTATAATGGAGCTCAAATAGGCCACCATCATAGCAAACAACCAGTATTCATCTTGGTCCAAGTTGTTTTGGAGCCTCGCAGGCACCTCTTTAGTTTACTGCATGAGTGAAGAAACCACTTGTTTTGGATTAAGCCATCTCATCTTCCCTCCTTTGTCCCATTAGTGTGCAAAGCCTGATGGGAAAGTAATTCTGGAAAAAAAACAATGGATCGTTCAACCACCTCAGGACTGAGAGGAGTAACTGCCAAACGACTCAATTCAGAACAAAAGTCTTTGAATGTGAATGAGGGACAAGAGAGACAGAAAACATAATTTTACCTTTTTATTTCAACACCTTAGTTATACCTCTATCATAATATTCATCATTATATATACTGTATTTTAATAAAACAAAACTTTATATATTCATTTATTTATATACTTTAATCTCTGCATACTTATGGTCATATTGTTTGTAGTTGCATTCATTATGCATTTCACTAGACCTAAATCATAGTTTGTAATGCTTTCTACACTACTGCTCAGTCCTATTGTGCCAGGGTAGTGTCCATTCACTCAGAGTCATGTTGAGGCAGATGCATTATGGAACACATCAGAGTTACCACAGTTCGAGCAGTATAGAAAGCATTTGGAAAAAAGAAAAAAAAAAAAAAGAAATAAACAAAAAAAGTATCTTAAGAGAATTTGTCCACACATATTGGAAGACAAAGATTCTTAAAAAGTTGTACGTACTTAATATAGTCATTATAATATACTATGATAATTATGTTGTAATTGTCAGCATGAATAAATATACTGTAGATCTATAAATGATGGGTTCTTGCCTCATATTTGAAGCCAGTGACAAATAGCTAATGTTTACATGTAATTCTTTAATGTATCTCTTCCAAAACTGGGATATAGAAAAAGGATGTATTTACTCTGGGCAAAAGTGTGAGGTATAAGGATTATTTTGGAGGGAAATTATGTTTTTGGACCATCATTTACATGTTTCATCAAAGGCGTTACAAATAATGTAAGTTGAGTAAAGCATTTGGCCACTGAGGCAGACACAGCGTCAGACACAGAGAGTGAGGAAGTCGGTCAGACAGAAGAAGCAGAAGAAAGCCCTTTTATGATCACTGCACCTGCTGTGAACTCACAGCACTCCATGTTATGGCATCAGAGATTTCTCAGCCAGTGCTATGGCCAAACTTACTCTTGAAGTAATGTGCACATAATTCCACTTTCAGTTTGCTTTCTCATGATTGTATGTAGAAAATATAGTTATTTTCTAATGCTGACTTTGTGAATTCTATACATACACTGTAAAAAATACCCTGACCAGAGACTGCAATCAGCACAGTACAAACAAGTGGCTTGTGGATACCATTGAACATAGATATACTAAGGCAAAAGACGCACATAAATAGCCGGAGCATTAATTTGGGCAATTTGCGTATAATGAATAATACTATGATTCTTTTAACATTTTAGCCACCATTTACAAACAGAATCTTTGTTGTCATATTTTAACCATGAATCCATTGCTTACAGCCATTTGAATCTCAGATGTGCTTAAAGCTACAGAACAGATGTTTGATGTAAAACGCATTGTTTCACAACAGTTTGTGGCCAAATAAGTTGAGAGTCAGTGATGGATTTCGAGCAGCAACTTTTTGACTCTTTCTTGAACTATGATGAGAGTTTTCTTACAGCAGATGGTGTGACAGTCCATCTGTTAGTAGATGTGAATACAGAAGTGTATGTATAAGTTTATTTTGATAGCACAAAATGGTGTCCAAGTATTTCTTCCATTTGACACAATTTTCATATCTCAAAATATATCACTGCATTATCGGTGTATGGCATATTAGCAGCCCTTTGTCCTGTTGAAGTCCACTTTTCTTCTCTGGTACATCCTTTGTATGCCTCTGTTCATAATAATAATTCCCTTTGATTCATCTTAAAGGTCCCCCCTCAGTCTGTGTCTTGGGGAGAAGTAGTGACATGCATGGGAGAACTGGGTACCCTGGGGAGAGAGGTTAAATCAATGTATAAGAATGGGAAAGATTCAAAAATAAAAAGTATGTAAAGTTGATAAAGATAAAGAATAGGAAATATGACTAAGAAAAAAAGAAATGACTATGGTAAACAAAGAAAGGGGATGGTGACTTTAGGAAGAGGATGACCTTCCAGTACCATCCATACTTCCTTTGTGACTTTTATAGGCATTTGTCCCAAAGTTAGTCCATCCTCCCTCACCTGTCTGTGAGCTTCTTCAGTGCCCGCTCGATGTTCATGCGGTGGCCTACTCTCGTCACCCCCAGGTCCAAGAAGTCGTCTTTTGTTAGTGAAGGTAGATGTGATCCATCAATCTCATTGTCTATAAAACGCTCCCTATGTTCACCCAGGTTCAGGTACGTCAGCCAGTCCGCTACGTCGTACTTGGTCCAGTAGGGCAGGGGTTTCACAGCAAAGGGTTTGGCTGGTGGTGGTGGGGTGAGGTGGGGAAAGTTGAGGCATGATGGGCTGGGGGGCAGGTGCAGAGGGGAAGATGCCCCAGAGAGAAAGTGAGTGGGAGATAAGGAGCGAGAAACTAGCAGCGGGTTTGGACTCTGCATCCCTGATGGTGAGTACAGTGGTGGTGTTGAGGCCTGGTAGGGGTCTCCAAGTGGGAGGCCGGGGGAGGGTGGGGTGAGTGGGCCAGGAAAGTCAAAGGGGCCAGTGTAAACGGGTGTGCTGGGAAGTATGGGGAGTGAAGAGGGCCTAGGTGGAGCAGGGTTTTGCTGTTCTGTGTTGTAGATAAGAGGACTAGGGGCCCGACGGCGAGAAACTGATGACCGCATCTCCTTTGTGGGGCTGCACTGGAAGTCAAAAGTCTGCCTGCGCATTTTGGAGCGATGCTTTGGTGATGTGGGATACGGACAGTATGTTGGAGAATGTGGAGGGTGAGAGTGAACTGGGGATGTGGGCATCTGTGGGGATGGAGAGCGGGTCCAGTTCCGCTGCACTGGTACATGAGGTGTGGGGGAGACAGAGGGGGAGGCAGCCAGGTTAGGGGCGAGAATCTGACGGTGCTGTGGTGAAGAGGTTGGTAAAGGTGATGTGGAGCGACCAATCGGAGGACTGTGAAAGGCATCAGAGAAATCTGCAGAATACCTGAAAAACACAAATAAAACTATATAGCTTCAAAAGGAAATACGTAAGTGAAGTTGAAACTAACTCACAGAATATTGTAGTGCAACTTTTGTCACACAAAATGAATGGATAATGACAGATATTTTTGTTATTTACAGCTTTAACCACAGAGGAGTTTACCAGCCTCCTTTGAGACTCCACTGGGAAAATAGCTATTATAGCATGTGGAACTGTCATCCCATGACACTGATGTTTTAACACCATTGTATTACATTGACTAGATACTCACTGAGGCAGTGATACACCAAACTCTGCACTATAATTACTTTATGTAAAGCCATACAAACCTGTTCATGGTGGGTGATTTGGGAGACTGACTCCAGTCGTCCATGCTCTTCATTCCGCTCATCTGCTGCAGCTTGGAGCTGAGCTCATTGATGATGTTAGCCTTCACCCCAGACAGAGGTGAGTGTAGCCTACGGCCATCCATGGCCATGGCCCCTCTTGGGATCCTTCCCTGTTCATGCTCCTCCAGATCGACCCAGCTCACCTGCCGAGTATCCATGGGCCTCTCTAAACATGCTGCCAAAGCGGTACTAAAGCCATCCTCCATTTTGGATCTGCCTTGTTTTCCTCTTGCATCTGGGAAAACTCCATCAAACCTAGGATCTTCAGGATTGACTTGTCTGTGCAGCTGCAGTGGAGCAGGATTGGTACTATTCTGTCGCCGAAGTGCAACCGAGGGACCCCTCCCTCCCCCTTCTTTGTAATGAGTCATCTTTGGAAATGCAGGATTTGCCAGTTTAGCACTGAGTACATCAAATGTTTGCCCACCTGAGTAGGCTGTGCAAAGATCCTGGTTCTCAGAAACCTTTTCTGTTTCTCCTGCTGTCCCTCCTCTGTCACCCCTTAGTCCAGACAAACCCAGCATCTCCAAATGATGGTCACTACTGCTGTGACTGTCCAGCTCTTCTATACCAGAGTCCACCACTGCATCCTGCCACTCTCCACTCTTATGAATTGTGTTGGGATGATGCGGATGGTCAGCAGCTTTACCTCCTGGGGCAATGCTAGCTTTGGGCCCTGTCATGCTGTACTCAGTGGTGGTAGGGGAGGTTGTAGTAGTAGTGGCTGCTGTAGTTGCAGTCATAGTGGTAGTTGCGTATGTCATAGTAGTGGTGAGAGCAGCAGTACCTCTGTCTGGAGGCAGGCTTTGTTCACTCACAGATGGGTCATTGGAGCTACTATAATAAGGCAGGGACTGGGACATGGGCTGTGGCCTGTGCACTGATGTTGGAGCAGCAGAGCTTGTAGCAGCTGTGGTTGTAGGTGGAAATATCTGAGGTGAAGGGTAAGACGGTGACAGGGCGGACTGTGTGAGGTTGGCCACTTCGCTGTCATACGAGGTTAAACTGGACGTGGCTGAGTCCCCTTGTGAAGTGGTCTGAGAGGTATTTTTGGCAGGTGGAGGTGGATGAGGTACACCAGCGGCGTTTTGAACATGATGCGGTATACCCCTCTCATGTTTACCATTGGCAAACTGAAGTGGCGGGGGTAACGGGTCAACAAAGACAAACTCATCTTCTGCATCTATTGAAGGAGCAGGTGGAGGGAGAACCATAAGTCCTAGACCTTCTTGGGACTGTCCTACCACTCCCCTGCCCGCACTTTCATGTGATGGGGCTGAAGGGACAGTGTATTGAGGAATGTAGCCCGTGTGAGAACTGTCAAATTGAAGAAATGAGGGTCTGCATGGAGCTGGTTGACTTGGCGGCGGCGGTGGCTGCACCATTGATACAGGCCTGTTGTTGTACACCTCTTTCTCTTTTGAGCTAGGGTAATACTGCGGTGAATACTGACTGGTTCTGTCCTCCGAGAAGCGAACTCTGAGACCCTCTCGTGGTCCTCCTTCCTTCTCTCTCTCTACCCTTTCTCCACCACCCAAACGCAATATCCTCGGGGACTGGGGCCGGCTGAGCGATGCCGGTGAGGTGGTGGCAGTAGGTGACGTTAGATGCATTGAAACTGGAGAAGTATATGTTGATTGGGTAGGGGTCGCAAAAAGTGAAGGAGTTGGGGTTTGAATAGGGGTGGGAAACGATCCAACGGTAGACATTTGACGACCAAAATATCTATCATCACGCCGTGTTCTACGGTCATCCTTCAAGGCCCTTTCTCTTGCTGCTAAGGCTAGACCAAGTGGTGATGAAGGGTCCAATACTTTCCCAGTCAGTGGATGGATAAACGTAGTAGTAGGCTGGTGGCCATACATTGAGGGAGCTGACTTGGGCTGGCCATCGTGACTGAGAATCGGTGAGGAATACTCCGGTAAACCAAAAGCAGGGGGCATACTGCTGGAGTAGTTGACATAGTTATCTCCAGAAAACATGCCCTCATCAATAGACTTTGAAGGCCTTAATCGAGGCATAGGCACATCCATTTGAGAGCCGTGTAAAGGCTGAATCCTGCTCCCATACTGTCCACCTAGATCACCTCCACCAGCCTCTCCTTGGATATCCTCCTCTGATGACAGGAAAAAAGAAGCACTTTTTCTCCTCATGTCTCGAAATCGTTCCCGTTCTTTCCGCGCTCCTACACCGTCACCCCCTCTACCACTCCCCAAGCCTCCATATGATGTTCCCATAGAAGATGTGTAGTCTAGGTTTTCCACATTTTGTTGGGATGTAACAATAGGGGCAGTTGATGAAGGTGTTGATGTGGATGTTGGTGGTTGGGGTGCTGTGGTGAGCGGCTGAGGCAGGCTGTTGTTGGGACTGTCTGCTGAGTTGTCTGCAGAGGGAGAGGGGGGTTCTTCCGCATCCTGAGACTGCTCTGCCTCCATGCTGCTCCCCTGACTGCTGCGCCCACTGCTGCTTGTGGATGGAGCTTTTACGATGATAGTAGGTATTGGAATAGAACTCTTCTCTTTAGGAGCCCCACCTTTAGCTCTATGCTGTCGGATGCCATCTTCCACTTTTGATTGTTTCATCAGAGCACCGCGTCCCCCTCTCCTGGCTCCACCTCTCCCCGCTGCCCCAGGTTGTTCTCTGTTGCCCATTTGTGGGTGCTGTGGCACTGGTTGCGGTTTAGGTTTAGCACTTGTTGGTGGTGTAGCACTACTATATCCTCGTCTCAACCCGCCCATTTTCCCACCGCCTCTTTTTGGTGCTTCTTGCTCTCGGACAAGTCCTTCCGATTGTCGACGAAGGGTGGGAACCATGCCCCCTGATCCTGCTCTGTCCCAGCCTGCTTGAGAGGGATGTCCTACCTGGGGATGGTGTTGGTAGTGAGGTTGGGAGACAGGGGGTATGGGCATGGCAGGGCCTCTACCAGTATAAGGGCCTGCAGATAGGGGTGGCTCTGGGGCAGATGTGTTTGGGGGTGGAGGGATTTCCTCAGGCCCTGGGACTGAGAGGCTCCGGGACAGCTTCATAGCAGGTGGGTGGAGAAATCCCCGCTCCTCCTCCATTGCACCTGAAGACATAAAAACAGTTAAGCCAAATCAAACTACAAATAAAATAAGATATCTTTTTCAAATGTTGGACGCTACCGATGGATTTTTGTCGCATCATAACTGCATGTTGAGGTCCCTGACCTGGCTGGTAGTAAGCTTGGTTATAGCCATAACCAGGTCCAGACTGCATCATACTCATTGAAGACTGCTGATCATAAACTGGCTATAAAAAAAAAAGAACAGACAATAAATAAAAACAAAAAATGAGTCATATGTTTTATATGCACAACTATTAGAATTCTGGCACTGGATAGGTAACAGTTAGACACCACCAATGGTAAAATGTCTTTCTAAAAATGCTCACAAAAACCTGTTAACTTGTAGCATGCAATGCTATTTTGTCTATTTTCTCATTTGATATAAATGAAAAAGGTGTAAATGTATCTGCCTGCATAATTTGTTATGCTTTAGGCAGCAGAAGATTATAGATGAATGGACACTACCTGACTCACACTTAACAAGTGTTCTCATGTGGGTGGGCTATTGTCAATCATCCTCTGTAAAGACCAGCGAGGGCAGTGGCTAAAAAAATCTAAAGATCAAGTCGCTTTTTAAGCATCAGCATTAGTCACTAAATCATGACTAATCTGAGCTACATCTCAGTGCATTAGAAAGTTATTCTCTCTTTGTAATATATAGGACCTAAACATATTTAAAGGGACAGTTTAGAATTTTGGACTTAAGGCCTCATTTCCTAGTTAGCCAGAATGTTGGAGACGTGTGGAGACATTTAAAAAAATATTTCCATCCAGTCCTTGTATTTGCAGAGGTCGCTAGTGCTAGGCTAGCGCATGTCAATAGCCATAGTTAACCTGACAATAAAAAAGTCTTACCCACTCCACAAAGCACCCGAGGCAAAACAGTTATAACGCCAGAATGTTGATGTGAATGTCTGTGTTGATAGAATAATTTTAGAAGTAAAACAAACCTTGCATTTGAAGGATTTATGTGTGAGCAGCAGCAGCAAGTTATACTTCCTGATAGAAAGCTTGGCAGCAGCGAACTGATATATGAGAAAATAGTCCCTCAATATGCGATGAGTCATGCGATGCAAGGTTAGTTTTATTTCAAACTAGGGATGGGCATTTAATAAAATTTTCTTAATCGATCGATTATTGATTAATCATTAAGGTTTTTATATTAAAATTCAGTCTCACAGAAACAAAACTTAAAACTACATGGCTAATTTGCATAAACTAAGCGAAGAAAAAAAAAACTGCTCTTGTGCGCTGATGCGGCACTACTGAGTGGAATACAGGTTAGTGTGACCATATTTGCGTTTGACAAAACCAGGACACCGTACGGGAGGTGGGAGGTGGGGCCTCGTCATCGACATTGCGCTACTCTCACCTGGCAAAGCTTTTTAATGTTTTCGGTGTCCTGGTGAGCTTTTTCCCACTGGACACCTAAACATATGTGCCTGCTTTGTACACTGTGCACATGACTACCCACTTGTCCCGACCGGAACAGAAAGCGTAGAATTTCTTGTACAAGTCATCATTAAATATGGATTTGCGCTTTGGCATGTTGCAGGCTGACCGACTGTAGCTACATGTACGGACCCCTGTTTGTCCCCGGACACGGTCACCCTACGCTACACACAGCAACCTACATTCGGTTTGTCGATTAAAATGAACGTAATCGATGAAATTCTTACTGATCAATTATCGATTAATCGACTAATCATGCCCATCCCTATTTCAAACATTATTCTATCAACACAGACATTTACATCAATACTCTGGTGTAATAATAGATTTGCTTTGGGTGCTTTTTGGAGTGGGTAAGACTGTTTTTAGTGGCAGGCTAACTATGGCCATTGACATGCGCTCGCCTAGCACCAGCGACCGCTGCAAATACAAGGACTGGATAGAATTTTTTTTAAAAGTGTCTCCACATGTCTACAACACTCTGGCTAACTAGGAAATGAGGCTCTATGTCCAAAATTCTGAACTGTCCCTTTAAGCATATTTAGCATTGCCACTAAGGCTGTGGTCCTTTAAGTTGTTAAGTCAATTAAGTCTTTGTTGATTTTTTATTAGTCAACTAATAATTTTATTAGGGTTAGAAGGATTTATGTGAACCGCAGCAGAAAGGAATACTTGGAATGAGTTAGCAAGTGATTTGGGAGTGATTGGGCAGTTCAAGCAGCCCTAATTTCCACAGCTAGAATCACATAGTTTTATTACTCTAGTCTATATTCTAGGTAATAAAAGTCAAGAGTGTACCTCGTTGGGTGTGTTGGGAGCAATATTCTTGCCCCTGTCCCTCTTGCCCCCATGACCCCTCTGTCCCTGGCTCTCCGGTGTAATCGTGTGTTGGGCAGCAGCCAAGATTTCGTCCAGTTTATCTGAGACACAGAGTGGACAAGGAGGTCAACATGACTCAAGAGAGCATAACAAGTCCTAAGCTTTTTCTTATTCTTACTCCTTGCCCTATTAATTCCTTTTGCCACTTAAAGGGCCTGTATTACCTTATTTTCTGATTTATGTTAGAATGTTGTTACCTCAACAAAAACATACCTGGAGTTGTGTTTTCTTTCATTCATACATGTATAACGCACAAACCCTGAATATTTAGGCTGAGCTCTTCTCTCAAAGAGAAAACATTCTGTTCCACCATGTGATGTCATGTGGTAATACAGAAAGTGCCCCACTGTGTTTTAAACTTCATACACCCTCACTAGAATCATTTGAAAATTTTCTGTCCTAGAATTTCTAATCACTACTGAACAAATTGCCTAGTATGAAAGTGGTGTGTGCGTGAGTGATGCTGGTGGTCGGAGGGGCCAATGGCACAGATTGGCAGCCTTGCTTCTGTCAGTCTGCCAGGGCAGTGGTGGCTACAGTAATAGCTTACCACCACAGAGTGTGGAATGAATGACTAATGCTCTGTAAAGCATCTTTGAATGTACAGAAAAATGCTATATAAAACTGATCAAGTAAAAGGTAAAAGGTAACCGTTAACTTGAAAACTACCACCACATGACATCATGAGGTGGAATTTTTGAGTTTTGGAAATGTAGACAGACTAATAAAGCAAGATTACTCAAATATGTGTGAAAAAAACAAAATACAACTACAGGTATGTTTTTGATGAGTTAACAACACAAAAACATGGCTTACAGCTCACAAGAGTCAAATTTGTGTAATACAGGACCTTTAAAGGGTGAGTCCTAAGGAATGAGATGCCAATATAACTTTTCTTAAACAATTTAAAATAGCTTTTTAATACATGCTGAGATGACTACTTTACACAATGTTTTGTTTAAGAGGGCTTGTGTTTTCACTAAATTCAGCAAGTATTTGAAATGCAGAGGAATCCGTGTTCCATCTGAAGACACTTGAGTACCACCAGTGATACAAGTACCACCATATGAGCACCACTGCCCCAGAGTTCTACTGCAGTTTAAATATTTGCTGAATTTAGAGTGAACTTAATCCTTTGAGGTAGCACTTATTTAGAACAATTGTTAAGCCCTATTTAAACCTGGTTTGAGCAGGTGGTACTCCAACAACACCAAGTATTTTCATAGGTGGTACTTTGTGTGAAAATCTAAGAACCACTACTGAATGCTTAAATGTTTAAAAGGGGCCAGTGAGACACAGTAAATTGGTACTGGGTCTTAATTTTCAAAACACACTCAATTTCACAAGAGCTTTTATAGTTTCTTACTCAGTGCCATCTGATAGACTGTCCTTTTCTTATCTGGGCCCTGGGATGGTTCATACTCTGCAAAAAGAGGAAAAGCTTCAACTGATGTTGTTTTAATTAAAGCTGGTGGACTGATGGGGGGAATGATAAGAGCTGATATTCACCTGCTTTCTTTTTCCATGGAGAGGCAGCTGTTGCATGCATTATTTGAAAAATAGAAATCAAACTTGTGACTCAAAGCGCAATGCCCATGCTAACTGTATATACTCTAAAGCAAATGAAAGGATGGAGTACATACATACACTATACTGGTCACGTGACACATGTGATGGCGTGAGTGCTGATGAGAGGACAGGGACTAGGATGAAGGACATAAAAAACAACCAGGGAACACATTGCTGACATATCCACACCTTTGTCCACTGTACGCAGCATACAGCATGTTGTTGGAAGGGTTCAGAAAGAAAGATTAGTTAGACATCATGTTTATAAAAAGACACTGGTGAATATATTTTCCTAATAGTAACTATGCTTTGTAAATGTGCACCCCCTGAGAATAACTGTAGTTTTCTTAGAGTCTCCTTTGTCGTCTTACCCATCTCTTCCAGCTCTGATGTCATGGACTTGGAGCGCAGGGCGATGGCAGGAGGGGTCAGTCTCTTAGTCTGCTGTGGGGCTGCCAAAAGGGAACCCAGCCAAATACAGTCTTAATGTAATGTTTAGTACACTCATATAAACACACAGTCACCAATGACAACACTCAGGCTTTTTAGAAAGACACATACAAGCAATCACTCTTTGTATTGCACCATTAAAAAAAGTGGAACACATCATGGGGAAAAGCTGAGTCGTACCTCTCTTCCTGGTGGTGTCCTCGAGCTCTGGGTTTCGCGCCACCATGACGACCTTCACCATCAGGCTGTTGCCCCCTTGTCGGATCATGTTGACCACCTGCCTGTGACCGACCTTGACCACATTCTGCCCATTCACCTGACCACAATACAAGGATATTATGAACCATTAGAGTGTAAACATTCCACGCTAGAGTAAATATTTATTCCCTCTCTATCCAGAAGTAACTTCAGCAGTACTAAAACTAAAAACCTGCCATTCCTGAGCAATTACAAAAGCTGCCACAAAAATGACTCACTGCCGGTTGAATATGTAACATATAAATTAGCATTTGGTTGAATTTAATAGAGGTGCACATTTAAGAAAACATCAGTAAAGGGACAAAGAAACTCTGTTGATGTGGCACTAAAAAGGTTCTGTGATTACCGCAATATTAAGTGGCTGTGTAGCCTACGCAGCACCATTTTTCAAGAACAAAATGAACTAAGAAACTCATAATAAATAATACTTTGATTAAATAAATATTTGCCTTTGAGCGTACACACACAAGTGTAACAAATATGGCAATTTTAAGCCTCTGACATCATGCTTTAACTTAACCTGTATTTAAACAGACATAAAAAGCTGCATACAATTGACTTACTTTTTTTTTCTTTTAATAACAATCTTGTAATTTCTAAGCTAATTTCAAACAAGAATGTTCCAGTGGCTTTGTTCTAAATCTCACAAAATCATTTTTAAAGTCATATGACGACAAAACTGTATTTATCACTCACTGAGAGGTTGGAGCCCTGGGTCTTTAAGGCATTATAAGAGTGCATCTCTAATTGTGTTACCATCAACAAACAGCACGCTGTGTAATTCAAACATAGCATCACCAATCAGAGCCAATCACACTTTTTCGATAAAACGTAATTTGTCAGTGGAAAACTTTTCTGTCTGTTGACATAGGCCTGCATTTAAAGCACTGGAAACATTGCATAATGCGCTAAGACTGGACCAAATGCTGAGTAAACAGACAAAACTGATGATTAAATCTAATGTACCATGGGAACCACGGATTAAGAGCCATGAAGCATGGTCCTTACCTCGATGAGGAAATCCCCCATCCTGAGGCCGGCCCTCCAGGCCACGCCCCCCTCATCGACAGATTCCAGGTACTGAAGCGCGGGGAAGGCTGGCGTGGGGGTGAACTCCTCTATGGGAGTCTGGGCTGCAGTAATGAACAGGATTTGAACGGATTAAAGAATGCTACTGGAAACAGCAAGTCTATCATAAGTTCTGTGGGCACAATTTGATCAAAGCTTACCCTTGGCACCTCGCAGCACAAAGCCAAACCCCTCATTGTCTTTCTTCTGTAGCAGCACTGTCTTCTCCTTAATGATGTAGTCACTTAGAGAAAGACAAGTAAAAAAAAGCTTCTATTTTAGATAAACTGCCTCACAGAATATGTTTACTGCAGCAAACAGGATAATTGGCAGAGGATGACATACAAAGAGATGATGTTAGTTTTTGTTAATGAAAAGTGTATCTGAGGTGACATGCAATACTAAATGGGTTAATGCACTTTGAAGAGACAGGGACTGGATCAAGAAAGAATTGCAGAAATCGCAAAAAATTAAAATTTTGCATTAAGTTTTGACATTCATAACATGAACTCTCATATATGACACATTTAATTAGACACACTAAGGCAAGACTCTATATCCACAATACTGACGCCTGGGAAGACAGACAGACTGGATGAGACTTGCGGTGTAGCGTTGCCATTATTCCATTATTATATTACCACGTCTGGGACTTTTGACCAAGCTCTCTGTAATACACTGCACACGGGTGGTCAAATGGACTCCACGCTGCCACATCTCATGAATCATTTCTGGGCAAGCGTTTCCAACAATATCAATTCCCCCTTGTTCTCGCAGTGAAACCCGCGGCTCAACAAGAGATGGATGATGTAAGAGGAATTGCATCTATTTCTTTAGAGGCAGATCATTTCTGCATTAGTTGGCACTCGGCCGTTTAACTCCAAGTGACTTCACACCTCAAACCAAAAGACATGAAACAATAAAAGGGCTGCACCGTGGACTGGTTTGTTACCGAGGTCTACTGCCAAAACAATGGACCTAGCAACGGGCATTACAGGAAGTAATTTCCATTGCTAATCATTTTTTTTATTTGGAACTTCAGACGGGTTGCTTCATAATATGCATAAACACTCTATTTAGCTGCAAGTTAAATGCCTCCCACACTCAAGAGACGGACTGTGGAGCTGTACATTCCATCTCTGAGCAAAACAAAGGCATTTGCACATTAAATGCTAGAATAATAGTTGTCTGTCTGCTTTGCCGGAATTTGGATTTGGACATTATAAATATGAATCCCCACACAAAAGGTTGCTCCTTATGTCTGAATTAAAACCAGGAATAACATTCACAGTAAAACATATGACAAATTAATATGCAAATCATATCAATTTGTTGCTGCCATGTCCCATTAAAAAAGCCAATGACAAGAAAATGTATTATTTCAATAAAGTCCACAATACAAGTTAGCTCTGTGCAGTAATGCAGCAATGTGTGACTCCTGGAGGTGCAGTGGAGTCGTGAGCCACAGGCCTGGAGTCCCAGACTTCAACACCAAGCCATAACTTTAGCACCCAGCAGACGATCACTAGTTTCCCCTACTGAGGTCCATCCCTTATGTGTTCTCCATCAATGTTAACTGTTTCGCCAACGCACGGCCGCCTTCCATCCATCTGCTCCTCACACCTCACTCCTCTTTTCTCTCACCCTGTCCTCACATCATGCCTTCCTTCTCAGAGGATCAAAGTAGCATGCAGTGGGTGGACGCTCCAGCGGGCCGGTCGACTATGGGTCTACCTCTCCCGGAGGTGGGTCATGATGTTCTGCCTGCAATGGACTACACTCCTGAGTCATCCTCTCCACTCAACACAATTACCAGAGAAAAGCAGTTTTAACCATTCATCTGCTTTTAGGCGTCTGTTTGAGGACCCCACAAGTGATACACTGGATAACTATGGACATGAAGACAAGCAGCAGAGATATGTATAGCCTACTATACTGTTTCAGAGACACTCCCTCAGCAGTCGTACACTATGACGTATGCGGCTTATATGTGAAATGTCTATGTTCTTTTCACAATGGACACACACACAAACCCAACCACCGGCAACACCGCACACTCCCCCCCTCCCCAGCATTGACTTTTATCTCCCGGTGCAGGTAAAATGGCTAATAATAAAATATCAATGTGGACATGGACTGGTGGGAAGCACAGGCAGACTTTAAATGGGGAAGTGGTGAATGAGTATGATGTGCTTAGAGAAATCATGACTCAAAGACAATGAAATACACCCACACTGTCTGACTGAAACGCATCAATATGAGCGCTCGCTAACACACAAGGGGACACACACACATGCACACAAGAGGGAGAAAAGACACGCAAAAAACACAAACATGCTGCAGTCACTCGTCAATGGTCGCCACATTGATAAAACATGCAGGGAGGGAACAGAGGACTAGGCATCCTCGTACATACACGGACACACAACACATAGCTTATTAGACTGTCTTTGAAAAGGCACGGCCTGTCAGTAGCAACATCTACCTCTCCCCTCTCTCCATTGTCCTCTCCTCACATCCATAGCCAGCCAATGAATGAGGAAACAGCCCGCTACCTGTAAATGTACCACACGCTCCTGTTTCTGGGGCCCAGTGACGGCCACGAAGAAGAGAGGGAGAGAGAGAAATCTCGCTCTCCGCATCCCCCCATTGCCGCGAGCCCCCCCTTTTCTCCTCTCTCTCTCCACAGCGCGCTCCTCACACCAGCGCCGCACCTCCTCCCCCCTCCTTGCTTGCTCTATCCTGCTACAGCTCAGCCTCACACCAGAGAGAGAGAGAGAAACAGGAGAAGACAATGTGGAGCTAAAGAGGACGATTCCCAGTGGTTATCGCAACACAGGGGGGGACGTAGGGAGATGGAGAGAGCAAGGTGAGCAGTGGGAATGCAGTGGGGGGATGGGTGAACAGCAAAAGGCGATATGGGGACATGTACTGCATATTTGCAGATCATATTAAATATCACTTAAAAATACCATGATAATAGAAGTGTTTATTATTGTATGTATAGCAAGGAACCTCAAATAAATAACAGTTGATAACAAAGCAAAGTCCACTTCAAAATATGCTCTGACTGGTCTTTACAGTAAATTACCATGTTCCAGCATTAAAAAAAGGTGCAAAATGTTGCAATGTTGTTCACCAGCATTGCAAAATACATACATGCAATATAAAATGAAGTGGTCTCACTCTCAGATAGGGATAAAGAAAAATAATTATAATATCTGAATGTGTTACATTTTTATTATTCATTACAAGTTTAACAACAGTTCCAAAGACAAAAGTCAATATGGCTTCACTCCATACTCTTGATGGTGATGAGCTGCCAATCTGCTTCATATGCCCCAACAACCACTGACACCCACATTCATTGAGTGAATTGTCTTACCCACAGACACAACAACACTGTGCTCTAGTAAGAGCTGGGATAGAACCACTGACCTCTTGGTTGGTGGGCAAACCAATTACCATTAAGTCAAGGCACTGCTGCCCTAATAATTCCTATACCGGATTAGGCTATTTTAATGCTGTTTCCAACCACACTTCAAAATCTGTAAAAGCAGTTCTAAATTTAACTCTAAGGCCAAGGCCAATCAATTTCAGGGATAGTAGACCATCCACATGTTAGCAAAATATAAAAAAAGAATGCCTAAACTTAACATGTGAATCTGTAAATGACTGTTTTTATGGTGCACTAAATTTGCCTGTAGAACCCTGTTCCTGGAGCTGTCAGCGCCCCTCGAGCGAACACAGCTCTACAACAGTCATTGACATTCTCCTGTGCGCAGCGCCACAGAGAGGGGGAACATGGTCCAGATCACAGTGTAATGGAGCACCACTTCACTTCACCATGTGGCTGCAATTACCACCCCCCTCCACATATGTATCAGGACCCATGGGCTGCCACTGCATTCATTTACAAAACAAGGCAGGGTGAGTTAAAGGGCTGTGCTTTCTGAGTGACAAATGTATGACGTATGGGAAACTGTGAAACCTTGAGGAGAGGCTGGCAAGTCATCTATGTTAGCCCAAGGAACTAACTGGAGTTTGTGCTGTAGTCATGACTCATCAGAGATATGAACCATATCCTTACTAAGAGACACAGACAAATGCAACAAGGGTAAATGACGATATGGGCATATAAAGTTACAGTATGAAGCTTTATAAAATCTAAAGGAGAACCATGCAATTATCCTGCAATGACAGTGATCTAACCTCAAATTAATCTGGTGATCTTTGAGCTCAGATACTACTAGGAATCTGTACCACTTATAACTAAGCCTGAACAAAACTTACTCCATGATGAACAAATATTTTTTTATAAATGGTTCAGTCTTAGTAACTAAAGGATTAGGGTTAGGAGTTAGGGTATTAGTTAAGTGGTTACTAAGCCTTAATCATTATAAATAAAATGTGTTCACTGTGAATGAAGTTTGTGTTCATGCTTTATTAAGGCTATTAAAAATGTAGTTATTATAAAGTGTTACCCAGGGATCCCAAGGAAAACATTTGCCATAAATATCAATCAATCGTACTTTTACTGACCCCTTGTGACTGGAGTTTACTCCTTTCTCACATGAGCCAAAATTGTAAAAATGCTACTTTCAGTTTTTGGTAGAGGTAAATGGGAAACACATTATGTCACATGTGTCTGTTCCACTGAGTTGCAAGTGAGTGATAACATGGAGTAGTGTTACCCCAAATAGCTTTAACATTTGACTGTCCCTTCACTTTTCCCAGTATCTGTTCTCCATATGAGCTCTGTAATATTGTTTATAATAGGATCATCATATTTCAAGAATTGTTGGCAGCTGGGTTTTTGCGTAATGCATATGAAATGGAGAAAAACATGACTTAGCAACACAATAACAAACCCAACACGTTTTGATGTCTTGTGGCTTTCACTGTGTATCTAAAGGCAGAAAACAAAACTTCATTTCCCATGGTACATGCAGGGGTCAAGCACACATGCCCACTGTGATAGAGCGCCTCCCGCCTGTTGCCAAACAACAGTGTGTCAACTATTTCAATCACCTTGACTGGCCTCACAGGTTCCCATTATAATAATAAACTAGCAGCTGCCTACACTCATGTGACAAATCACGGCTACAAATATATTCTCTCTGCACCCACTCCAGTTTAATCCAGCCTTTGTTAGCCTTGTACAAGTTGTAAAGGGCCGTATCCCAGCATGCTTTTGGTGAGAGATTAAATGCATAGTTTTATCCACATCTGGTTTGGAGTATATTGCACTGTTGATCTTAGCTGTCCTGTGTCACGGCTTGTTTTTCATGATGCTATCTGAAGTGGACACCGCCTAAGTTCATGACCGTGTCCTCTGAGTCTTCGATGACCACATCAGATTTTACTGCACCTCAGCACACGAAAATCCTTCAGCGTCCCAGGCCACATTGTCTAGTGCACTCGTTTAAATAACAGATCGCAGTTTTGCAAAAAGAGTGTTTCCATGTGTTACCCAATATTGTTGTTACACACTGAATGAATGATGATGTGACAACTTTGGCCATTTATTGTGTTTTCCTTGGCTCAGGTATGTATCTGTGATAATTGTTCTGGCAATGGTTGCAGCAATCCCATCTAAATTGTGTAAACTATCTAATTAAATATCTCTGCTCAGAGAGTATCTTGATTTCTAATGACGTCAATAGCTGTTAAGTCAACTACAGCTGCTTATGCTTAAGGTTTTTGTCTAATTTATTGATGACTTTAGCTAAGGTTTATAATCTGTCCACAAAGCTTTGGCTGAATACAATGGGAGTCATATCAAAGACATCTGATACTTGATTTAACTTAATTATTGTGTTTTTCAAAATGTAGTTATTTGCCTATTTACATTTAGTATAGTATTGTAGTATAGTTGTATTGAGAATTGTGCCATTGTATCATATACTTGAGTTGTGTTTGCCTGTACAAAATGTGTAATGGTAAACTGGGAAATGGTGAGTGCTTTTAGTTTTCACCATAAGTTTAAAAGGGGGACATAATAACTGTGGATGTTTCTTACCTGGGCCCATCAGTGCCATCATAGGCTCCCACAGTGACGTTACGGAAGAGCTTCCTCTTTGCTTTCTCGCTGCGTGTCTCTGCAAACACACAGTCATGTGTCAGTGCCTTTCTGCTCAGGTCTTTTTATATCACACTAATCAAATATGCAGTATTTACTCTGTGTTTCAAGGCAGCTACAACACATGGCTCAGTGTATGGCTCACTGATCTGTGAAGAGGAAAGTTAAAGTGCCTCTGTCAGCTGCTCCTGTTAACATGACTGTTTCTGGTGCTACAGTGACTTAAAGGAGACATTCAGCCTCAGGGAGAACACAGCCTATTACTCACAGTGCCCACTGTCATGGACTGTATGTGCAATCCAGTTATGGGCTCAGTGAATCATATTCACATATAATATATAATATCTAGATATTTTTTTAAATAGATGTTTAATTTGACAGCAAGGAGCTAGACAAAAGGTTTACAAAAATAGAATTTTGAGTGGAGTAACTTAAATTTATGCAATTTGTTAGGATTATAGTTTTGTTTACAGTACTTGTTTGTTACATTTTGTTATTATTTCAAACAAAATCATCTTCCAAGGCAGTAGTGTTCGGAAGTAACTATATACAGTACATGTACCGAAAATATGTATTCAGAATACAAGGTACTGCATTCCGATACACCTATTCATTCCTTTTGTGGTCTTTAGAATGAAGTTACTTAAAAATCTATTTTACATTCCAGTACATTGCCATTTAAGATTCAAACTGTACAGTGTCTGTGAGAACAAAAAGAAAACACTGCTCTTGCTGTGCATGCAAGTGTGATCCTCCTCAAGTTAGTGATAAATAAATGCATAATAAACATAAAGCTGTTTTAATCCTACACTGCATTTTACACTATAATATAATGCAGTCAATGTAAAATTATTCCAAGTATTACGAATGCTGTACTCTGATTGGACCATGTAACATAACTTTTACATAAGTACATTTCCAGTATTCAATACCTGAATACACTTTTCAAAAGAATATTTCCATCACTTGGAGTAAGACTTTTTATGTGTATACTAAGTATTACACAGATTTAGTAGAAATTAGTCAAGTCCAAAAATCAAAAGCCATAAACTAAATAACTAACTAACTCTTGTTTTACAAAGCAGCTAGTCTGGCTTCTGTCCTATGCATACAGTCACTTTGTTTGCCTGTAAAATGTAAGCTAAAACTTAACAGACAAACAGTGGCTTACATTGGCACTGAAGCTTCCTGCGGCTGAGACTCACCTGATCGATTGTCCTTGCCGAGAGCTGCCACTTCCTCCACGCAGTCCGAGGGAAACCATCCGGTGCGACCTTTCACAGTGCCCTCCCAGAACCCGCCCTCACCTACGCTCAACACTACATCAGAAGTACAGACAAGAGCAGAGCAGGTTTTGATATTTAGACAAGATAGTGAAAATTATGTATGTACCACGTTTAAAATATTGTTCATGATCACCTTTAACTTTGTCTCCTTTGCTGACCGACAGCTCTCGGTCTCCACTGGCAGAGTAGGACTTGGTAGCCACATACACGCGCCCTGGTACTGCGCTGTACATACGCTTCACCTGACCTCCCCCACTGCCTGCTGATGGCGCACTGCACAAAAAGTAATCTGTTATATATAAATCTGTTCAGACTTGTTTTATAGTGAAAGCATTAGCAATGATTGGTAAAATAATAAATTTAGCATTTAGTTATGTTTGGTCTGTTACTCTGGCACCATTTAGCATAAAGAACATTAGCTGATTATACTGTAAACATGAACTAATTGGCAGCACAAAATAATAATGTATGTTTTAGCTTTTGGTTTTCATCCTGTGATCTTGAAACAGTGGCAAAGTTTACAAGCACATCAACAATGTTAATTTCTGAAATCTAAAAATCTGAAAATTTCATATTATTCAACATCTTATGTGAGTAATCTGATGTCGGGGATTGTTCACACCTGTGCATGTCTTGGCAGAAAAATTATACAGTCTTATGTGACACAGATAAAAATTAAAGGAAATGTTAAAGATTGAAAGAGTTATTTTCTTCTTAATGTAACAGTTCATCACTTGTGGGTTACCCCTGTCTCCCCCGTGGCTGTCTGTGCCTCTCCTCCGTATCACTCTGTCCCCCTCTCCCTCGGGATGGGGACCTGTGTCTGGTCCTAGGACTGCTGGAGCTCCTCATACTCACTGATGCTCTGCGCTGACCCTACTCCAACAACAAAGCATACTCTAAACATGTGAAAGATGTATTACAGTGAAAATACAGGACCATCACCTGAGACCTTGTACCTGTGCAGGCGTGGGATTGTTGGGGGGCTTGTTTGATGGGTGTGAAGGGTCTGGCTGGGTCATAGTGTTGTCACTGTTGGCTCGCAGTAGGGGGTGGTTGTGTAGTCCTGGCAGAGAGAGGGTGTAGGAGCTCTCTCTGCGTTTGGGAACATACTTAGGTGACTCCAGAAATGGTACTAAGAAAAAAAGAGGAAGTGTTCAGTACACAGAAACCAGACCAGAGTCCAATCTCTGAACTTTATGTAGCAATGGGAAATAGTATAATGTGCTGTGCTCTAAATGTTACAAACAATTTAACACTGTATATTATTCTCTGCTGACCAAATCAACCATAAATGCATTACTTACTGCATTTTACTAACACATACCTACATCTGTGTCCTTATGGTTTTTGATGAGTTCCCCGAGTTCAAAGTGTCCAGACATAACTGCCAACTGGAAAGCAAAACTTTATAATCTAATTCAAAATCAGGAATTTCTGTCTTAACTCATACAATTTTACCTGAAAAGGTGTGTGTCCATGCTTGTTTTTGGCATCCTTATTGGCTCCCCTGTACAGAAGAACACGCACACAGCTCTCCTACAAGCCCCACAGAAACAGAGACAGATTTTGCAGCATAAAAAATATGTAAAAAATTATGATTATTGCTGCTGGTTTATTATATAGCAGTTGTTTTTCATACTCGCCTTATTGTAGAGGGCTGAGATGTGAAGAGCTGTGTTCCCTGAGGCATTTTGAGAAGTGGTGTCTGCCCCATAAAACAGCAGATGCTCCAAGTGCTGGGCAAAGCCATTCTGACAAGCCTTCCACAACATCAAAACAATATGATTAGGGTTAGGTCACACAGGAAGCAAGAAGTGGCACGGAGGAGATTATAATGCCATTCGTCAAAATTGCAAATGTGTTAAATAAATAAACATATGCACTGTTATTGTATTCTAACCACAAAGGAATTGATGTGAGCTACACTCACGACAACAAACAATATCCTTTCCTTCATTTTATCTGACCAGTACATGCAGGATTCTGGATTGTGGAAAGCTTGAGATGAACTGTTGTACTGTTAACATAAATCAGTATTTGGATGACAAAATAATATACAAAAGGAACTCTGATTATTGTTATGATAGGGTCTTTGTTGTAACTAAATGTAATTCCTAAACATTAAACTTACTGTCTTGTACTGTAGTACAGCTTGACGCAATATTGCAATATTGTTATTTATTGTTGTCACTTATATATCAGTTGTGACTTTTGCATGATTACACTAATTACAAAATAAGTTATAAAACACTGAAATCTCATCTGTGCCAGTTTTCATGTCACTGTGAATGTACCACTTGATAACACTATAAATCTTGAATACATATTTGAATGCATAATGTCATAAAAGACTGCACAAATCACTGTAGCACATAACATTAGGCCCACAAAGTCAGAGTGAGGGTCAGACTTGGTTTCTCTGCACCATGGTGAAACACTTTGAAAACAAAAACAACATAAACTTGCGAGGTTTCCTTCATATTTTGCTGCAGGGATGGAAATATCACAAGACATGAACTAAGTAAAGATACAGACACACAGCGCGCAGTCACACCAAAATAAAACTCCATGACAACCACCGGCTCACGGCTTAATCATCATGTACGCACTGTTGGGGAGGCAATGCAACCACAAAGAAACTCTATATGTGGTTAAAATGTGTCTCAACTATTCTGAACTATTTAATATTAGGCAGGAATATGGGAATGGAGGGATGAAGGGTACCTTATGTATTTCTTCCATTCCAAACTCCTCTTCATCCCTGTGCTATGGAGAGAGAGAATGGTTGAGTGAAAGGGTGAGAGTTCCAGTGGCTAAATCTCTGTTCTGTAATGTAGTGAGCTATAGTGCCAGACAGAGATAAGAGTTGGGAATTGAGGTGCCTTGCTCAAAAACATACACAGTTGGGCAGATGAATGAAAAATGAGACAGGAAAAATGATGGATTCTTTTGACGAGAAGTTGCAGAGTTTGTTGGTACCTGGTGCGTTTCGTCCCATCCATTCTCATCTCTTGTGCCCAGTTTTGCCCTGTAGTAGAGTAGGGTCTCGCAGCAAGAGGTGTCTCCCCCTGTCAGAACAGTATGGTACAGCGGGGTCAGGCCACAGCGGTCCTTGTAGTCCGGAGAGGCGCCCAGAGACAGGAGAGCCTACAAATAATTCATGCACAAAGTTTCATTAATGGAACCAAAACCAAGATTTTGCTATATTGTATTGTAGTCTGAATTCATGTTACTGCTTACCAGGAGTCCAGTGTGATTGTGAGCTCTGACCGCCTTATGCACCGGAGTCAGCCCATCTCTGGTTCTAAAGTCTAGATGTGCTCCCCCGTGCAGCAGCACCCTCACCCCCTCTACAGACAGACCAGTCTGCATGGCCACGGAAAGGGGCGTCTCTACAATTAATGACAAAGGTTATTATGGCATTATCCAGGCTCATATATGCCTTTACACCAAAAGACCAAAAGACTCAACTTCCAAACCTATTGTGTGTAAAGCTTAAATATACGGCTCATGACCTTACCTCCGCTGTCAGGATCATGGAAATTTGGGTCAAGCCCTTTTTCAAGGACTTTAGCTAGTTTCTCCACTGCTCCAGTTTGAATGTAATCAAGAAATTTCTTGAGACTTGCCTAATAGAAAAAGGAGCAAGATGAAATTATTTAATTTGTTTTCCCGACAATTCAGTGGAATTCATTGAAGAAGAGATACCTTTGTGGAGAGCTTGGCGAGAGCTTTTTCATCCAGATTGGTCTGTTTGTACACTCTGGTTTTGTACCGAAACTGAGAAAGGAAAACAATGGAAAATGAATGTGAGTCTCATCAGACCTGCGTACAGCTGAATACTATGACTTTCAATCTGCTTTAATGCCTCTACTAAGGAAATAAACCCCATTATTTTTAAACTGTAACAGCACAGCAATAATTTGAAATGAAATTGAAAATGTTTTTTTAAAAGTATGTAATCCTGGCTTGCACAAACAATTCCCCCCAGCACATAGAGTGTCTGCATCGTGGCTAAAGGGATGATTATTCAGAAAAGTAAAGTCTTTGAGTGTTTGCACAGATTTAGTCTCCCACTCATTATCACTGGAACAGCTCCACCACTTTGTTCTCTCAGTTATTAAGCCACACTTTCTCTGCTTTGGGGAAAAGCTTGATTTAAAATTTTTATATTTACACAATTAAAGTTCTAGCATCAAATCTCTACCTACTGGATGAATTTATGTCAAAGGTCTAATATTTCTTAGTTATGTAAAAATAAAAATATAAAAATAGATATTTTTTGTAGTTACAGTGCTTAGTTGTTAGTTGTAATGGCAGAGTTCATTGCATTTGTATACATAAGTTGCAAATTGTTTGCATCATGTCTGTTTTTGTATCATAGGCATATTAATACTAATATTAATATTGTAACTGTTCATTTCTTGTATCTAAACATATTGTTTAGATACAAGATACAATTGTTATAAACATGTTCATTGTTATAATATCTCAACCACTATTACAAAACAAAGAGTATTCAATAGCAGGCTTACATTATACAGAATAATTGGAGTATAAATGGGTGTAGGGGGTTAATACACTTCAGCTGTGGCTATTTAGTGTCAACAGGACAAATATGACTTCACATATAGTGTGTAAAGACTATAGGAGATTGTGGGGTTTTGGCAGACACTCCAGAAAATGCCAAATGAAACCTGATGCAATGTTATAAATACATTTGATGTGAGACAGATGTGGCTTCATGGTTGCTACACTTTACAAGGCCTCTTCATGGAGAGGCATATCCTCCACTGGAGCAGAGTCAAGAATGTAAACTATCTGGTCCACAGCCAGGATCTCAATGGGGTCCTCTTTCTGCCCCACCCTCTAACATGAACTTCCACAGTTCATCCACCAGAGGACACTGTCACACAACTCTACCAGAGAATCAGCACCAACTCTTCCTCCCGACTTGCTTCTGAACTAGGTTAGCTCTATATTATTTTAAAGCGGTAGTACATTGGAAGCATTTATTCGGATAATATATAGATAATATCTGACAAAGCTTAGTCAACAAACATATACCAACTTTGGCATCTTAGTACCACATATCTACAATACATCTTTCTCCATAACATTTTTATTAACTATGGTACCACAATAGTTTTAGTACCAATTTAAATAAACTAGTCCCAAATAGAACTTTGCCTGGTCTAACTATGACTAAATCAGATATTAACTAGATTATAACCAGGTTTAAATTTGAACTACCAGGACTATATTAGGACTAATCTTCCCTATCAATTTGAGAATATCACCTGATGAATCCCACACTGACAAGCACACTTTAACCAGTACCAACCATTGATTGAACTTGTGAATATGTAAACTACGGCATCATACCTCAAGGTAGGGCACCCCCTTCTCGAAGGTCTGGGCATAGTGGCTCAGGGGCCGCTCCTCCTCCAAAAAGCGTGCGTCCCGCCCCTCTCCGGCTGGCTGAAACAGGCCATAGTTGTAGACGTCCCACAGAGACTCACTGAGGGAGCAGATGATCTGCTGTTTGGCGTTCCACACAGTGCAGTCCTGGTCAAACTGGAGACACCTCTAACATCACAGACATAAGATCATGTTAACGTATAGTAGTGGTCATCAACACCAACTAGGCACACTATATTCGTTCTTTTTGAAAATTTTGTTGTTTTTTTTTAACCCAAACATGAATCATGTCTTGGGTAAAATGACAGAAATTAGCACAATTATGAATAGAGTTGCTTCTCCTTTGAAAAAAGTCAGATGTAAAACTCTTAGGATTGTTACCAACATCATATTATAAATAATGCCCAGTTCACTTCAGATTAATTGTGGCGTGAACATGATTAGTTTCAATTATCACTTTGGAGTTTGCATAGTGAGTCTATTTTTGAATATCAATCAATCAAACTTTATTTGTATAACACTTTTCATACATTTGAAATGTAGCACAAAGTGCTCTATTTTTGAATAGTAAGTCTATTAACAAAAACTTAAGCTTTAGTGTTTAATTTATGCCTATATAGCGGTGAGTGCATGAGGACAAAATGCTGAGCAGAATATAAATGCACTATCTGTAAATAATTAATCACATGACACTTTCGTCAAGATGAAATTACTTGAGTTGTTGAGATCGTGAGCTTTCCTCACAGTTCACACTCAAGCTGTGGGAAGCAGAACTACAATGTGTATGCTAGGATAAATATTTCCCTTTGCTGATTTTCTTTGATGTCTTTATGAATAATGCCCTTATTTCCTTTCCAGCTATACAATAGACATAATATCATTTCACAATAATTTGTCCATACTGTACATAAAGACAGTCATTTTTTGTTATTTTCTTTGTAAAATGTAATGTTACAGGGCAAAAGCTCTGAATGAAATTTTCATATTTCCAGAGCTATTGTTCTGTTTCAGCAACCTGTGAGTAAAATTGCAGAGCTCAGCACACTACTGTACCCCCTGTGCACCCCACCCCTCTCTCCACTACCTCCCTATAGGATGCACTATTTGATTGTGTAGCCGACTGTATTGGCATGGCAACCAGTTCATTAGAGGAGGCAGGCAGCCGTTGCCGTAGTGATGTCTTAGTGGTCCCTGGGAGGTACACCACATGATCAGGGCGTACTTGTGTTGTAAGGCTTTCTAATGCACAACTAACCCAGTAGTAGATATATATAGACCTTATATGGTTGACTGTACTGTGTACTTCATTATATCTGGATTTACAGAGGCGCATGTCCACTCATTTACATTGCACTACAGGCTTTTGCAGATGCATACATCCTGCTTTTTGCTTATTCATCCCATCCCTAAACCCGCACCCCTCTCACTTTAACCTCCTTATGTCTCAAATTATTCCTCTGCAGTGTTCAGAGCAGAAAATGATGTATACAGGAGTACAATTTCTTGCACATATTTCCTTCCTTCTTCGCGCCTGTCCCCGAACTCATTAAAAAGCTATTAGATAATTAGCAATTACTGTTATATTGAGGGCAGATTAGCTGACATGTAGAACAGTTGGCATGTTCAGGGAGTTGTAAATGGGGAAAACTATGGAGGAGGGCTTACACTAGGGGACACATTCACACCTGGATATACAAAGACCTCAGGTCTGAAGGAGGCCGGGGACAGACACTCCCACTTCAGCAAACAGTGTGAATTGGTTTTGTAAACTAGCAATACTCACATGACCCACAGCTCAATATTGGAGTGTTACCAAAGTCTGTTTGCACCCAACACTAGTCAAACTATATTTTTATCCTCACCTCAATTTTAGAAAGATTACATCTTATAGGATGACTGCTGGGGCTTGTAGTAGTCCCTTAAGTAGTAAGTGAAAGCAGAAAGAGCAATTTTCAGTTTTTGCTTGAATACTAAGTGGTTGTTAAGTAGTTAAAATAGGGGCAAGAGTTTGGTTTAGCCTGAGGTGTAATAACCCATATAAACATTTTAGTAAATATGTATTATTTAATATAGTAGATGTTAAAAATTTCAAATATAAAAAAACTTGAAACTGTATAAACAGAGGGACTTTACTAAAAGTCTAACATTGTTATGAGGCTTCATTTCTAGGGTAAGGTTTTGAATTATAAATCTCTGAGATTAAGACAAGCTTTAATTTTGTGTGTGTCTGTATGGCAACATGCACCTACTGTTTGTTTGATGTCTGGGATGCCGATCCGAAACACCATCATGGTGGGGTAGGACTCTTCCATGGGGGCCACTGAGGTCATGCTGCGTTCCATTAGGGCCCTTCTCTTCTGCACAGCATTTAGCCCAGAGTGGTGTTGGTTGAAAACATTTGGTAGATGCTTATTGGTTGGCAGATGAGGGAACTGACTGGATGTGTAACCTCGGTTTCCCTGGTTACCAGGCCTCTGTGCTCGGTCAGCTCTCTGTCTACCAACCACTATGGCGGCCGGTTTGGTCACCTCTCCACCTTTAAGGTCCCAAGACCTTCCTCTCAGCATATCCCTGTCGTCCTTCAGCCCTCCGTTCTCCGGGTCACAGCCACCTTCCTCGCTCTTCTCTCCAGCCAGCTCCTCTTCCTCCTCCTCATCCTCCCCATCTTTGCCATCCTGACTGGGATAAAAGGGCTTGTTATTTCCCAGCATCCCTTGCTGTGCAGGGGTCACTGCAGAGAGGGCTGAGTGACATAGTTGTCATGAGGACAAAACATGGCTATCCCATGACAGGGTCCATCCAGAGACATACGCTGTGGAAACAAGCAGAAAGGAGTAAACTTAAGCCATTGATTTTACCTTGTCATCCTCAGGGTCATCTACTACAGACATGTTCCATAATGAGACAGAAGCCAGCGGCAAAGCTAAACGTCCGTGTGTAAATGAGAGCTGGTCCGCATTCCCATTTAGCCACTGGGAAAGCATCAGGGAATAGCAGGCTGATGGAATACAGGCTAAATATACTCTCTGTGAATTTGCATCACGTTTTTGAGGAGGAGAGTGAAACGACAGGCCATTTTCACGCAAGGTCAAGATCACTGCTCTTTTATAGGGCAGCTGTCTGAGGCAAGACCCAAGGCTAAAGAGCGTACTGTGAACTTCTCGTCAAGCATTACTTGTCAAAACTGCTTCAGCACAATTATTCCAGACAATAGCTATTGGAAGTCCTCAGAGAACTTACATGGACTGGATACAAAGTTATTTTTAGAGTGACTGGGGCAGTACAGCTGGCCAAGCCTGAGTGTACAACTGAATTTGATACCTGTTTTGTATACTGTATTCTCACCTTAAAAAACATTGTCCACAAAAAATTAAATATATAAATTCAGTTTTTGCAAAGGTAGCCAGTGAGATAGATATGGTTAATGCCATACTGTGGAACATTTAAATTAAAGCAGGTTGTGGAATGGACTCCCCACCAGAAAAGTTAAATAGTGCATTTTGCAATTTTGCAATTTTGCAATGACAGTAACAGGAAGATTCAACACAGGGAAGCATGACCAACCACCTCTAGATGGATTTTAATTGCAGAGTTCATCTTGGGGAAACTGGGGGCCTCCATATGTTCTGTCCCGGTTATTTTATGGTGAAGTCTGTCTTGAGGGCTGTGCCATAATGCTGTTCTGGACAAGTGCCAATAGATACTACAGTGCTGGTATATAATATGACTCAGGAAATCTCCAGAGTCTTGTGAGCATCTTGAATACTACATGAGATGTACTGTGGAGTTCATAGATAAACAAAGTCACAAACAAAGTAAATATAGCATAAAACACGGAGACAACTAAAATGGGGTACTGAATATGTCTTAATATTCTGGAGACTAAGAAGACGTATTAAATTTTATAAAAAATACTGTGGCCCTGAAAGTTCTCTGCATATGTTTTACATGTATTATGATGAACAAATCTGTCACTTCTACAACAGTGAAAACTGATTAAATGTCACATGTATTAAAAAAGTATTGTCTACTTACTTTTTTGGTGAAATTAAGCGGCACCCAAGGACTGTACAAGTTAAAAACAATGAAAATGGCATTTATCTTAAGCAAATGGTTGCGTTGTTAGTATTTATACATTATATTTATCTTTGAGATTTCTCTAAAAGGTCATTTGCCCTTTACCTTGCGTTTGTTTGTTGTTGACTGTAATGCATTTCGAGCTCACCTACTAATACCTGCAAAGAATTATACAATGATAAAACGATAATTGTTTTAACTGTTATGGGTGTACATGAAGCTCACCTAGAAGTACATAGCCAGCTTGAAGAGAAATATAAAAGATTTAACAATTGAAAAACACTTTATCCTAAGGGGAGCTTATTATATTGCATTTGCTGACAGAGCACATGAGTCATTCCTGACATAGCTCATTCTTCTGTGTTCAAAAGTGAGCCACATATTTTTTCTGCTGTCATTTGAATAAGCGCAAAAGTGGCATACACACTAAGGGACTGATTTGGACTTGAACCTGCAGTGCTGGCCTGGTTGTATACATCTCAAACTGCTTCTTGTCCAGTTGGCTATTATTGTCTCGTGTGTCAACAAAACTAGATCAACTACTCATGGGAGCAGATGCACACAGATCAAATCACAGATATTACAAGGCTACGATTGATTTGCTGTGTGGAGCGAATGGTTGCAGCACACTTTCCTTTCCTTGTTTTTCATGTTGCACTGCACAAATGGATGTATGCTTTTGGGTCGTTTCTAAACTTGTGCCTTGTTCAATTTCCCATGATGCTTTGAAAGTGACAGGTAGTCTAAGAAAATAATATAACTACCTACTGAATTAAGACAAGAAAAATGGCAAGAGGGTTAAACTTTACTGTACACTGTACACTTTACTGCTCAGTGTGTTGACGTATTAAAGATAGAGCTGTCTTATTATGAAGTGGCAAAAGGCTGCATGCACGACACTCAAATGCTCTGGGAAACTACTGTTATGATCCTTCTCTGAGTGGGAATAGGGCTAGGGAGTGATTTATTAACAAAGCCTCATCAAATATTGAACAACATTGAATCTGCACTGGGCAAGATAAGGGAGTGGTGGGACAGGCTGAGAGGAGACAGGAGGCAACTAATTGGGATGTAAAAAGCAAAAAGGCGAATGCACCAGAGAGGACGCAGTTGTAGTTTGCATATAACCGAGTAATCAGATTGAGAGTGAAGAAAAGCGCGGCTGAGGCAGAAGATCTAAGACAAAATCAACAGTAAGATGGGAGAAAAAACAAAAACATTGCAGTAACGAAGGTGTATTTTAATGTGCTGCCCTTCCAGTATCTCCTTTCTTAAAGACACATTGTCAGGGCTCTCCTTGGCTTTTCCTTCTACTTTATGTCACTCAACATCTACTCCTGCGGTCCATCATGACAGCCGCGAGCACATCTTTGTCAGTGTTTTTCTACTCTCTCAACACAGCAATGACCGTATCTCTTTATCAAGTCAAGACAGCAACTTTAGGGGAAATACAGCGGGTACTTTCAATCCCCACATGCCAATTATATGGAACCGACATCGCCATCTTCTGATTGTTTCAAATACAATGTTTAGTCTGTGTCTCTACCCAGGGAAGCTATAGGTTAACTTATTGAACAGTTTTTCATATTGTAGTAATAGTAGTAGTATGTCCTCTTTTCTTTTGTTTTTTAATTAACAAATCATGAAAGTTAATTAAAATTCAAATGGCAACCTATTGGGATATTGGCTAAAAGTGAAGTAACATTTCAAATTCTCAAAGTAAATTTGTCAAAACTGGGATTTGGAGTACCTTATTGTGTGACAATGATTCACCATTTGATTTCACTTGTCAGGTAGTATCAAGTATATATAGTATGTAGATGTGTGTGTGTGGTCTTTAAAATGCTCTAACAACATTGCCAAAACTCAAAACTATAACTGATTTAATAATTATCTTTTTACCATTATCTTTTTGAATAAACCCCCTTGGTTACCACAAATCCAGATCAGTGTCAGCAGACCAGAGTAAAAGCGTATTTGAGGAACGGGGGACTGATTAATCATGATAATGAGGAAGTGGATGGACACCTGAGGAGCAGTGATGGATGCTGCTGCTAGGACTTGCTCTGATTGGTCCTATTTCTATTCATCTTATTCTTTCCTGACTTTTAACCACATTGTATCCCTCCTCACATTTTGGATGCTTTATTGCCTTTTATAAATAAAACATGACTCATGGTTTGAGTTTGCTGCTGTGCAAATTGTTACTAATTAAAACTGTGTTGTGGTTTGAGAGTCAACAATCTTTAGAAAATTACATATTTTTGGACAGATGCCAGCACACTGAGAGCCTTACAATTTGCCCTATGTTAAACTCCTTTTCCTTTTTGTCACTCTCACTCACTCGTGCACTCTTCTTTCTATGTAGGACAGAGCATGTGTATAGATATATTTTCAGTGTATTGGTCCCCGGAAAGTAGAATTGGAGACCATCCAAGGAACAGATTGTCCCACTTTTACATCCTGCAAAAGTGGAGCGGCCAAGTCCTGTCCTCTATCCTTCTCCATCACTGGGTCTTCACTCTGTAGCCTATTTAACACCAGTCATGACAGGTACCACCACACCAGTCACTAAACTGTGGAGAGGCCTGGGCTGGTTCACATGAATGATGCAGGACAACAGCCTGAGGAAGTGCGAGAAAGCTGCTCTGAGGTCAAACTGGGAAAGTATGCAATGTGCGACTAAGAAATATAAAATGATATATACGAGGAGAAACATATGCTACTCTATAGGTAAGGTGGCAAAGCGTGTAGATGTGTATATATATTTTTCTTCATTTTGACATAATAATAAAAAACTCAGGACCACTACCAAGGCCTTAGCTCTATCTTGCTAAAGTAAATACAATTCAAAAATGGACTCTTTGAGGAAAGGTGTCTCACAAAAAACACTAAACACTAATCACTTTACTGTCCTCTTGAGGTTGGTCTTTGGTCAGTCAGTTTCTTGAAAATATGAAGACAGTGACAAACATCCACACCAAAAGTAGCGCAGCAAGGCTCGGGTTGGTACTTTTGTCACTAACGTAACAAATTGGATAAAATCAGCCGGAACTAGCCTGTGTAATTGACAATCATGGAGCTGAGCCTTGCTTCATTTTACCACAGATAACAATACCACTCTCCAGATATTTCTCAGTGGGATATGAGACCAGTCCTCCACACAAATGCAAGCTTTTGTAATCATTTTCACATCGGATGCTAATCAAATCCACGCTCTAACCAAAGAGCAGATAACCCAGCTAATCAGTAATAAAGTGGATGATTAAGATAATTAGTCCTGGCTTTGTAATTTTTTCAACAAATACCCCTTTGATGTGCCATCCATCTTTCTCCTCTTCATCGATTACATGGGCTTTTCAACAGTAGTACAAAGGCGACTTCTAAAGCTAAGAGCCGGACCAGCTAGTGTGGATCAAAGTGTGCTGTGTTCCCCTCTGTATGGGGATAGAACTGGGTCAGGTGGAGTGTGCGCTTTGGGCCTCTTTCGGGCTAAACTTGGCTACATGGGGATGGGGAGATCTCAATGCAGGGTGAATTTAGGAGATGCATACTCCCTGTATCCTGAGTGTAAACAGCTTAGTACAGTGGAGGATGATGCAAAACAAAAATCTCCTAACATTAATTGCCAAACATGTGAGCATATTTTAAGTTTTCATGACCCAATAACCACACCAAATATAAGTCAGTGTTAAAATAAGACATCACATGTGCGCTCTACTTCCACTCCATTTGACTTTAGCTTCTTCCTATAATGAAAGACTATAAAACAAACAGTGATGCAAGCTGCCTCATTTCACAAACAACAAGCAAGCAGCAGACACACAATCAACAGACTGGAAAAAATAAATGTTGAAAATCTCTGTTAACTTTCTTCAAGGGTAAAGTTTCTCTATTCTGGCCCCTCGCTGAGCCCTTGGCCGAAACATACTCAAACAGTGTTAGAAGCAGGCCAAAAATGAGCCAGGCACACAGAGGCTAGCCAGGCATATGCTTAATGAAGCTAAAAAAAGCCACAAATAGACCATCTAGTCATTGACACATCCACTTACCTTCAATGTCATCTCATTTTAAAGGTAACTCTGGGAGACAAAAGTCAACATGGGTCTGATATGGGCCTTTAGACATGGCCGACAAAGAGGGGAGCACGTTCTACGCTGTCGGACTTCATTACACACTAACCACCACATTATAACTGAATCTAATGAAATCTATCAGTTGAGCTGCAGCTACGAGGTACATTGTAGAAAGTCACAAGTGCCAGTTCTTGTTAAAATGGTACAAAGTGTCCGGACATGTAATAGAGTTTAAGCTAATTTAATGATAGGTGATAGAAGTTTTATGAAAATGTTCCTTTCACTGTCCTGTATAGCTAAAGGACAAACTATCAGCATATATCTATAGCATAAATTTGTTTAACTCTTGGCAAATGTTGCTGACTGGACCTGTAAGCCTAACTAATTAATTTCAGAGATAAACAATGATATACTATACTACTATAATGAGAGAAACAATTGAAAAAAACATGTTGTAGAAAAAATTCAATAGTCAAGTGAATTCACGTGGGGTACTCAAATGCATATGCTAGCCTAAAGGTTTAGGGCCTAATTCTGAATTTTTATTTTACTTTATTTGAGCTCTCATAACTGATCTGAATGTTGTTGTAGACTACCTCCCTCCAAAGTTAGTCTCCTCTTCTGAATACTAAAGTACTTCAAGTAACATAAAGGTGATATTACATGATTTTCATAAATGTGGGAAGTGTTGCAGCTCACCGACTTCTGTTTCCTCACTGATTACGGCACTCCTCTAGATCTTTACCCTGGAGACTAGTCCCTGTATGTAATAATGGAAATCCTGCAGAGTCAGAGGAAACTGCTTTTCCAGCTTGATCTTAATGAGCACCGCAATGGTCCTCTGCAAATACATCTATTATCCATTCATTAAAATCACAGTGGTTGATGTTTGTGTTTGAACATGGAATCGCACCTTGAGCTTATTTGTAACTGCCCTTGACTAATGACTAGTGAGGTGTTCATGCGCTTGAATGTGCTTCTCATGCAGCTGTAACCTACTTCTCCTGTCCCCTGAGACTGACTTGAGGAACATTTTGTTGTGGTATACTGCATTCACGCTTTACACTTTGCAGCTAACAAAAGCCTTGTAGTTGTGATCTTGACTCTCACTGGGGCTATTCTTGTGTTCCGTGTCTGTTTTTGTCCTCCATTCGCTCCACACCAAACCCAGGGGAATAACTGGACCAAAGAGCTTTGTCACATCTGCCACAGAGGCCCATCCTCTTATCGACTTATTCCTCCTGCAGAGAAGGTAGAGGACAGGGCAGTACTGGACTCATGCGGGAAACAATGGGAGGAAGTAACCAGTAATTGTAGAAATGTTGTGCTGAGCGTTGCCGTGTTAGTAATAAATATATTATGTATACTGTTTTTGCCAGTCCCAAACCTGAATAAAAAGGCAGGATGTCAGGAAGGGTAATTTAGTAAAAAAAATCGATGCCAAATCTATGTGTAATTTAATCCACATAGAAGGCAGATAAATGCAAAGAAAGTAAAGTGTCCTAAACACAAAAGTGTCCTAAAAAAAGAAAACAAAACAATCGGGACAACATTGGGGACAAGTGTGAACGCACCATTAGGTCCAAATCTGAAATAAATCTTGTCTAGACTAGATTAAGACATGATCTAAATCTGTACTGAAACAAAACTACCAAGGCTCTACTGAGAAACCTAATGGAGTTCTTTTTTGATAATTACTTAGGGGGATATTACATTAGTTCTTGCACTATACAAAGTGCTGCAAACTTGCTATTACTTTAAATTGCAATATTTTTAGTGCATATCCCTCAAAATTACACAATTATATTTACACCTACCTATTATATATCACTTTTGTTTCATAAAAATCAATAGTTCTATGTGTACAGACCATTAATCTTAACTGCTCTAACTGGCCACTTTGTTTATTTTTCTTCCAAATGAATTCCCCTGGGTTCAGTTTCGCCAATAGAGAAATATGCTTTTAGGAGGTGGAATTGCTTGCACAGTGCGGGGGCCAAGTCTTTTGAGGCCAAGCGAAGTCAATTATGTCGAACGAGGAACTCAGCGGTGGTGTGGAACTCAAGCGGTGCTAATGCTTAAAACTGTAACTGTTTGAAGAAGCCAGGTGAGAGGCCCGAAAGAGATTTCACCTTTCTAAAAAGCGGGCGTCAGGTAGCGCTTCTGACTCCGCTGCAGAGGAAGAGTGTGAAGAGTGGGTGTCAGTACACTTGATTTTTGCTCACCTTTTCACTTTACAGCACCTTTTGAATGTTACGCCTATCAGGTGTTTGAGATATTGCATTAACATTTTAGTTTAACATGCCTATTTTAAGTCATAGGTGCTTTATGACAGACTTCATTTGTGTAACTTGAATCCTAGTACTGTAACTGATGTAGGCTTAAATACTTAAATATATATTCAGAATACCTATTTTGAGCAACTATACCAGAATCCTACAGTTACTTTTTCATTTGGTGGTATTCAGAATATAGTCAAATCAAAGGAATATATGGCAATACTTGATCGCAAAATGTATCTTTCAGACTGCACAGTGGGCTATTAATAAGAAGGAAAGATCTGTATGCAATGTTTTCCTTCTGTAATTGTAATTAATAAAATGTATTGTAAGTGGTTCAATAAACATAAAGCTTTTCTAATCCTATCTCTTGTTTTTACACTCTAACATACTGCAACTTAAAGTAAAAGTATTCACAAAGTTTTAAGAATTCAGTACTCTACTTGGAAATCAGTATTCTAAATTTATCCCTCCATTCACATAGAAAATAATTAGCGTGGACTAAAAGGTCAAAGGTCAATAAACCAATGCTGGACACTGGACACTGGACACAGGAGAAATTGTCTGTGTTCTCTATTTTATTTGATATCTTGAAAAGACTTACTTTCTAAAGATTGGTCTCAAAGCCATTGACCATTATACTAGAATAGAATACCATGAAAAGACTCAAAAGAACTACCATGGTTCAGTCCCAATTTTCATTCTCTGTTCTAATGTGAAATTAAATTAAAAGCTATTTGTTAGGGTCCTGTCTTTACACTTTTGCACTACTTGGGCCAAAGAAAGACTTTATATATCGAAACTATCATATTTTTGTGGTGCCTCTTTTCTGTTAGTTATGTCTGAGTTGTTGCATTTTGTAGCCAAACATAAGAGTTATCTTTCTTGGCTGTATATAAAATTGGTTATCCCCAGGAACTATAAAGATCCTCAAATCAACTTTATCATTATTTAATCAACAATATTCTATTTAGTATACAAAATGTTCATTTCAGTAGTATTCAGTGAGCCAAGCCGCCATTTTGCTTTCACCTGCCCTATACAACATCCCATTTTTTTTTTCTATTTAAGATTGGTAACATTATTAAAAAAAACATGTACAGGTAAAACACAAAATTGGCGACTATACATAAAATGATTGGATTAACTTTTTTCTTATGAGCACCTTCCAACTAACTCACTTATCAAATAACTTTTTTACTTCCCACTTCTCCACAGTGCCCAGAACAAACCCAAGCACAACCCCAAATGTCTTCTCCTTTCTCTTGAATATCATCTATATTTGTCTTTTGACTATCCAGCTTTAATTATGCAGAAAAAACAAATACAGTGTCTTCCGCTGTGTTTGCCCTTTTCCCAGAGCCCCTACAAGCTCTGGCCAATGAGCTGCAAAGGTGGTCTGTACTGATAGGAGTTTGTTTGCCTTTGAAGACTAGCTGTACCAAATGGCTTATTTTCTGTTCTACTTTGTTCCTCCACCCTCCCTTCAACATAAAAACCAGGATTTAAACCTTGTGATGTATAGACCCTCACTTTGGGCAACACCCCTAAAACACCTCTGAAAACCTCTATGACCTGATTCTTTCTTCATTTTACTTTTTTGTAATGGTAAATCCTTTTAAGTATTTCATTCGTTAGATAACGTATTCCAGTAACTTTTAATTGGCAACTTGACAACAATATAATATACAAAATAACCTAAAAAAAGTACATACCTTGTGGTTTACACTTCACGTCTTCATGCTCATCATTGTTTTTGTAGCCACCTCCTTAAAACAGGCACAAAAAGGCAGGATTAGAAAATGTTTTTACACTCCAGTTGCTGAAACATAGATAAAAAAGAATAATTGACACAAAAAATCTCATGCCTTCAAGTCTTCAGCAGAGCGTCTGTGATGGGAGCAGCCGGAGTGTGGAACTGCCTCTCTCACATAGATACACACACTTTCACCTACTTGAAGCCCCAGTGCAGTCTCTCCCTCTCTCTCTTTCTCTCCCTCTTTCCCTCCCTCTCTCTCCCTCTTCCTCCTCACTGCCTAGATTGATCTGCTCCACACTCCAGCGTCTCCTCCTCCTCACACCCAAGTACTCCTCTTCTCTCCCATTATTCCCAATTTTCTACATTAGTTTCCCATATTCAGTCTTTTAACACTGTGTCGTTAGTGCACTCACTCCATCATTTGCACTGCTGTACCCTCTCTTGTCTTGGAAGGGAAAGATTCAGGCCAGCGCACTGTCCTCTTTTACTTAATTATGCGAGCTTGGAAATGTATAAGACAATTAGTCACTAGGCAGCCAGGCGCCCTATATGCTGTATTTCTATGGTTGCTATTATAGTCATCATGCTATTATTCTAAATGTGAATTAAGTGAGAACTCTCAGTTATAGACAGTGAAGTACCCATAGTTAAAGGTGAGAGCTTTATCAGAAGGTGTAGATTCTTTAACTGGTATAACCTCCCAAGTTGTCCAATTAACTGAACATTTTAATTTGACTAAAAAGAACATTGGCTGAGGCATAATCGTAACATAACTGAGGATAATGACAAAATAGAACTATACTTTAGAAAGCAAAAGATTTGTATTTAAACGAACTGTATGTAGCTTGCCCTCTGACAGTTTTACAGCTACTACAATCACAACTGAAACTTAGATGCCATAATCTGCATATAGAAGACACATACAAGTTGTCCTCATTCTCAGTATATGGACACCATGAGAGTCCTTTTAGGTTTAAACCAACTGGATTTCAGCATTGAAACTGGCGATCAGAATGAGAGCTTCATGTGAGGCTCACTCTGCTTTCTGCTTGGATAAATGTCTTGAGAACCAAAACACCAAATTATAGCACAAACAATGTGGACATCATGTCCAATTTTTTTTGTAATTAAGACTAAATCAGCTTTAGAATTGTTATCAGTAAAACTACGTTTGATTTGGACATGTTTACCTCTTGGGATACAGACATTTATGTCACATACAGTTCCTTAAATTAATAGTCCAGAAATTACAAAAATAACAAGATAATTCTATCTAGAATTATATCACAAGGAGATCACACCAATCATTTCAAAGTGAATTTGCAGTCTGAACAACATCATGTAATATTTAATTCTTTTACTTACTTGGATGAACAGAAAGAGGAAATTAAGAAGGGAAATTATAATGTACCCATAACAGTGGAAAGATGCTGCATAAAGTCCTGTCTTTTTCAGTACAAGGGAGTGCAAACAAGTATTCAAGAGCTTCACAACTCTATCTACACAAACGTTAAGACAATACATTATTAGCTGACATGTAAGCATCTTTCCAAGCCATCAGAACAGTTCAAATAAAAACAATAATAAACCATAATTAAAAAGATTCATTCAGTTATCTGTCTTGGTTGGATGCAAATAGATTCGGATAGGCTACTTCTGTAATGTGGCATATATTTCTTGAATTCAGTTCTATTATTACAAGCTATATTTGTTTCATAAATGGGTATTTCGTTGTGTCAAATTGTATATATCTTTTGCACTTTCTCCCTGTCAGAGTTAGTTGAATTTTGACAATGAATAATAGCCGTGTTCTGAGTCTTTTCCACTCCATTGTACAAAGATTTTACAATGACAGTAAAGCTATTCAATTGTAATGTATTGTTTGTAGAAATCTGGGACTTCAGAAATGACAGAATGAGGAAAGATGGTGTTTTGCAACTCTTAATGTTCATGACTGATGTCAGTAATGAAATGTATTGTTAAAGAAGAGTCAGATAAAGCAGAATTTAGGATGACAGACAGTTTACAGCACAGTAAGATGGTGTGTGTTAGTTTCTGCTCTGCATCTCAAAAATATGTTGAACTGAATTTATAATTTAATCTTTTTGTTAGATTTTTATATCAAATGGCTTGTGTGATATCAGTTTGTATGATAATCTTATTGACAATAGACTCAGACTTAATCCTTATTGATCCACGAGAGAAATTACTTGGACACATTAGCCATCACGTAATTTATAATGACTTTAATACATTTGAGCTATTTTTTGCACAATGACAATATGTATTCACTTATAAATATTAATATTGATCCACTCCTCTGACTTCGCAATAGTGAAATGCCCCATACCCTGTCAGGATCATCCCTAAGGCTTCTCGACAGGTGAGACATGGTGTTTGTGACATATCAGTGACTGAGTGCATCATTATATACTGTACTATCCTGTGTGTCCCTCGAGTAAGAGCCTAGATGTGCTTGCGCTGTTCTGCCATTACAACACTTTATCTCACCCTCTCTGCCTCTAGAAATGTGAAATATATAGCAGGTAATAGGGTATATGGAAATGCTTTTATGTATCTGAAGTGTGAGAGTGCTTGAAAAGACATAAATGCGCATCTTAGTACAGTGACAGTGGGTGTTTGGTTAGATATTGCACCACCTAAGGACAGACCAAAAGCTCTTGTAAGTAATAGTGCATTTACAATTGTAGTACATGTACCAGACTGTTTCCCACTTCAAGCTCATAAGACCTTTCTCCATGAAATTAATGTACACCATTTTTCAGCAACATAAAAGATGGATCATAGGCATAAAAACAACAAGATGGTGGATAGATTTTTTGTGTAATGTGGAGGGCTGTATTGTGCTTGGAGGTAAGTCAGAAAAAAACAAGTCAGTAGCCTACTTGAAAAGAAGTAAAGAGACCAAGAGAAGTGTAATTACTGATTTGTTAAAGCAGGGTTGTTGAATGGTTCCATTACATGGATCAAAGTAAGATTAACATCAAATTTGCGAAAAACGTAGAGGGAAAGTACTAAGCAAAAACGAATGTGCTGAATGAATTTTCCTGTGCAAGTTTGATTCACAAGTTTTCATTGTTATTCTTTTACAAAGCGGTAGTGGACTCTGGTGGCCATAGGGTGTAACAGTTCTCTAACAGTCCATATGGAGTATATTTGTTGGTCCAATTAACACTGTGACCAAAAACTGTACCACTTAGATTTGAATAAATGCTGAAACGTTACAAACGGTTTTGCCAAGAGATAACTCGAGTACAGTCAGGTTAAACCACACAGTTGAAAATGTGTGACCTCTTGGTGTTCTTACTGAAAAAAAGTGAAAAGTGAAAAGAAGAGAAAGCAAGAAGTGACATGTGGGAAATACAACACATTCAAAACTGCATCTCTTCTATCAGAGGAAATGCAGTATAACGAAAGGTACAGTAAAAAGCTGTGTCTAATTTACATCTTACACAGTGAAATGCCATAGGTTATTTCGTTTGTTGTATATTACATTACTTGTAGGATTACTGGGTTAGCACGTTAATCGTTAACCAAAACAACAAAGATATATTTGTACCTGACAATTCGTGCATGCGGCTCGTCATCCACTTGAAACCTTCCCAACAGTTGTTACACAGGGCTCGGCACAAAAACTACATAAAAACATGCAACACATAAAAATTATTGTTAGTTATTTAATTACATCCAAATTTATGCAAATACAATCGTTTTTTCCTGACGTCCCGCGCCCTGGTAACCATCCCACTCCCTCCCCAAAGCAGACACAGCGCATGTGTAACTTGGAATCAAGCATATTTAAGAATTAAGTATTTATTATACAAAAAGAAAACTAAACGTGTTAGTGATGTGTTGGGTAGTTTTGGTTGTTGTTTACTTTACTTCCGTTTTAAATGTATTTTCAGTAAATGTGTTAATCATATTACATGCATGAACTTCCACAACTCCAAGTAAGCAACCGAATGGCAAAAAAGTTAAATCTACGAAAGTAGATTATAATGCTCATGTATCAAATAATGACATTTTTAAAGCAATTTTGAGTCTGAAGTTAACGGTATCTGAAGTAGAGCCACATATTGTTGGCGCGGAGTCTCAGCTATGGGACATGAAAAGACGAAATCAACAGTCCAGAACTATTCGCTAACTTGGCTAAAGCTGTTAAGTCCAGTGCTCAAGAACGGTCAGACTCCAAAGAGTGGGCAAACTTGAAACCGCCAGTGGGAATTTGTTGAAGGAGAATAACCAGCTAAAGGGCAAAATAAGGGAACAAGAAGGGTACAAGATGCGGTAGTGTCTCCGACTAAAGCCTTGTACACACACAAAGCGTCAAATCACATTCGCTTGAAGCCGCTACAGACTCGTGAATTTGGCGCTCTGTTCGCGAGGTGTACATTGGCCTTGGTCGCCTTCTACTCCAATGCGCAGGCAGACAGTACATCTTTTTAACAAATTTTATTTATTCAGTAATTTCTAAGTAAGTTATTGTATTATATGTTGCAAGTACAAGGCAAGTGGAGGCAGTGCGAGGGTCTTTCCCTCTACCAAATGTGATGACCACAAAACAATTGATAAAAGCTGTACCCAAAATGTGAACCAGCCACCATTTTCCATGGACTGACTCTTGAAGATATACTGAGTAATTTCAGAAGAGACCCAGGTAAACTCTTTATCTCACCAACCCGACTTTTGAAACTTTGAATCTATGTACAAACATGTGAAACTGAAACTCATTAATGAAGTTTTAGTTGGAGTTACAAATATTAGACAAAACTACGGTTACAAAGAGTTGAGGAAATGAAACTTAGACTATACAAGGGTGCTTGGAATGGTGAAATGTAAAAAAAAAAACCGTTCAGTTGAAGCTTACAATATTTGTGTCTTTAATATGATCAAAACATTTTGAAATTCACAAATTTTTTATCATTTGTATGTTTTTTAGGACTAAATTTGGGCTCCAGTCATTAAAAGGTTTCTCCTCAGTGTCTCAAGTAGGACTATTTTTTGTCTCTATTGCAGCTACTAAAATGGTTTCTCTTTTTTTTCCAGATATCCTTTATGAGCTTTTGGAGAACCCTGACCAGAGGGAGTTTTTGTTTTCATGTTAGATGCGACTTGAGCTTGGTAATTGTGTTGAGGCCGAGAAGAGAGAGCAGTGCATAGAGCTTCTCAAGTCAATGTTAAAATGGGATGAGGAAGACAGGATCACCCCTTGGGACATCCTTCAGCACCCATTCATCACAAAGAGTTTCCTACTGAGTATCCACATTTATTCTTGATGTTTGAGAGTTGTGTATAGATACTCAGCTCATTTTCTTTGAATAGCCAAAAAGTTCCATATAATGAGGCCCTATCAACTTCATCAAGGTTCAAGTTTTTTTCAGAGACCCCTTTCACGTCCAGAAAATAGGACACGTGAGAATGTAAAACCTGATCACTCACGGTATTCAGGGATAAACAGATCAATGTTTCCCAAAAGAGAACAAAAACCTGCTGTCTTTTTGTTAACCACATATAAAGCTATCGTTTGTGATCCAGAAAATACCATACCATACCAGACTCATTGTGATGGCTTTTGGTTACCTTAGATACATATCTGTGTCGAACTTCCAGTGTACAGCACAGCTATGTTTTTGTTTTTGTTTTTTTGTCTAAATTAAAGGTCCAGCTAGTATTTATTATTGCTTTCACTGGAATGTTCCACACTGTGGCATTAAACATATCTATCTCCATTGGGTAACGCCTCCAAGCTGACATAAAGGTCAGTTGTGTGAGGAGGCAAGCCTGCTCACAGTAAGAATGCATGTTTTTCAAGGTATTTGGAGTAATAAAAACACCTGTAATTGAATAAATGCAAGATAGATGTATTTAATACCATACTGTGGAACATTCCATGCAAAGCAATGCATGCAGCTGGTATTCATGGATACATGCAGATGGTAGATCCCCACCATAAAAATTACATTGGGCAATTTTTACTTCTTCATTCATAAGTAGACACCATGGCATATGAAGTCTTGGTCCACCAAGCAACAGAGCTGAATAATAATACCAATACCATTGCTATTTTAATACAGAATACAGGTTCAGGTTACAACCAAAATTGAACAGAATAGAATAAAAACACTGTAAACATTGTAACAAATAAAACAGACAAAATGTAATTAACTAACATTGGTAATAAATTCAGAACTAAAATGCAACAATATTTTGTGATTTTTTTCATCCATTGCCTTATTTGTTAGTAGTGATTTAGTCACTTTTCCACTACACAGCCTCAAATGACCACAAGTGGCTTGATGCTTTCTCCTGTCCAGTAAAACAACCTACACAGCTTTATCGATCACCTTGGAACCAAAGGTCTACACAATTTTCAAAAAAGAAACACTGGGTTGTAAAAAATATAACATTCCAAAGACTTGAAGGCATTTTCAATGTGAAAGGGCTTTCTTTAGGGTGAAATCAACCCTACATGATTATTGGAAATACTGTATTTTGACCAAACTAGCATAAAAGAAACTCACATAACCAAAGTATTCAAAAAGGTCCATAGCAGCGGACCAATCCTAGAGATGGATCTTTGCCATGCAGTGAAAAAGTGACTTTTTGACTTGCCGACTCATTGAGGCTGATTATAATCAAATGTCACTGAGTATTTACCAATTTTCTGCACTATAGGTCGAATGGGCGTCAACATGTCAGTTAACCAATACTACAAGAAAAAAGTATTGGCACAAGCAAAATGCTCATACTTTAACCAATAACATGCAATAAGGGCAATGATTAATACTGGTATTGCCTTTTGTGCAAAAGTTTTGCATAATGGTACTTCCTACGGTGGGATGAATAACTAAAACATGTATAGTGACTGTGGTGAGATCAAACACAAATAAGAGGCATTAAACTGACTCAAACAATATTAACCAGTAGATTTCTAAGATATTAGGATTCAGATTTTCAAAAAGTTTTTGTGAGATTGCAGGAAGGCTCAAAGACATTTTATCTGCCACACAAAATCTCACTCAGAGTTAGACAATCACACACAAACACATAAATCTGACTACAGTCTGTTTCAAATGTGCGACCTCTTAAAAGTCCAGGGACAATAGTGAAACAGTTTCCTCAGTGCTTCATAATAAGTAAAAGTCTCACTGGGCCCAGTCTTATGTTGACTCTTGTTCTCCCGTATAGCAATTATTGGCTTCTGGTTGTACATACTCTTCTGTTTTATCCCAGTCGGACACCCAGCCCCCTCCGGACACAGGTGCTCCTCCGTTGGGGTCGCCCCCCTGGTCCATGGCTCCATACCCCCCTCCGCCGCTGGTCCTGTACAGCTCTTCTGTCTCATTCGCCAATTCATCCTCATCCAGGATACCACATTTTTCATCACTGGTCTGCTCTGGCTCCGCCCACGCCTGCTTCTCTCCAGATGCAAAGAGGCCTGCATCATGGAGAATACAAACAATACGGTAAGACTCATGTGATCACGGTTTTTGTTTAATATTATTAAGAATTTAGACCCACCATAAAATATAACTCCTCCATAATGGACTAGGGAAGCGATGAGGAACACACCCTGCCACTCTTCTCGAGTCTGCAAACATGAAAGAGGGTAAAAGTTATTATTAGTGTTAACTAGGGTCACATGGTGGTATTAAACATTTGGCAGTACTTTAATTTATGTGTTTATTTATTTATTTACATATTTTAATTCATAACAAATGGGTACATGTGGCATTTGAAGTTAGTTTGGTATTGATCCACAAATGCAACTACAGTGACAACAGCGACAAGCTTTTTTTGTATTTTTAATCTTTTTTGTGCTGGGCTGTTCAACTTTGAATATAGAAAAGCAGAGTTGTGGAGTCTTGTGTTGAGCATCTGATGTGAACAGCAAAATATCCACCACACCAGCTCAGAGGTCTTTCTTCTGTTTATTTTGGGAAAAAACTGCCACAGACTGAAACAGATCTATTTGCACAAATGTATGTCCAGGAAGCTTTAAGTGGCTTTAGCGCCACCCGGTGTTTGATTTCATGTTTACTTTTCAAGGCAATGGCCCATTTCTCGTCTGACAGAAAAGCTATGTTTGAATGTTGGATGAATCGGTTTAAAAGATACTTGTTACATAATGAAATAACTGTTTCTGTGTATCATTAGACAGTCTCTGTGGACTAAAATGTCAGTAATGAGACATCACTTTCTGTGCTATTGGTTCAGATCTTTAGCTAAATACTGCCCCCCTCTGTGTGTTTCATGCACTGTCTTATGCCATGCTTTATCTTACCTTGTGCTTTGTCATGGCACCAACAATCAGAGGACACACCATCCCAGACAACGTGCCCACACCATTGGAAATGCCCATGAGGATACTGGCATAACGCGGTGCAATGTCCAAGTGGTTCACATTGAAACCTTTAAGGAAAACATTTGCACTTTGTTACTATTATGCCTGCTGTACCTCAACATTCCTTGTTTCTCCTTTGAATTTTTAAAAGACTGTTTGAACCTGAAATAGCAAAGCCAGAGAAGCCCACTGCCAACACCAGGAACGTAATGGCCACTCCCTTTGTGTGAGAGAAACCCACCACCAGCAGCAGTGTGGCCTCCATCCCAAAGCCTGAACAACACAGAGATGAAACATGAAATAAGAGTGTGTTTGGGTCTCAGATGTCATTTTATTAGCTGGGAGACCATTTCATTTTTGCCATTTAATGATTTCTTGTTAGAGCTATGACCTTACTTGGCCTGATACTAACGCTGCTTCCCACAAAGAGATCAGTACACTCTATGCCTCTCCATTTCACTCTCCTATTGATTTCTTTTGCCTCATCAAAAATAGGCCAGGACTCGTTTGGTTTACTGGATATTTCCCTTCACACTGCAAAAATACTTTCAAACAGCTCACTTCTATTTTTAAGTTATGTGAATCCATCTTACCTCCACAGTTCATGAGTTTTCTGACATTGGTTGTTGTCATGATGTGATTGGATCGAAGGTAGTCAGCAATTTGTCCACCAATTGGTACAATAATGGTCATAACCAAGTGTGGGAGAGCAGAAACAATGCCAACCTGATAATATGTAGACCAGTGATTACAATTCAACTAAAGGATTCATTGCATAGTTGTGTTTTTATGCTCGAAAGTATTACCTTGCTAATCTCAAAGCCAAACACTTCCTCAAAGTAAGCAGGCTGGCTGATAAGAAGCAGATAAAATGTCCAGCTTCTGCAAAAATTAGCCACAATAATGGCATATACAGGCATAGATGTGAAGAATGCTCTCCATGGAGTGTTGAATTTCTATTAAAATATTTACAAAGATTGATTAGTTTAGGAGAAGAGAGAAAATAGTTGCTTTTGTCATGGGCACTCACTGTAACTGAATGCTGGGCGGATTCTCCAATGCTTTCTTCAATGTACGTCCTCTCCTCCTCTGTGATGGTGGGGTGTGCTGCTGGACTCTCATATGACACCAGAATCCAAAAGCAGTACCACAAAACACCAAAGGTCCCTGCAAATAATTAGAATTTTTGTTATTTGTTTCACCATGATGTAAATCAGGGCTGTCGGAGATGTTAGATTTGATTATATTAATTTCAGTTAAGACTCTAGCTTTGTGTGTACATTGGGAGAGAGGGATCAGAGCATCATTGTTGTTTAATCTAAATATGTGAAAACATTCCTAACCTTAACTAATCTAACAAAGAATCCAATCCAATAATTTTCTTTTACCATATACATAAAACACAGATGACCATCCTGTGTACTGGACTAAGACCCCAGCTAAAGGCATGGCAATCACAGCTCCAGCGTAAGACCCTGCACACAGGGGCATTATGGGTAAATAAATGTACTCATTACATATGCCAGGATTGGCGAAATTGGTGACTTTTGTTCATAAGACTTACCACAAAATGCTGTGGTTGCCAAACGACTTCTTTCAAGAGGTGGTGCCCACTTTGCCCAAATACCATGACAAGCAGGGTATGAGACTCCCTAAAAGATAAGAAAATACTGAATGTTTAAAAAGAAGGTGACGATACTGCTTGAGAAAATGCCCGATCTTGTCTGATCTGGGAAGTTAAGGAGGGTTGGGTCTGGTCAGAACTGGGATAAGGGACCGCCTGAAATACCAGGTGCCATAGTGAGACAGCAGTAGCACAGTGGGAAGAAGAGCACTTTCCTGCTCAGACCAATGAATACTTTCATTGTGTTTTTGGGCAAGACACTTGACCGACCTTGTCTTCAGTTTAATTTATGCTGGTATATGAATAAGAGTGCATTGAGTCAATATGGAATGGAAATGAGCCCATGTGTGTTCATAATTATGAACTGTCTCCACCAAATAAACCCAAGAGTCGAAATGTCTAGAATACCTCCACAAGTCCTTGGAACACCCTCACAATGATTACACAGCCAAAGTGCATTTTTGCAGCTGAGGGGATGAGCATGTTCAGGCAAGAAGTGGCCACTATAGCAAAGCCAAATACCCTAAAAAAGAAAAGAAGGATCAGTTTTTGTCAACATAAACATAACACGATTTGTGAAGTTATTGAAGTTTAATCGAGTCCTTTCTAATTAATAATTTCACTATTTACTGAGTTTTTTATGAATTTATGGTTCTAATGTTTTGTTTCTTACCTGTTGGCTGCAAACTTTTGACATATAAAGCCTCCTGGGATCTGGGTCACTATGTACCCCCAGAAGAAGGAACCATGAATCATTCCCACTGTTTCAGGGTCCCACTCAAACTCAGCTTTCTATAAGAACATGAAAAAGATAAATTAGAGGATTAATCGTGGCTATTAATGATGTGACTATTAATAATCTGGTTCAAAGTTTTCCTTTCCAAATTTCCTTTTTGTTAATTCTTGTGTGTTCAGAGATAGAATCACCGAGAACCACAGAAAATTTCAATTTGTCAACAGCAGTCTTCCCCATCTAGAGTTTCCAAAGCAAATCATTTACTTGCTGGGGTCCAAACTATGATAAGTTAGGGGCCATTCCTCAAGCGACCATGTTATGTTTGACATAACATGTACCTTGTAGTTGACTGACCTCTATATACTCCTTGTCATCCCTGAAGACTGTGTGCTCGTTCACCATGCTCACGATGGCCACTCCGAGGTTACAGCGGATGCCAAAAGAGATGCAGAAGCCAATGCCTGAGAGAATAGCTATGATGTATCGCCGTGGCAACCCAAAACATGTACAATCAATGACGGGCAGCTCCTTCTCCTCGATCAGCTCTGGACGGCCCTCTGCCGACAGCTCAATGGTCTCCCCATTCTCCTGCTTCTTCTCAAGAGCCCTGCAAAAACACAAGTGAAACTCAAGCATCAAGATGTCACTGTCACTTTTACCTCACATGCTACCAACAAACAAGATTTTAGAAAAGGTCCAAAGAGTTATAATCATGATCATGATCAAAATGATCCAAGGCAATATCAAACAAAAACAAATTTCCTGTGAAAAAGAATGTTCCAGCCAATATAACATCCAGAAGTATTGCTGCACTAATTGTATTCAAAGATCCTTATAAAATAATACATTTCGTTAAGTATTGGTATTTGTGTGATTAAATAAATAAATAAAACTGAGTGTTTTGAGCTCCTGGAAGACCTGTTCACTGCTGTCCACTCCATAGTCTATCATTACTTGCTGAACTGTCTGCTTCACAGTCAAGAGGTCTGCGTTGGTGTATAAAGTTTACCCATACGTGAGAAAAAAGCATCTTGAAACACAAAGAATAAACTATTGCAACTTCAGTACCTCTGACTGTGTGAAAAAGGGACATCAGAAAAGTATTTGAAAGCAGCCACTCACCAGTTACTAGAGTATGTTTTTCAAAACCAGGTTAGCAGAATGCTATTTGAGTGTTTTTGCAGTTGCAATAGTTAAGGTTTTACCCTGGTGCTCTTCTAGTTGAGGATCAGGCAACGTTTAAAGGAGGATAGAGGATTTAGAAAATGTTAAAAAAAAAACTTTACTGAATCATGGCTGATTTCAGTGTAGATAACAATGGAACACAGGAATCCTTAGTCTGAAAGGAGGCCTAAAATAGCTTACTGAACAGTAATATAAATCTGAGCTGTGGACAGAACAAAGCATTAGCGTGGCTGTTCCAGCAGTGGTCATCTGAACAATGATCGAGTTTCAGACAGAGGCGTCTCCTGTATCTCCAAGAGCCACTGCAGTGGAGTCTGTAGCCCACTGAGACCTACATAATTTATAACAGGGCTGTGACATGATACCAGCCATAAAAACAATTAAAAACACTTTTTATTTAGGGTTTGTCAGAGCAATATTTCAGTACATTAGGATTATGCATTCTCACAATCCCTGTTTTGCTTCCATATATTCTATTTAAAATAAATACAGTTGTAGCATAATATCTCTTGACTGGTACACATCAGGGTTAAAACTTATTTTAATATGGCCTCATTTAAATCTGGTAAAAAAATAACACTTTTTTTTTTTGTCAAATTAAATGGATTTGTTGGTTGGTCTGCTTATAAAACGCACTTATAGGATGGATATTTAGATTCCAATGCTGCCATCATATTAAGCCACTTTTGTCTAGTTCACCTTGCATGTTTGATAACACTTAAAATATGTTCAAAAATCCATTATTAAATCCTGTGTAAAGATTTTACAAATAGTGCTCTGAAATCTATCTGCACTTTCTCTGAAATAGCACAAATAGAGAGAAAAGCACAACAAAGCACGGTCCCAAATTGACAATTATACAAGCAGATCCATTAGTTATACTGTAAGCAGGGCTTCAGTCTTCAACAATGATCAAGTATTAATGATTTTAAATATGAATTATTTACATCTCTGGCTTACATGAACTATTTTTATCGAGCTCCCTCCTCACTCTTCCTGTCTCTAATCTTTAATCAAACCATATTTGGACTTTTTATCATCATTGTATTGATCAGTTCCTCAAAGCCTAAATCCTTTTAGCCACTAATATATAATTTCATTACTTTACTGTTTGTTGTATTTATATATTTACTCATAGAGAACATGCACCTGTTTTAATTGCCAAATTAGAAAACCCATATTCTAGACAACCAACCAGGTGTTTGTTGAACTGAATGAGAAGTCAGGCTGCAACTGCTGAGAAGAAACGTGAATGTAGTGTTTTGAGAAGCTTGTCTGCCTCTCCCACAGTCACCAAATCAATGCATCAAGGGCGCAGTCAGAACAGCTGGACCTGCCCTACAAGAACTTGCATATGATGTCTGTTTTTGACTGTCAGACAGCTTGCTGTCAGAATGCTGCCAGGATCTATGACATAGTATTCATTTGCTGTGACTAACAGAAAATACATTATTTTAAAAGAACATGATGCAGGCGTGTGTTAAGTGGGTATATTTTATTTTAGGGGTAAATTCTCAAATAAATTTGATCAGTGAAACTGCAAAATACTTCTCACAAGATAAAAACATTGTTTTTCTCAATATTAATTAATCAAGTTTATAAGTCAAAGTTTAGTTCCAGAAAACACCTAAAGTCTTTTGACCTTGTTGCAACTAAATTATAATAAGACTAAAAATGTAAAAATCTGTTTTCTCATTCTATTTTCCACTTTTGGAAATAATCACTGAAATAATAGCGGTGTCTGCAGCAGGTGCAGGTTGCGTGCAGAGCTCCTCCCGTTACGCACGACACCCATGTCCCAGCGAAGCACCTGTGGGCAGGTGCTCTCACCGGAAACGAAATCTTATAGGTGGGTGGCGGTCTGTGTGGCGGGTTTGTAATCTGGAATCGGAGGGGGAGGGACGTTGTGATAGGACGAGCTACTTGGCTACTTAGCGCATGAGCGGGAGGAAGTGAGAGGCGTCCCAAGGTGTTCACGGGCGGATTTACGTGGGCCGACAGCTTGGAGGAGAACAGGATCTATTTCTGGAGGGGATTTAAGTGTTTAGACGCAGCATCAAATCCCAAGAGAAAGAAAGGGAACCCATCAATACCCCCTGCATTAGGCCACAAGACTTAACACACATTCAGCCAGGCTTTTCCATAAGTCTCCACTTTGATTTGTGTTCCTTCATTTATGAAAGTGCCCAAAATGATCCCAGTGACTTGGGCAACCGCCCAAGCTGCCCTCGAGTGCATATGACCTTTGTGCACATCACAGGGCCGAGGAGTGATTCCTGGAGTGAGAGAACCCATTGATGCCCAAGAATCAAAGTTTACCTAATCCTATAAGCAGCGCTGGAAGAAAACAGGAAAGGCTATATTGATATTATAGATGGCTGAGCACAAGCACATTCCAAATAAGCTGCTACTTTTGATTTCCATAGCCTTTAGGCTGAAGTTTCATACTGGACAGGGTAGGCCTAAATTCTACTCTGGGATCTATCTGCAACATTCAGGGCTATGTCTAAGTGAAACGCAACTTAATTAAATTCATGCGTAGGCCTAATGGGTGAGATTTGCAGGAAAAATGAGGTGCCGTTTTGTCAGTGTGTGTTTCCATTAATAAAAACAGGAATTCGTCTGCTGATGCGACCAGTTTAGAAACACTGTGGCAATACATTTAAATTTTTACGCACAGCGTTAGTGCTGTATGTTGATTACCTGTCTGGGATTTATGAAAAAATTAATAAAAAAATAATACATACCCATATATTTTACCGAGAGTCTTGGCAGTTACTGCCTTTAACCTGTCCTGTCGGAATTCCATTTTGTTGACTCCAGGATCGCGCTAAAGTCCAATGTGCGCGCACTCCCGTGTGAGCACACAGACTCGCCTCTTGTGCCGTGCTTTTCACTGAAACTTATAAACGCGCACGGTCAAAAGTAAACTCTGAACCAGACAAATTGTTTGGTGTGTTCTCTCAAAAATAATTAAATAAACCGAAGCCTGCAGACATGGTCGGAAGTCCACTTTGTCCCACTCCAGACTCCACAAAGATTCATATAAAGTTCCCAACTTTCGACAGGATACATGGCCAAGCAGTGCCTCTGGCCGTGGTCCTGAAACCAGATTACTGCAGTCCGCGCGCTAATCTCTCCAAGTGTGTGAGTGAGTGGAAGGTGGATGTCACTTCCTGTCCATTCTCCACTCGAGCAGCGGCTATTATTGGCACACCCCGGCTCAGAATGGAAAATAAGAGTAAACAGTGCGATACAAGCAGTCATTCTTAGCCGACACTGAGACTACGGAGTAGGAATAGTCTTGTCTTGTCTTGTTGTTTTAAGTCTTGTCTCAAATTGGGACAATTACTGAGAGTGAAAAACTTGAAAAGGAAATACACAATGCACAAAACACAGGCGACTGAGTTTTTTAATGAGCCATAATTATATTATGTCTGATTCAACTTTGAAATGTATTGTGAGTAAACAAACCAGGACAGAAGTTGTGTTAATGGCTGTGTTGTGAGCACAGTTAATGCAGTCAGATGCAGCTCTTCTGCAGGTCCCGTGCTGAGATGGTCCTGAGAGAGTGAGAGGAGAGGAAGGGGGGTGGGAAGGGCATAGCGCAGGGGGGAGGGGACAGGGTGGGGGGTATAGAGATGATGGAGGGAGCTTCAGACAGGGAGCCATATCTAGACTTTTGAACATCTGAGGAACTGGAGAAGGTGGAGCCATGGAAAAAGACCCGGGGAGGATCAGATGGGTCTGACAGGAAATCTGGAGAAACATGACATTTTTATAAAGTAACTTCTATAACAAGAACTGTTGACATTCCATTTGATCTGCTCTAGTTGTTGCTATTACAAGTCAAACTAATCTATCTATTTCGGAGTGGTTAAGAATAGACAAAATTCAACACTGGTAGAATATATGTAATTAATTTATCATTCATTCATATTTTAGTTTTTAATAAATGGGTACAAAAATATTAATATAAACATTAACACTATTTTACAACACTTTTTTTGCATTTTAAAATGTTAACTTTGCATATTTATTGATTCAGCTTCTTACTCCTCCAAACACTTGGCATGGTAGGCTTAATAATGTTTTATTATTTATTATTATTATTGTTGTTATTAATAATAATAATAATAATAATAATAATAATTATTATTATTATTATTATTATTATTATTATTATTATTTTACCAGATGCTCAAAGTCACTTTTGTGCATTATTCTCAGTCTGAGAGGCAGACTGAGGGAAGCGATGGCACAGTTTGGCAGCCTTGCTTCCCTCAGTCTACCTCATACTAGGCAATATGGATTAAGTGTCTTGCCTATGGACACAACTACAGTTTTTTTGCCACTGTGACACCTGATTTTCCCAGCAGTCTCCCATCCAAGTACTAACCAGGCCCTGCCCTGCTAAGCTTCTGAAATCTGACGAGATCAGGCTTTGACAAAGTGGTTTGGCCACAATTTACATGTGCACTATATAACCTTTCTGCACTACCTGTTTATCTCTATGGAGATGTTATTCTTATTGTTCAGAAAAGTGACGTAGTGCACCTTTTAAGACAATTAAATTTGTGTCCCATCACCCACATCTCCATATGTTGATCTAGTTGTTTTTGAGGACTAGTACTGTAAATATAACCACTTATCAATAAATTGGTACCATCCTGGTGTTACTGTAAATTGCAGGAAGTCTGTGATGATATTGCTAAATCAGCATCTCTCTATTTTGATCAGCTGACTGTTAACTTCTCTGGTTTCCTTACAGCCCTGTAATAACACTCAGAGTAGTGTAAACAGGTGAGGTAGTTCTTGTATGTTTTGCAGGATAAAAGTACACAAATGTATATTAAGTTAACCCATAAAAAGTACCTGGGTCATCGTTCAGTTGGGTGTGCTGATATTGCTGCTTGGTATAAAACCGATTGTAGATGCAGTAAACAGCAACCATCAGTGCAAATATCCCAATGGAGGCTCCGATGAAAAGCCCCACTTTGGTCATGTCACTGTCTGACTGGTTACCTAAAATAATAATAGTAATACAATACAGTAGAATAGAGTACATGTCCAAATTTCCATGCACAATTTCGTTTTTGAATGACACTTACTTTTGGTGTTCACATGTGGGTTTTGATTGTGGTCGAACAGGTTTCGGAGCTGTGCTGGAGGCGGGGGTGCAGCCTGGGCCTCGTGAGGATTAATTTGACCCTCAGACTGCAAAGTGCAAAGAGGAAGGAGTAGCAAGACATAGAGAGTAGAAGCACCTGCCATGTTTGCTCCTACAACAGAAGAGAAAGCTGGAAAGACAAAACAGGATATATGGCATTATATCTGAACTCAGAGCAAGCTAATCACAACATAAAATCTTGTACAATAAATCTTAATTCCTGCTTTTTTTTTGTCATTCCTTACCTCAATGTGCAGCTGCTGTGTGGTCTCTGCTCTCTATCTTGTTAGTTGACTAAAATGAAAACTGCATCCAAGACAACAGAACTCTCCAGGCTCCTTGTATCTCCAAAGGGACACCTGCAATATACACTCACACAGAGCCAGAGTCAGAAGTATCCAACCAACACACATATATGATTTATCAAAGGAAGACATTTGTAGCCTAGCCCAGATTATTTAGCTGTGTAAAGTTTCTGGCTGAGTCTTGTGCCCTTTAAGCCATGTTAGGACATTGTTACCTCATTAAAAAAACAGAACTGGAGTTGTGTTTTGCTTCATTCGCACATGTTTGAGTAATATGTTTAAATAAATCTAAACCATGGGCTGGAGTAGTATGTAAATTGTATTTGCATGTTAAGTAGTAGAAAGGAATTGAGAGCAACAGAGCCCTCTATTGACAAGTTTGGGAAGTTACTCCGTGTGATTTAACAGCTGCATGTACTAGTATTTATACACTGTATTGATTTTACACTGAAATTTGTTTGATTTTTGTAAATAAATAAAATGGAAACGTATTGTGGCTTAGAGACGTCTATAATGGAGCAAAAGCTGCAAGGACATTATATGAATAAGATATAAAAACAAAGACAGAACCAAGTCATAATGATTCTTTTACGGCAGTGTTATTAAAGGTCATTGGCCTGAGTAAAATCCTCAATGTTCTCCTTAAGGCCACCTGGTGTTTGGGGGTTTGGGGATACAAATGAATAACTTTACACACACTAAACTATTTCGACGTCTGTTTGTACAAAGTTCATGATAACATGGTTTTATGTTCTGGTGTCTAACTTTCTCAGGCAGAAGCCATACTGGAAATAGCAGGAGGCGTAACATGTGTAACCCACCCTTATCATCGCATGTGTTAAATTATCTAGAATGTGCTGTGTCTAAATTATTCTTCCAGCATGAAATTCACTATTTTCATGTGTTGCAGCTATTAACAATCCTTAACCTCACCAAAGGAATCGTTTTACAGCTAGTTCAAATGCTCAAAATGTATTTATTAAAAAAATCCATAAATATATTACAAGGTATTATATTACATTTTCTTTTCATCTTTTACAAACAAATCTACAAGACAACTATACTCAAGGTAATGGGACAGTCATAAAACCTATACATACTGTGTGTTGGAATGTGGTGACATCAAAAATTCATCATCAATAAAAAGCAGAAGGCACTTGAGACTTAATAATCCAACAGCATTTAAATCTACAAGAAAACCACAGCAGTGATATTACAGTACACCAACAAAAAGACAATCCAACCATAAAGGGAAAAAAGGTATCACCATCAAATGTTGACATAATTTTGGTCAATTACAACATGCATATGACTTTAGAGTTATTCAATGAATTTGTTCTGGGCTATGTTATTTACAAATTCATTAAATTAGACCAAAGTTTCTTGTTGATCTTGATGCCCAACTTTTTCTATACAAAGTAACCCAGGGCCCAGTCTCATTATATTCTACTGATTGTAGGGCCCTCAAGGAGGGGGTCACAGCCCTACTTTATGTCCCAGCCCTATGATTGGGAATTACTGATTAGACACTGTTACGGCCCCAGGCCTTAGGTTTAATTTGCTGTGTGATTTTTGCAAAGTTCTCCTAATTCCTGGTCTGTGATTGGTGGGGCAAGTCGACGCCCACCTCACCTGCAGCCACCGCCCCCTATTTAAAGAGATTGCCAGCACCTGTTCGGGGCTGCTGGCCTTGGTGGCTAGTATGCCATATTGTTTTGTGTGTGTGTTTGTGTGTGTGTGTGTAGTTTTAGTTGTGTGCCTTTTTTGATTTGGTCACTCGATTCTGTTTGTGGGTTTATGTGGTTTAATTTGGGGAACTTGTGTTTTAGTTTAATGTGTGTCCCTAAGTTTTACCACTCGTTTTTGTGTAAGCCTGCATGTCCCCTTTTCTGGCACAAAGCTCTGTTTATTCTGTTGTTCTGTTTCTTAGTTTAGGTTGTTTTCTGTATATTTTTAGTGTTTTGTTAATTTACCTTTACATTCCTGTTAATTAAACATTACTTAATTTATTCCATTTTACATCTTGGTTTTATTTTTGTTACTTCCCTCACCCCAAACGAGCTGGGTCGTAACAGACACTATTCTCACCAGTGTCCATATGATATGTACCAGAGCAGTTTAGCTCATATGCATCATTTGTGCTCATACTAGCAGCACATCACAAAGTGTGTTTGAAAAGGAAGACATGAGACCTTTATGACTCGGGAGGAATATTAAAGCTGTAAACGTGTTTCAGTGTGATTTACATTAATACTTTATCTGCTATAATCTTTAGCATCTTCATGGCTAAACACTGGGTGTGTGCTCTGGTGATCATGTTCCAGTTCTCGCTCTTATCAATACACAAACAACAGTGTCAGTGTGTGAAGCAAGAGGTCTCAGTCTCAGGTGTTCACTGTACAAACTCCCACATTTTCCTGTTAATAACAGCAGGACTTTTAGATGATATATCTACACCAGAGATACCCAAGAGCATCTGAGTTTGTTGTGAGGAGAATATTTTGGGGTGTGATTGTGGACAATATTAATGCAATTTCCTTCTGAAATGTAAAGGCACATTTCAAGTTGTTGATGGCAACAGTGAAGTAATACAGTTAACACACTGTTACAGCAAACTGCAGTAACTGTGTCATGGCTGAATCAAAATCTCATCTAAAACAACAATCCTGTAGAGCATAACAAAGAATTTGTAACGGTTTACTAGTACATGGCCGCAGATCCATTCCTTTGCTCCAGTTCTGACATGTCTGTGAGGGGAGTCTCACACTTGTCATCTGTACTGACCATGCTGTACGCTGTATTTTCTACATCTCTGGACGATCGCCTCATTCTGTCCCGCAGCACTGAGTAGATGAAACATAGAGGGACAGGCATCATGGCAAATATGATCAACAAAGCTAGAACAGCCAGTGCCCAATCAGGATAGTCTAGGTAGACCTCAGAGGCCTGGATAAACAATGCAAAGTCAATTAGTAACAATAATACAAGTAATACTAACATTAGTCAATTTATTTCCTTACTTTTTCACGATTCCATGCCATGTATGTTGGTCTTTTAATAAACATGCGGATTGTTGTGGCCAGCAGGAGACCCAACATTGAAAGCAGACAAATGTATTTCCACAAGTATTTGTAAATAACATGTGGCCGCCATCCAAGCATCCCCTCACAATCATCGAGAAACCTACAAAACATGAATGAGAGAATTTACAGGCTTATTAATATTAACTGCCTTTTCCAGGTAGCACTAAAACTCGCCTATCAGCTCCATAGAGCCAAGACACACTGAAGGTCTCGAACACCACCACAATGATGAGGGGCAGAGTGGCAGAGTAGTCGTCAAACATGGTGACGAAGTAGTTTCCACAGCGCTGAGTGAAGAGCAGGCCAATCAGAAAGCCAATGACACAGCTGAACACTACAAGAACAGTTTCACATTAGCCTCTAAAGTACACACAGTATACAACACCAAAATCACACCACTGGAACAAGTTCCTACCAGTGAGTTTTGTCTTGTTATTGGCCAGTGTCTGAAAACGGTCACTTAGTGGGGCCAGAATGCCTTCCATAGTACCAAACATTGTGCTGAGTCCCAGGTTGAGAAGCATGAGGAAGAACAGGGCGGACCAGAAAGGACTGCCAGGGAGCAGCGTAATAGCTTCAGTGAATGCTATAAATGCCAAACCAGTGCCTTCCGCGCCCTCAAAAAACAATAACAAAGGCACAATACTTTCAGTTAACATTAAAAATAAAAATGTCCCCAAAGGAAAATCATGTTATATCGAAGAGAGTTTTACCTTTTGCATCTCGTTCTCCAAGTTGCACTCAGTTATACTCCCTGAGATGTTCTTGCCATATTGTAAAAACCAGGAAGTGTAATCTTCAGGAGCCACAGAACTCAAGTCTGACATGTTGAACTTTGGCATCATGCTTATGTCCATCATCCCACTGTGAAATCCCTCAGACAACTTCTTCATATTACTGTGAAAACAAAAGCAATGTTAACAACGTTTAATCATGTACAAATCTGATCATTAGGTAACATAGTATACATACCTAGAGATACATTCTTTAACCTTGTCTTTGGCACGAAAGCCTAGCACTGCAAATACAACCAGAGTGGCCAGGACTGATGTCAGGAAGTTGATGAAGGAGACAGTGAAAGCATCTCTGTGGCAGTTATTATTTTTAGGATTATAGGATGAATACGCGATAATAGACCCAAAGCCCAGACCAAGGGCAAAAAACACCTGGGTGGCAGCTTGTCTCCAGACCTGTATGTTGCCCCAAATTTCAATCTGTAAATTTGAAGAGGAAGCTTATAGCAAATATCAACTTTTTGTAATAACTTGTAATAACAATGGACAAAAATGACAGTGTACCTTTGGGTAGAACATGTGGGCAATGCCCTCCATGGCACCGTCCAACATGAGTCCACGCACAAGAAAACAAAAGAGCACCACATATGGAAATATAGAAGAGAAGTACATAACCTGCAAAGTAAACAGAGGATAATGGTTAATGCACAAATAAGTAAGTAAGAGGAACATCTTTTGTATTATGGTTTAGTTTTCATAAAGGTACATTTACATCATAATGTACAATTAAATTTAAATGAATTGTTAAGCAAAAATAAAAAAGGTTTCAAGTATTCTGTACTTCAAATACAAGTGCATTCAAGTGCACTTCAAGTACATTACAAAACTAAAACAACTTTTGTACTTCACCAAGCGCTACACTAATCACTAAATATCATAGAATCCTTGTTAAACTGTAGTAGTAGAGTAGTAAAGCTAAACCTTTAGGTGAGGGGTTTTGTAATTGTTTAAATTCTCACATTGTACAAACACTACAAATATAAGCCCACCACAGGACATGGCTATGATGAGCTGAAACTGGAAACAGTGTTAAGAAGTCAAATGAGATTAGCCCAGTACCTTGACAGAGCTTTTGATTCCTCTAAACATTCCAAGGCACACGATGGCCCAGGCTCCCAGCAGACAGCCCACAATGTAAGGGTTGAATGAGCCTGTCTCATCAATCGAGTCAGTGATGTCCAGAGCTTTCCGGTACCAGAAGTATGATGTGTTAGAGCTCTTTTCACACTCTGTTATGGAAATAAAGACAAAAACATGTTGAAACACTTCCCAAAAATGTATGTGTGATTTGCTGTAGGGGAGTATTTACCAGTAGTATTGCCCTCACTTGGACACTGTTCCCAGGGTAAAGGGTACTGGAATGAGTTCCCCAGGTAGAAGAGGCTCCAGGCAAGAATCACATTGTAGTAAAGAGCAACAAAGAAACACACCTGGGAACAGTGTGAAACAAAAGATTAAAGCAACATAACAGTGTAAGGTTAATTTTAAACATAAAAACATAAAGAATTGTGACTTAAAAGTGCACTGTGTAACTTTTAAGCCCAATTTATGGTCATGGTCAAATTGAGTGTGTCACGACACAGAGAGCCTGCATTGCCATAAACCCTTTCCGCAGAGCATCTGTGTTGACCAACGTGCACCTGAGAAATTTTTTAACTACAAGACAGCAAGGGGAAGCGATGCAGACAATAAGGGCTGTGATTGGTGTTCTCTACCACCTCTCTACATACATTTCTGGTATTCTACTTTCCTGCTTCATTTTGTAAACATGCATGCAATCCTAGCCTCCTAGCATTGTGGTGGTGAATTACTTCGCTGCACATAGACCTCGACGCAGTTCTATAAATCAAAACAACAGCGATAGTGTGCGTTGAGTTGACACAGAACTATAATTCCTTTTTGGTTAGACCTGCTTGTTAATAAGGAGATGTCACTGTTCTACCTGGAATGTTCTACAGTATGACATTAAACAGCTCTAAATTACATTTATTCAATTATAGGAGGTTTTATAGCTCAAAAATACCTAGACATTCTGACTACGAAGCTCTGACCTCTAACTTGGTCTGGTTAATGGCATATTGTGAAACATTGCAGACAAAGCAGTAACATCTTCATGGAGAAAAAAAATTGATGGACCCTCCACCAGAAAAGTTACACAATGCACTTTTAAGTTATGAACTAAAAGCTGAAGTCACATTATTTTTTAAAGAAAGAAGGCTACGGTAATTGAATGCTCTGGTATAATGTATAATATAACAATTACTATGCAAACCTACCTAATGCTTTTGTGGACAAACAACAATAGTTAACATAAAAAAGTTAATTGACAGTGTCTAACCACACAGCTGGAGTAGCCGATCCCAGACAGCCTTGGGGAGATGTACTTCCACACACCGATGCTCCCCTGTCTAATGGCCTGTCCTGCGGCCAGCTCCAGGAAAAACAGGGGGATACCCACCACCAGCATTAGCAGAATGTACAGGAGGAGGAAGGCTCCTAGAGAGAGGACCAAGTTACTTTACCTATTTTTAACCAATTAACAATAAACATCTATGTATCAATTGCAGTGAACGTTAAACCAACAACTTGTAAGTTTATTTCTTTAATACATTTAAATGTAGATTTATTTTCTTCCGCTTATCCGGGGCCGGGTCGCGGAGGCAGCAGTCTAAGCAGGGACTCCCAGACTTCCCTTTCCACGCACACTTCCTCCAGCTCTTCTAGGGGAACCCCAAGGCGTTCCTAGGCCAGCCGAGAAACATAGTCCCTCCAGCGTGTCCTGGGTCTTCCCCGGGGCCGCCTCCCAGTGGGACATGCCCAGAACACCTCCCGAGGGAGGCGTCCAGGAGGCATCCGGAAAAGATGCCCGAGCCACCTCAACTGGCTCCTCTCAACGTGAAGGAGCAGCGGCTCTACTCCGAGCTCCTCCCGTGTGACTGAACTCCTCACCCTATCTCTAAGGGAGCGCCCAGCCACCCTGCGGGGGAAACTCATTTCGGGCCGCTTGTATCCGCGATCTCATCCTTTCGGTCATTACCCAGAGCTCATGACCATAGGTGAGGGTGGGAACAAAGACTGACCGGTAAATCGAGAGCTTTGCCTTTCGGCTCAGCTCCCTCTTCACCACAACGGTCCGATACAGCGACCGCATCACTGCTGAAGCTGCACCGAGCCGCCTGTCAATCTCACACTCCATCCTCCCCTCACTCGTGAACAAGACCCTGAGATACTTGAACTCCTACACTTGAGGCAGGGACTCTCCACCCACCTGGAGAGGGCAAACCACCTTTTTCCGGTCGAGAACCATGGCCTCGGATTTGGAGGAGCTGATCTTCATCCCAGCCGCTTCACACTCGGCTGCAAACCGCCCCAGTGCACATTGCAGGTCCTGGTTCGATGAAGCCAACAGGACAACATCATCTGCAAACAGCAGAGATGAGATCCTGTGGTCCCCGAACCAGACCCCCTCCGGCCCCTGACTGCGCCTAGAAATTCTGTCCATAAAAACAATGAACAGAACCGGTGACAAAGAGCAGCCCTGGAGGAGTCCAACATGCACCGGGAACAGGTCTGACTTACTGCCGGCAATGCGAACACAGCTCCTGCTCCGGTCATACAGGGACCGGACAGCCCTTAGCAAAGGGCCCCGAACCCCAGACTCCCGAAGCACCCCCCACAGGACACCACGAGGGACACGGTCGAATGCCTTCTCCAGATCCACAAAGCACATGTGGACTGGTTGGGCAAACTCCCATGAACCCTCGAGCACCCAATGGAGAGTGTAGAGCTGGTCCAGTGTTCTGCGGCCAGGACGAAAACCACACTGCTCCTCCTGAATCCGAGGTTCGACTATCGGGCGGATTCTCCTCTCCAGTACCCTGGCATAGACCTTACCGGGGAGGCTGAGGAGTGTGATTCCCCTGTAATTGGAACACACCCTCCGGTCCCCCTTCTTATACAGAGGGACCACCACCCCGGTTTGCCAGTCCAGAGGTACTGTCCCCAACCGCCACGCGATGTTGAAGAGGCGTGTCTGCCAAGACAGCCCCACAACATCCAGAGACTTAAGATACTCAGGACGGACCTCGTCCACCCCCGGAGCCTTGCCACCAAGGAGCTTGCCAACCACCTCAGTGACTTCGGCCAGGGTGATGGATGAGTCCGCCTCCGAGTCCCCAGCCTCGGCCTCCTCCTCGGAGGACGTGACGGTGGGATTGAGGAGATCCTCAAAGTATTCTTTCCACCGTCCGACTACATCCCCAGTCGAGGTCAGCAGCCCTCCCCCCGCACTGTAAACAGTGTTGGTGAAGAACTGCTTCCCCCTCCTCCCCGCCGGACGGTTTGCCAGAATCTCTTTGAGGCCGTCCGATAGTCCTCCTCCATGGCCTCTCCGAACTCCTCCCAGCTCCGAGTTTTTGCCTCTGCGACCGCACGAGCTGCCGCACGCTTGGCCCATCGGTACCCATCAGCTGCCTCAGGAGTCCCACGAGCCAACAAGACCTGATAGGACTCCTTCTTCAGCTTGATGGCATCCCTTACTTCCGGTGTCCACCACCGGGTTCGGGGATTGCCACCGCGACAGGCACCACAGACCTTACGCCCACAGCTACGGGCAGCCGCATTGACAATGGAGGTGGAGAACAGAGCCCACTCGGACTCCGTATCTCCAACCTCCCCCGGGATCTGGGAGAAGCTCTCCCGGAGGTGCGAGTTGAAAATCCTGCTGACAGAGGGTTCCGCCAGACGTTCCCAACAGACCCTCACGACACGCTTGGGTCTGCCAGGTCTTTCCGGCTTCCTCCACCGCCAGCGGATCCAACTCACCACCAGGTGGTGATCGGTTGACAGCTCAGCCCCTCTCTTCACCCGAGTGTCCAAGACACGCGGCCGGAGGTCAGATGACATGACTACAAAGTCGATCATCGACCTCCGGCCTAGGGTGTCCTGGTGAAACGTGCACTTATGGACACCCTTGTGCTTGAACATGGTGTTCGTTATGGACAAACTATGACTAGCACAGAAGTCCAATAACAGAACACCACTGGGGTTCAGATCAGGGAGGCTGTTCCTCCCAATCACCCCTCTCCAGGTGTCACTGGCATTGCCCACGTGGGCGTTGAAGTCCCCCAGTAGAACAACGGAGTCCCCAGTTGGTGCACTGTCTAGTACCCCTCCCAGGGACTCCAAGAAGGCCGGGTACTCTGCACTGCTGTTCGGCCCGTAGGCCACAGTGAGAGACCTGTCCCCGACCCGAAGGCGCAGGGATGCGACCCTCTCGTTTACTGGGGTGAACTCCAACACGTGGCGGCTGAGCTGTGGGGCTATAAGCAAGCCCACACCAGCTCGCTGCCGCTCCCCGCAGGCAACACCAGAAAAATGGAGGGTACAACCCCTCTCGAGAGGTTGGGTACCAGAGCCCAAGCTGTGCGTGGAGGTGAGGCCGACTATATCTAGCCAGTACCTCTCAACCTCCCGCACAAGTTCAGGCTCCTTCCCCCCCAGTGAGGTGACGTTCCACGTCCCTACAGCCAGGTTCTGTGTCCGTGGACTAGGTTGCCGGGATCCCTGACTTCGACCGCTGCCTAGTTCACATCGCACCCGACCCCTATGAAACCCTCTATAAAATATAATATAAATCTACATCGGGGCCCGGCCGGGCTCAGCCCGAAGGGCCCCGATGTAGATTTATATTATATTTTATTTTATCATATTAAGTTTATTGTGGACACGACATTTATATCTCATATACATTCAACAGCTGTCCCAACAGATCTCAAGCAACAGCAAAGTGTTACAAAAACAGCCACCTGCCTCACACTTAACCCATAGGTTATTGATAAAATATGTTTATTTAATTTAAATCCGCATTAACTGTTCAGCCAAATAAATAGTATGGTAAATATGATTTTAACTTTCTACTTCCATGGAGTCAAACAGGTGACATACCACCTCCAAAAAGTTACATACTGTACCGTTAAAACCTTATTATTCACAGAGGTTAAAACTGCATCTTTGTTTTTGAAATTTACCTTATTTTCTTTATTTTACTACAGAACTGCTAATTGCAGAGTTTACTAAGTAAATACTGTACATGCTTTACTGTGTTGGAGTAAAAAGGGGTGTCCTATTACTTCAGACACTCTCACTAGTCAACAAGAATAGCCCCTCACCTCCTCCGTTCTGGTGGCACAAATATGGAAACCGCCAAACGTTCCCGAGACCCACACTGAAGCCCACTTGGGCCAAAAAGTACTCGATTTTACTGTTCCAGCCTGCTCGTGCCACTGGCCCAGAGTCCTGCTGCCTGTCTTCACCCCCATAGGGTCCACTCTCAGTCTGGTCATCATCCTTAGGCAAGGGCTGCTTCTCCATGTCTGAAATGATAAAAAAGAGAAATGAGAATTATATATATATATATATATATATATATATATATATATATATATATATATATATATATATATATATATATAATAGTAACACATTATTTTACAAGGTATGTTTATCACACATTATTGTTGGTCAGTTGTGTTTGGAAATTAGATCATTCCCACCAGATGGCTTAACACCTCTGTCAGGAAAAATCCCTTATTAGTGGACTAGTTACATTGTAAACAACACTGTAACAGCGTCGTATTTTTTCTCAATACTAGTATATGTTATGCTGTATGTCTTGGAAGTATAATAAGATCATATTCAGTCCATATTACAGATCCATGCTGATGCTATATACATTGGCGATATCTAGACCACGCCGAGATAATACCAGCAGTGACGTTTGCAAGTTCCAATGGTTTTGTCTTTACGCGCATAGAAATCTTCCGTGTTTAAACACAAAACATGTTAAACTAACCTTGTTCACAAAGACGTCGCGGAAAGCGAGGTAATTTAGAGTAAATTCCTTAAACTACAGTCAAACGTAGACTACAGGGATGTGAAATCCTTCACGAACACGTGTAGCACCCAGAATCTGGCGCGTTACTACCAAATTATTACGCGCGAATGTAGAGCCAATACATTCTTCTTGGTTGGCACAAGCGGTTGTAGGTACTATTGTTTAAAGCAAAATGCCTATGAAAGACTGTCTGTCACCGATAGATATACACATGATCAAAGAAGCCCGCATTCACTACCCTTTATTCATGCCTTTATCTGGTACTAAACCTCTTCCGCTTGATGCAATACAACACAAACCACACCTACAGTATGTTGCGTTCAGGGACATTCGAGCACGCATTAGCATCCATCGACTTTAACCATGCCTTCAACAGCATAAATACTAAGAGTAAAGCTCTGCTTTGAGTTAGTTTAGTAGTGGGGATTGACCTGTTAGGTGCAAGCACATGCACACCATCTATCACATTTAAAATTAGTATGTACCCTTAAAGCCAAATAGACTCCAAATTGACTATGTCACCTAAATGCAACATAATAATAATAAAAGACCCTACTGATTTATCATAGTAAGTGATCACTCATTTTCTACATGCAAGTGAGCAAACAACTATAACCGTATATATGAGCAATGGCATGTTTTTTGTTATGGATCCAATGGATCTGTGATCAAAAGTGCATTTCTGTTTACATATTGCAAACATAACACGTGGCACAGATAGCCCACCGAGACTTGCTTAAAAAAGTCCAACGCAAATTTTAGGCAGTCTTAAGGACTAATCACGAGCAAAGACTTTAAAAACACATCAGCATCAGAAATCTGAAAGTCATGATCCGTAATGAGTGAGAGACACTGACGGGAATACTAGTCTTATGTAAATAGACTATGCACTGCACTGGACGGAGACGGGTTGGTTCTTACGCGCATTGCCACGTAGAAAAACTAAAACCAAAAATGGTTATTATTAATGGAAAAAGATCCATTCTAAATATTTAGTCGGAATAGTATGTTGTCGGACACAACATAGAGCAGCATCATGAAACATACCTTGAAAACAGTTCAAAGGAGAAAATGTCGAAAAGTTGTTGGAGTCAAATCAAAGTCAAGTGGTGACGCGCGGCTGCTTTACATAGACCGTCCCACAGCCTCTCCTCATCCAATCACATATTTCTAATGACATCCCTCAAATAAGCTATCTTCTCTCAAGTTCTGAAACATTGCCTGAAACGATCTACTCGACAGGACAATTTGAAACTAGCAGTTAAAAAAGTAGGCATACTCCCCAGAATTATGTGGACCAATTCACCAAATTTTTTTTCCTGAGGGCTGAGAAAAATGTGACCCCCAGGGCCATGGTGTGGACACCCCTGAAATACATTATTAACGTTTGAGAAAGAAAATATTGCTGAAGTACCGAGTCAGGAATTTGCATTGTAGTGGCTACTGGCTATTGCATTGCCTGGAAAGTTCCTCAATATGGGATTAGTCTATCTTGTAACTATAGTTTTTTAAACCAATAACTAAATAAATAAAACACCTGACCTGGTGTCTCCATGAAGATGCATTTAATGCCATATTGTAACTGTGAAACATTCTACGCAAACATTAACATCACAGAGACAAGCAGCTGGCGGACCATCCACCAGAAAAGTTACACAATGCGCATTTAACTAACAATTTAGTTTACAACTTGTTTATTTTGCTACAACAACTATTGTTCTTTGTGAGCAGTGTCCAAGCATTTTACTTGTGGATTAATAAAGTTTGTGTACGTGTAGATAGGTCCACTATTGATCAGAGTAAACAAATTTTGCCCGACCAGCCAGTCAATTTAAAACAAATTCCAATACATTTAAATGGTCACCAGATGTCCCCCTCTCCAAATATTTCTTTTCAGCAGCCTCCACCCATCCACTTTTCACAAAATTACTTCAAAATCAACACTAGAAATCGTGAAATAAATGTAAACATTTGAAACGTTTAAACAAGTAAAACAATGTTTTCTCTGAAACAAATTAGGCTAACTAATGGAAAATAGTCACCATGATTGTTTATCTTCAGTTCTGACCAATTATCTTTGCTGTATAGAAACTGTAGGTAAGTGTATGGACCTTGTTGTTATAGCACATTTAGACTGCGTTCCTTGTTACTGGTCTGTAGAGATTCATTAGACATTATTTACTCCTCTTTACTTTCTCGTGGGATTCCTCTGCGGATGACAGAGCAAAGAGAACAGAGGGGACATTGCTTTCGATGAAACTTTTGAAAGTCCTGATTGAAAGTGCAGGCAGTGCACACATAATGGGGGGATGGGTATTTAGTGAATTGGAGCTCCTGAGCCTGAGTTTTAGGAATATGGCAATCTTTTGTTAGTTGTAAAATATGTCTTGACTTTGATTGGAAAGTATGTGGTTTATGAAGATGATGAATGCTGTAAAGTTGTATAAATAGCGACCATATATATTGGTAATACATATTTTTATTTTATATTTAGTCATTTAGTGAAGAAAAAAAAAAAAATTCAAAACGTTTTTCTGAAAAAGTTTTAATATTAAAGGTCCACCAAGCTATATTTCTGACAGAGAGTACACTACATACTTTATGAAGATGTTATTGCATTGATTAGAATGATTAGAAATATGGCATAAACTATGAATCTCAATGGAGACAAGAAGTTGACATTACCAGGCCAAATTACAAGTTAGATGTGAGAATAGTAGGTGCTGCTCTCAGTATACATGTTTTTCAAGGGTTTTTTGATCAATTGAACCACTCATTTAAAAATGCCAAATACTTAAGTTTACAAAAGTTTCTTAGTGCACTTTAAAAAATATATAAATGTCTTTATGTTTGGACTTGCATGTTGCTGAGTGCACAGAGAGGGGAGCAGAGTGAGTAGTCCCTGAGGTGGGACTCAGGGGCGGGGCCTACTTTGGTACTAATACCACAGTGAGGAGTGACCTGCAGTCAAGTCACACTACTGCACTCAGACAGGTGCTTTCAAAAGACAATACTTCTCTGGAGACTGGGACAAAATAGTAAGTACAACAAATATATGTGCTTTTTCATAGTCAAGGTGAATGAGTGATTGATTGTTTTTTTGTTTTGTTTTTGTTTCTTTGCTAAAATAGCTAGCATATGTTAGCATGAAGTTGCACCACTACATCCACAGCTCAAGAGTAGGCTGTTCTTGTGTGACTTTCAAAGGGCGTGTTCATATTCATCATGACAATAGAGCTCTTTATTTACTTTTCCTATTTTCCCATCCGTTTAATCATTTGATATTTCAATCTACTATGGCTATGACTGTTTACTGAATGTTTAATAACTTTTTTAGAGAGGTGTAGGCTTACTATATTCAGACTAATATTCAGAGGAGGCTAATACTATTTCACCAGATGTCACTCTAGTCAGTGAAACCGCTAATGAGGGAGTGTTAGTGATACTGGTTACATGTTACTCCCATTGACAGGTTTGATGTAGTCTGAGGAGTTCTGAATGGTGAGGTGCACAGTACTGTTGCATAACTGGTTTGGCAGCTCTCCATCTTGTACTCATGCACTGTGGTGTTGTCCCATGTTAGTGGATCACAAATGGGAATCAGCTGACGTAATGTGACTTTGTAGGAGATGTCTTTTCATGTACATCATAGGTTACATTGTCATTTGTATTTTTAGGTAATTGAGAAAGAGACTCAAAAGATGACAAACATTTCACGTCACCTTGTGAACGTAAGTTCAGTTTCGGTAATCATGTCTTTGCTCTTGTATCATGTATCCAAGAAAGAAAGTAGCTAACTACAGATCATCCTTAAAACAGTAACACCAGTTTTCGTGTTGTTCTACAGCACCTCCTGACCTTCTCGCTCCAGGACGGAGATGTACAAAGTGTGGAGGAGGCCCGGGACCGGCTCTCATTTTTGGCCCAAAACAAGAAGTTGTGGAGTCAACAGATGTTTCTGGATGTCACGTTAGACTCTGTCATTCTACGGGACATTCAAAGTCAGGTGAGAGTAACACTCATGTATACTTATTTTAAGGTGAAATTATTAACATATATAACTGTGAAATTTAATACATAAAATATTAGAATAGACAGACACATCACATAACATGTTTTTTGCCTAGAGAATGCTGCTTAAAAGTAAAAAAAAAAAAAAAAAGTCTGGGTAAAATAGCTACTGAATTCTGATCTCACCCTATGGCGACATGCTTTTTGCTGATATTGTCATATTGTGCTTGTTTCTCAGTTTAAACAAGCTATCTGCTCAAAAACATTGACTTTTTGCTACTCACTCCTCATATTCGTCAGCTTTCTACATGTTCTGAGTGTGTGAGAGGTGGATTTAATCAATCATAATGAACTATGACCTCTTAGAAGAAGTGGATGGCTTTAATTACACTTAAACAGACATATATCACTGGCTGTCCACACTGCAAAAAAGCTTGGCCAAAATTTAAGATATAAACACTAGTATGAAGTAGTCTCTGGTCTAGTAAGTAGATAATAAATCTGAAAACAAGATGAATAACCTATTATAAGTCTTGGCCAGATCAGAGAAATTTGCAGTGCATGGACTGATAAAAATATTCAGTAAAATATATTGTATTCTGTTAATTTATTTTTGTATAATGGCATTTTGTTCAGGATGAGCTGGAGAAATACACTTTCAAATCTATTCTACGCTGCGACTCCAAAACAGAGAAGCATTTCCCCTCCTTACTGCTCCTCGTATGTCAAAGTCCCGATCAGAAAAAGCCCGACATTCACTTCTTTAACTGTGAGATGGTGAAGGTAAGCCACACACAACAACCACAAAATAACTCTGCCATGGCTTCATCGCTTCAGGTTTTACAAGTGTGTCTGCTTTTGGATCCCTGCAGGCCGAGCAGATCTGCCAGGACATCTCACATGCACTTTCAGGTCAATATGCCAACAGAAGCAGGTACTGTAAATGTCACTTATAATATAACATATCTTTGTGTCTTCTTGGTACAAGTCAAGTAACAAGCAATTGCAAGAAATGAGCAACACACCAGTACTCAACTGATTAGCATAAAACCATACATTTAATAACAGTGGACCGAGTTTTAAATTTTTTTGAGTGTAGTAAATTTACAGCTTTCAAACAGAGGTCTTTATCATCTGTTTATAAAAGATGTTAGGTTTCTGATCAATATCTCTTAGCTGATAAAAATATTTATTTATAGCTATGTCATATCATCAAGAGGTGATAACTAAGAATATAAAAACAATATAATACAGAAAATTATAAAAACATTTCTTT